TTAAAAGCTTTTTTTTTTTTTTTTCTTTCTTTTTTGCTCTCTTTCTCTCTTTCTTTCTAATAAAAAAAATGGCTGATACTGAGATACCTCCTACTGTTAACGCAACCGAAAAGGTAGTCGAATCGCCTGTTGCTCCTATTACTAGTACTAGTACTAGTGCTGCGCGTAAGTATATGCAATATAGTTAAGGCAACTTTATGCTTATTATGGTTATAGCCGCCTCCACTGAAGGTGTGTTGGCCACTCCTCCTCCTTCCACTACCAGTACCGCTACCTCTGCTCCTACTACTGCACCTACTACTACTACTACTAACGCACCTGGACCTGCTGCACCTACTCCTACTGCTGCTGCTACCAAGAGTACTCAAAACCATTCTTATACTTCTCCAAACATTAAATTTGAAGACAGTAAGTATAGAAGTAACGGCTGTTTAGTGTTCTTTTTTATTAACTCTCCTTAAAAAAGATCCTTCTGGCTATTTGAAAGCAAAGATTGAATCTCTTATTTACTGGGAATATCCTAAAAAGAGCGCCACCTTTTTGGCCAGTACCCTTGGTCTCTTGGTCCTTACGCAGTACTATTCCGTGTTACAGATTGTTGCAGGTATCTTTACTTTGGCTACTGGTATAAACTGGTTATATGTCAACCTTCATAAACAAAGCCAAAGAATCATTTCAAACAAGTCATCTCAAGACATTGTCAACCCTCATAACCATCGTCTTCAAGTTCAAAAGACCTATATCCCCCGAGAACGCGTCTTGCGTGCAGCTCATCTAACTACCGACGTTGCAGAAGTCGTTACGCAACACGTGACACGATTAGTCTTGATTGAAGATAATTTCCGCTCCCTTGTGGCATTCATTGTCTCCTTCTTTGTTTGGACCCTGGCTAAATATGTCTCTACCAAGTACCTCGTCGGTTTCTTCATCATTTCCGCTTTCACTTTACCTCGACTTTACCTCCAGAATAAGGAGTTAGTGGATGCCCATGTTGCTAGACAATCTCAAAATGCTCGTCAATTGGCTGAACAATATGGAAGTGTAGCCAATCAGAAGGCAAGAGAAATTGGCTGTCAAGTGAAGGACTTTATTCAAAAGAAGACTGGAAAGGCTACTGCCAGTGTAAACCAAGATACAAAGAAGTCTGAATAAAAAAAAAAGGAAGCAAGACAACCACAAGTTTTTCTATTTGTGTATAAATGCTGTAATGTGTCGTCTATCTTTGTTATATATTTATAAATAAATCCCCTCTTTTTTTTTAAACAAAAACTTTATAATAAACAAAATGATTGTCTCTGATAGGAGAGTATTTCATTGGATAATTGTCTTATGCAAAAGCAGCCTCTGTTTTTTTAATTCCTTCCTTTTTCTTTCCCCTCTTTTTTTTCCTTTGTCTTTTTTTGCTGCACTCCTTAATCTAATGAGCAGATCAGATGTCAAATCAGAAAATATGCAACTGACAATCCCCAATTCAATCTCACAAAACAATGTGGATCAATTAAAAGAAAAAGATCAAGATCCAAAAGAGGTCATTCCAACATTTATCTTTGAAACAAAACACGACAATACTCACTTTAGCCCTGAACCGCACAAGCCATTCTTGTGTGTATACGAATTTTGTGTGGCCTTGGAAGTGTTTTGCAAAAGCAAAAACATAGATATAGAAAAGCATTGGGCAAGGCTGCTACTGAAAACGACGGCGCACAACTATGAACGATTCATGTGGATTCATCTTCATTTGATCAATCAATCAAAGCTTAGACTCTCTTGGCAGCAGGTCGTACAAAGGTTGATGCTCAAATACGATGATCCAAGGCGAACACAGGCAGTCAAGCGCGCTTTAAACATGTTTACCTTTGATCCTAACATAAAGCCTGAATCCATTGACGCTGCCAACAGACGATTTACAGCGTATGTACACGAAACACATTGTGATCCTTCAGAAGCGATACGTCTTTACTTGAAAGGAATGCCAACTCTATGTCGCGAGCTACTTGAACTCACAATGGCCTATGATAAACACACTGGATTCAATTATTGTCTCAACGATATCGTCCAGAGAGCGTCCGTGTTTATCAATGCTAAATCGGATGACTTTATCTTTTACTCCAAGACAGTACGTATCGCAGTCTCTTTGCCTCTAGACAAAGTTCAATCCAACCTTTGTGAATTCCATATCACAACTTCTCATACAACAGCTGAATGTCCCGACTACACCATCTTGAAATACCCTTATTTGAGCTCCATGTTGGTCGAAAACGAGTTTTGTAAAATCTATCAACAAGTAAAGGCATTAGAGCCTATAAAAGATCAAGTGAATATGACAACAAATAAAACTACAGCCCAACACACAGATGGTGCGGTTCGACCATCCTATATACCTGATCTATTACCAACTAGCGATGTCTCAATAAAGCAGGAGGAGTCAAGTGCGGAAGCGCCACATCAGGTTCAATGCTCTCAGACAAAGTCATCCTCCTCACGATCCTCTAATCCATGTCATTTCTGCAGACAGCCATTTTATCCTGGGCATTTATTCGAATGTGAAGTTATTCGTAAAAAGAAAAGAAAGACAGAACGTTAAAAATATATAAAAACTTCATTTCAAAAAAAGAGGGAATACATTTATTATTGAAGGGTTGCAATAAAAGAAATCCAATAAAGTGTAGATTCAGTGCCGTCCTTGTTTACTCTTTCATCATCCGCTTTTTCAGTCAATTCAAATTCAATCTCTTTAAATCCCTCAAATTCTAAAATAGCTTTAAAGTCCTCTATGCTAATATAGAATTTAAATGTCTTGTCCGATGGTCTATAATACATGCCTGATCTATTAGAAATAACATGCCCTCCAGCAAGTATTCCCCCTGGCTTTATTAATCGTTTGATGCGTCGAACAAACTCTTGATTCATCTCCATTGACGTGAATAAATGAAATACACTTCCAGCATGAGCCACAGAGATTTTTTTGGTATATTCACATAGTTCATCCGTAAATAGATCAGCCACAATAAACTTAATTGGGCAAGTGTCCATGTCCTTGAAGAGCTGAAAGCCACACTGAATATAAGCTGGATCAATGTCAACTCCAATTAGGTATGACTTTGGATAACCATCAATATAGAGTTTACGCAAATCAGTGCCTATACGTTATTAGTTATACATCGTGTTATACAACATGACTCTTACCAGTGCAACATCCAATGTCCAACAAGAAGGGCTCCTGTCCCATTCGAACCAATTCTTGTCCATATTTTAGAATTCTATTATAAAAAAAGCGATAATAAACTCGGGAAAAGGCAAACTTGTATTTTCGAATGCACTTGTATCCTTTCAAATATGTAAATAAGACGCATTCGCTTTTTATGTTTCACTATTATTACTACTACTACTAACAGCAGGTAATTGCTTCTTGATGCTCATCAAATGCCTTTCAAGTTCCTGTCTGTCATTCATACCACAATAGGTACGGTACAGATCAAGCGTAAGGTCATCAATCATCGGTCTCTCTTCTTGTTCCTGAGTCATCTAAGAATTAAAAAAAAAAAAGAAATAAAAGGAGGCAAAGCAAAGTGAAATTCTGGCTGACATTTAATGGCTGAGAAAAGCGACAAGAGAACATTAACCTAAAACGAGACAAGTTGAAAATAAAAACATGATTGACGTTTGATTGTATACATGCTTTACAACAACGCCCATAGATTAAGAACGCCCATTAAAAAAGAAAGAACTCCTATATTATTTGTAATCAATGTATAGATTAAATTGTTCACAATGCTTGCTTAGGTATGCATATGATATTATGCTTCATTTTGTCCATTGCAATAAATCTTGAAATGGTTTTTGATTGGTTCAAACATTATTTTAACCTGCCTCGTTTTTAGCTTAAAAGCTATGTCATCATGGTGTTCCGTCTGCACCATGAACCGATTTGCTCAGTTACGAGTTCTAATGCTTCTCAATCCTTATTTACATTTAGAAGAAATCATTGCAGCATTAGTCTCACTTTCCCCTTTTGTATTTCATGGTTACGCTGACTTTAAATAAGCTCGGAGCATTGGCTCATAGAATACAAAAGTAAAGATTATACAAATTTGTACGTAGCATTAATTGCTCAAAAGATATTATTTTGCATGAGTTGATAAATCAATTCATCTGAAACTGTCAAGCAGGCAATAGTAATGCGTGGTGTATATTCTGTCTAAACTGTCTCTTTTTCTTTCTTTCTTTCTTTTTTATACTCATATACTTATACATTTATGCATAATGAAGAAATCTATTTTAAAAAAGAATAATGGTCAGGCAGAGGCAATATCCGAAGATAGTTCAGACGAAAGAAGAATTGAATCAGATACTGCTTTTGCAGGTGAAAACTATACAGGAGAAAGCAATGGTGAAAATGATGATGATGACGATGATGATGATGATGCTGAGGATGGCCTCATTCCGCCTATTCGTAGTAGAAAGCGATTTACAATTGAACAATCACGCATTTTGGAAGATGCATACAAGGAACACGGCCACCCTTCCCGAGACTTTAAAGAAAAGCTAGCCAAGAAGTTTGGCACGTCACCTAGGCGTATCCAGATATGGTTCCAAAATAGAAGAGCAAAGGATAAAAGAGACAGAAAGTCTGGTGATCCTCATCTGCAGATATCACATTCATCATGTCATCTCGAAAGTATTTTAACACAATCAGAATCATCTATAAGAGATTCAATGGTTTACGATGACTCAAAGATGGAGAATGAGCATGAACAGACTGATACGAATGGTGAATATGAAGGTTTCCATCAGTCTAGTTTAAGCGGTATGTTTTTCCCTTTGCATGAAAAAAATATTTATCTCTTGTATAATAGATCCATCAATTCCGTTTCAAGAACTACCTAATCCATATTATAATAATACCTTACCTTATATTGTCCCTTACCCTTATAATAGCTACTCATCAAACAATGGCGGTAATTGCCCCAAGCAAAATCTATATTCACTCTTTTATCCTAGTCCAACTGATCTACCCAGCTGTTCTTCTAATCTATTATCTCATGAGGCCAATGAAACAGACGACATTCGGTATGTCAATCCAAGCAATACAATCCATACAAAGGGACAAAATAGTGATAGTAAGTTATCAAAAGGCTAAGCCTCATCAACATCATCATAATCATTATTATTTGTTCTAGACAATACGATTGGAACTAGTCCAAGCAACTAGCTATTAAAATGTTTTTTATCTGTTTCTGTGTGCCTTTGTCCTGTATTTTTATTTGTGTCAGTGTGACTCATTTTAATTGATTAATCCCTTTTTTTGGCTTTTTCTTTTTTATTCACGCAGCTCAATGACTACTTTACTTATTGACAACTACGACAGCTTTACTTATAACGTTTATCAATACCTGAGCTGTCAGGGGGCCGATGTTGTTGTCCATCGAAATGACAAGATTACTATTTCAGAAATAGAACAGCTTGCGCCTCGCAATATCGTTATCTCACCTGGTCCTGGCCACCCATCAACCGATGCCGGTATTTCTCGAGATGTCATCAAGACATTTGCTGGTAGAATTCCCATATTGGGTATTTGTATGGGCCAACAGTGCATGTATGAAGTGTATGGAGGCACTGTATCTTATGCAGGCGATATCGTTCACGGCAAAGCATCTAGAATTAAGCACGACAATCGAGGTATCTTCAGGGGCGTTCCTCAAAACAACATGGTCACTCGATACCACTCACTTGCTGGTATGCCTTCCACATTACCTGATGCTTTAGAAGTGACAGCTACGACGGATGATGGAATCATTATGGGTATTCGACACAAGGAATATACAGTAGAGGGTGTTCAATTTCATCCGGAGAGTATCCTCTGTGAGCACGGACATACGATGATCACCAACTTTTTGAATTTGCGTGGTGGAACTTGGGAAGAGAATCCAGGCGCTGGCGTCTTGTCAAACAAGTTGCGTGCCCAGCCCAAGCCGAACAGCAATGAATCTCAACTGGATCTCTCTGAGCAACAACAACAGCAACTGACCGCAGCTGCTCCCTCTATATTGACCCGTATCTATTCTCAGCGTCTCAAAGATGTTCAAGCTGCTAAAGAAATTCCTGGACAGACACCTGAGGACCTTGAAAAACTCTTGCGACTTCATGCCGCCCCTCCTCTTCAAGACGTCGTTGCTCGCCTACGCCAAAGTAAACCTGCCCTCATGGCTGAAGTCAAGCGTGCGTCTCCTTCCAAAGGCAACATTGACATGAAGGCTAATGCTGCTGAACAAGCCCTTCAGTACGCTTTAGCAGGAGCCAGTGTTGTCTCTGTTCTTACCGAACCCAAATGGTTCCGTGGTACGCTTCAAGATATGCGTCAAGTAAGAGAAGCTGTGGGCCACTTGCCCAATAGACCCTGCATCTTGCGAAAGGATTTTATCGTTGACCGCTATCAGATCCTTGAGGGCCGTCTTTATGGCGCTGATACCATCTTGTTAATCGTTGCCATGCTAAACGATGAACAGCTACACGATCTATACAGTTATGCAAAATCGTTGGGTATGGAGCCTCTTGTTGAAGTCAATAATGCTGAAGAAATGGCTCGGGCCAACGCACTGGGCGCACGTTTAATCGGTGTCAATAACCGAAACTTGCACAGCTTTGATGTTGATATGGAAACGACCAGTCGTCTGGCAGAGATGGTGCCTGAGGGAACTATCCTGTGTGCTCTTTCTGGTATCACAGGTCGAGCTGATGTTGAAATGTATGTCAAGCAAGGTGTACACGGTGTCTTGGTTGGTGAAGCACTCATGCGAGCTTGGAACCTCAAGGAGTTCGTTTCGGATTTGCTCGGTCTCGAAAAGAAAGATCCTGTGCCTGTTTCAAAGGAACAAAAGACGTCGTTGGTCAAGGTCTGTGGTATCTCCAGTGTGGAAGCAGCCGTGGAAGCAGCCAAAGCCGGTACTGACTTGATTGGTTTGATATTTGCAGAAAAATCAAAGCGAAAAGTAAGCTTGGATAAGGCTCAAGAGATCGTATCCGCTGTGCGCGCTCTGGGCATTCAGTCCAGCAAAACATTACCAGACAATGCTCATCCAAACGACTGGTTCCTAACTCATCAATACCTATTGGAAAAACGACGAAAGCCTTTGGTGGTTGGTGTCTTTGTGAATCAATCTGTTGAATACATGACTGAAGTTGCTACAACCGTCGGACTTGACCTCGTTCAGTTGCATGGAACAGAATCACTCGAACTCGCTCATTATCTGCCAGTACCTGTGATTAGGGCATGTCATATAGACAATGCCACTTTCCATGAATCTCAGATACCACACTTGACACAACCTGGCTACCATCACTATGTTCTGCTGGATGCCAAGGTACCCAATTTACCTTCTGATCAGCAAGGTGGACGTGGCGTCAAGTTTGACTGGTCTATTGCAAACAAGATCGTGAACCACAAGAGATTCGAATTCCTTGACAACAAAAACTTCCCGATCATTCTCGCCGGCGGATTAGATCCTACCAACGTAGCTACTGCCATTCAACAAGTGAAGCCTTGGATGGTGGATGTGTCCAGTGGTGTAGAAACAGATGGCACAAAAGATTTAAACAAGATTCGATCTTTTATTGAAACTGTTCAATCTACAAAATATACATAATCTAATTCTTTTCGTCTTCCTGTACTTCAGGAGGAACAATCTCTTCCTTTACTAATAAATCCTCGAGATCACCTGATTGATGCATATTTAATAAGATATCGCAGCCACCGATAAATTCACCCTTGATGTAAATTTGAGGAATCGTGGGCCATTCAGAGTATTCTTTGATAGATTCTCTTAATTCAGGATCTTCTAGCACATTGAATGCATTGACTTTATTAAAGTCAACACCTTGAACTTGTAAAATTTGGACGGCAGCACGACTGAATCCACACTAGTAGGGGGGACCATGTATATTAGTTTTTTTTTTAAAATGTATTTGTTGTGTATAATTACCATGGGGGCATCAGGAGTACCCTTCATAAACAAGACGACATCCTTGGATTTGATATCCTAATAGAGTGTAAGTAATTATCATACTTTTTCTTTTATTGAATCGTTGTACCTTGTCTAAACGAGCCTTCATTTCCGTTGAGATCCAACGAGCAAATAAGGAAGTACTACGAAAACTAGTATTCAAATTGGGTCGGAAAAAGGTAGACTTTAAAAGAAATAAGTACTTGTATATATTGTTTATATGTTGCTTACAGTCTTGACAGCAGAACGAATGAAGCTCATGGTTTAATACAAGTAAAGCAAGAAAAAAAGAGAAAAAAAAAAGAAATGATTATAAATGGTTCAGGTAGCATAAAGTCACAAAGTATGTGAGAGAGCGCGCGCGCAGTAATGAATTTAATGTTTTAAGATGGATACCAGGACATTGTTGTTGTGGTAGATGATGACTCTTGGGGATAAGATGCTTCCTTTTTCTGTTCTTCAGTAAATGCTTCAAATGATTCATGTGACTGAGGAAGTGTGTTTGAATAATCAACAGGTTGAGCGGGTGAAGAAGCAGTGCTTTCTGCTGTAGTTGGAAGACTTGCTGCATAAGCATTTAATGCTTCTGTATATTCTTTGTATTCCTTTTTGAAAATATCTTGATATTTCTATTATAGAATGCATAAGATGTCTCTTTTTTTTTTTTTTCTTTAAAACGTTACCTTCTTTTCATCTGCTGACAAGTTCTTCCACCTTTGTCCCAAAATCCTTGTTATTTCACCAAGATTATCTGTTTGACATTCATCCTTTACTTTATCCCTTTCCATACGGCAATAAATAAAAAAGACATTTCCTGGGCCTTTGGGTGCATTCGGATCTCTCTTTGGTTTCTGTTCTTGGTCTTGCTTAGAACGGGTATTATTGCTGCCTTTGCTATATTTCTGTATCTTTTTTTTTCTCAATAAGCTTATATTCATTATATAGTGATAATATATGTGTATCTTACTATTTCTGAATCATCTTCCATCTCTGATAGCAAATCAAGTGGTTCATCGTTGTCATCGACAATGTGATTTCCTGATTTTTCTATACGATCAAGCAGAAATCTATAGTAAAAACATATCAGTATGAAGCCACTTCTTTAATTGTTGCCAAATTACACTCTTTCCAATTTTAAATGTCGAATACTCTTACGGGCTTTGTATAATCTTACGTTGAGTAAGTCATTTTCCTAGAGATGAAATGAATAATTGTATAGTGAATAATAACAATAGCCTTACTTTTTCTACTTCACGTATACGCTTCTTAAGGTCAATAAGCTTATTTTTGTATTTAAGGTCTAAACATATATATTTTTTATTAGTCATAATAGCTTCTTTTTCATTTATATGAAATTACCTTCTGCCATGCTTATTGTTGATAAACAAAAGAAAAGAAAAAAAAAAAGGGAAATTTTGATGGTTGAGCCAAGACAAGTAAGCTTAACTCAGTTTCTTATGTGATTAATAATTACAAGCAGCTTTGTGTAAGGAACAGCAAGATGATACTCTTTAATAGCTGTTATTATAAAAACATAGGAGACAATAAGTTGGCATAACATGTGCTTCTTGACATAAATAACCTTGACAAAAGGCTATTATTAAAAAGAAGCTTATCAAGTAGCACTTTATGCAAAAGATAAAATAGAGACTAAAAATAGCAATTTTGATCTGGATCACATGGGTGCATCGACTGTATAGAAGAAGAAATACGAAAACACTTTAAAGAAGTAACCGTTACCTTTAAAGCATGGACGCCATCAAAGGGAAGACTGAACGTATATATCCTCATCTTTAAATCTTTGTGTATGGAATTTTATCTCAAAGTTTACATACCAAATCAATCAAGGTGAACAAGAATGTTTTTATCAATGCAATCTTTTGCACTATTCAGGATCTCTTGGTAATCTAATCGATATGGAAACTGGTAGATCACAAAAAAAAAAATAAGCTTTTGATATTGTACTAAAATAAGCTTCCCCAAGAGGAAGGATAGATCATACACTACTGGTTGAACAATTACACTTTATTCACAAATTATTCGCACACTGATAAAAAAAAAGATAATTTCAAACAACAAATGAGATAACAAATAATAATAAAAGAGAGCCCATCAAAAGCAAAAGAATGAGATATAAAAGTGCTTTTTAGTAAATCAGTTATTAAGTTGATATTAAATACTTACATTGTAAAGAAGAGGATTTATAAGAGTAAAACAGAAACAAGAATCGCTAGTAAACATGTAAAGACATGATGAACATCTTACCCGAAGCGCATTAACTAGGGCTGGCGATAACCAACCCGGAGAAAGAAGGGAAAAGAGCAAGAAAAGAGGAGCGGAAGGGGGTTGAACGAGTAGATGGGACCAAAGTTTGGTAAGAACCAAACTATCCCCAGCCAACACCGGGTTAGTTTCGATTGTGATCTATAATACTACATGTCAGTTTCTTGCAAGAGTAAAGAATATAACATACCTTAGGGCTAGCTGAGGAATAACTGGTTTTGCTTTTTGATCCAAAGAAGAAAAGAAAAGAAGAAGTCAAGATTAAACTATCTATATTAAGTCTCTAACAACTTTTCATTTTTTTATAAAGCGCTGTCCACATTTATTTTATGTATCTCTCAAAAAGACAGAATTCATTGTCTTTTTAATAATAAAGAAAGGGTTGATAATCAACAAAGTGTAGTTGTTATTGGTTTTAAATGGTGTGCGAATAATTTCTTAAAAGATGCTGCTTATAGTTTATTTAAAATACAATTTTTGTCGTAAGGGTGGAATGGACGCAAAAGCCCATTTTATGATGAACGAAATGACTTTTACTGTTGCTGTAGTTGCTTGATTTTATCCAACCATAACTTTCTAACGGAATCAGTTGAAGTGAATAAAGTAATGGTTTGATCATTTGTACATGTATTTTTAAATGTAATTGGAAATAGACAAGATGGTTCATATACAGTGGGTATATCCGCATTTAAATGCTTAATATGGATTGGCTAATTTTGGGGTGATTAGAATAGTAACCACTTCTTTATCTTTATACCTTTTGATACAGTTTATAATATTCCATTTGCTGATTGAATTTAATTTTACAGACAATAAATGCGTGGTCAAACAGAAATAATTGCAAATGAGTGCTACTTTTACTTCTTTTCATCTTGCCTCTCATCACAAGTTGGCGTTTAGGGTTTAATAGATCTAAGTCCTTTAAAATGGGAGACATATTAGATGACTCTTCTTCTTACACCTTGTAAACATACTTACCACTCCTTTACACGGTAATATCTTGCTCGATAATTGCTGTAAGTGAAATGCATTATCAGATAATCCAACCTGATAATTTAATTGAACAAGGAATTGAGTGACCATGTCCATAGCAACCGGGATATCAACATAATCTTGATGATCTTTAGGCGTTACTTCATGTATTGAACTCAACAATAAATTGTATCTGCCCAATCTAGACGTTGGTTTTGTCAAATAGCCATTCAGTTCCAATCTGCGTGACTCGGGTCTTCTTTCGATCCTGTCAGCAAACTCTTGGAATTTTGGATTAATCTTTTTCTCCAACTCAAACCTATGCTTGCCAATGATCTGATGCGCTCCGTATCGGACGAATGGTTCAAATTGCTTGACATGTGCTATCATGATATCTCCAATACATGGTATAACCGAGTGTTTGTCTTGTCGTATTGTAAGTGCTTTTGAAAGAGATGAGCTAATTTGTTCTATCTCGGCCAAATTCCAAAACACGTCTATAATAAATTGTTGTCTTCTTTCAGCAGGTATAACGTCGGTTGTCATGATAGGCTGGATCCAATGTTCCTTCACGTATTGTAGATCACTATTAAAATCTTGCTCTGTATAAACCAGCTCATATATACATTCTTGTCTCTTCTTTTCCCTATCATTTGTTTCCATGACGATATCTAAAGGAACAGAGTATCTCCACAGTGCTCTATCATTCAATTGCTCCTGATCACTATTTCTCAGTATGTTCTTTCTCTGTTTCATCCTAGGACAACTAATACTGTAGCATGGAGTTTTTCTTGTGCATGTTGGTGAATAACAATCAGTTAGTACAGTAAATACGCCATTCGTCACTGTTGTGCCTATATGATCTTGCAGTGAGTTCCCTTCTTTATTTTCTCTCCTTCGCCAGAGCACATTAGACGGAATATAATTTACCATCGTTATTAAATTGATAATATTCATTGTCTAAATCCTTCAACTTGTAATCATATGTAACGTGATGAAACAAGTTTTGCTGCCCCAACGCACGTCCCACCAACAAACCCAAGTTTCTATCCTGAACCTTGAGAATAGTCACAAGACAATCGACCATCTCTGATCCAGTAAAGATATCATGATACTCAATACCATCCTTGATAGCAACCGATGTGAGTGAAATGGTTTGCATAAACTCTTTGGCTACATGTGACAAAAGCGCAGTATAGACCATGTATTTGGGATGGATGCTGGGTTGCCTTTTTTGATTTAATCGGGAAAATACCTGCTGGATGACTGTCGATTGCTTCTTTTTAGTATTTTTGGCGTTGTTGTTGATGGTTTCAGATTTACTAGGTTTTAAAAAATCTAATAAAGAAAAAAAAAGTTGAAGGGGAAGGGGGAAAGTCTTGTCTGATCCTAGGAGACTTACCTACAAGTTTATGCGCAGTGGATTGTCTATGTGTTTCCTTTATGGGTAAGGCTGATAATAATGACGGATTAGAGACGCATCTTCGTCTTTGACGTAACAGTTTCTCTTGAAGGTTGCTTTGTTGTACATGATCATCTTGGCTTGACCTTCTTTTTGTTTGTTGATAGGCTTGTAGACTTTGACGTCTGACGGGTAAATTTTGCTTTAGGTAGCAATTTTCAATATCTGGTGTCAGTACGTTTCTTCTATAAGCACCTTGGTATTGATATGGGCTTCCCTCTTCAATGATCACGGCTTGGTCCATATCCCTTTTTTTTTTGTGAATAAGAATATTAAAAAAAAAGAGGGAGGAAAATGAAAATTAAAAAAAATGTGTTTAATTTCTTTTTCATCATCTTTACTATATGCAGCAACATTGATGAAGGGCAGCTTGCTTAAAAAAAAAACAAGATCTAGGTATGTCATCTTTTTGGTTACCATCATCATCACGCTATGTTGCTATGGATACTGCTTCAACTTTTATAAAATTCTTTACATAATGACATGCTTTAATCAATATGGCCAATAATTTTATTTAAACTATTTTTAGCTCACTTTTTTTATTTATCAAGACAGTCCTCTTAAAAAAAAAGTGTGCAAAAGATACGAGGGTCGACTTAAATGCCCAATGCATATATTTTCTAAATTATATTGTTACACACAATAAATTTCATTTTCTGTATCAGAAATTACAGTGCTCACAGCACCAATTCGCGCGGTTTCAAATGATTCTTTTTAAGCAAGTTGCACCTTTATTACTTGTGTCATCTTGGGGCTAGTTGCAGAAGTTATCTCTACTGAGTTTCTCGGATTAGAAATATGATGGTGAAAAGCATCAGCATGTTGGGGTCTGGGGGCTGGGAATAGACAACCTCTACCTTCTCGTGGTTATTCCTGTGGGTAAAAGCTTACTGCTTTGAAACCAAACGAGGCTTCAAGCATAGTTTACAAGTTTTTTTAATAAGTATTGTTAAATCAAATGAAACTTAATTCTTTAAAAATAAAAAATTAAGAATAGCTGATAATCTAAAAATTGGTTATCTTTATCAAGGAACATAAGCTTTATTTACATGAAAGCGACAGATTTACGGCGAAAATAGTAAGCTAAAGATGGCGTATTGTTTGAACCATCAACAATGAGATCAAAAGTTTTATGAGCCATCGTCATTGCTTGTTTACCTCTAAGCGTAAGCAAGAAGCTAACAGCCATAGTCGCGACAGGGGACGCGAGCTCAAGCCTGAAAGCTTTTGTAAGCCAAGAAATATGTTATCCGACAGGGGCATTCATGATCACAAACTTCATACTTAGGCCTAAGAAGTGGATTACTAAATATATCTTTATTTATGCAATATTTTTAACTTACCCATAACCAGACATTCAACAGCCAAAGGTTGTTTATTTTTCTAGGGTTCTTCTGTACCAATAAGAGCATCATATCTCTAAGTGTTTTAGAAAGCTTTTTAAGTCTGTCATCAAGATATTTGTTGTCAGTTACCGTAACGTCGTCTTTGCCAACTTCACAAAGGCTATGGTCATTATAGCATACTTCAAAAAGAATATCAACTTTGGCGTCGATAGTTTTTCTTGACTTTTTGTCTCCTGCTTCCAATACTCCATCTTCATTTTTGACTAAGGTAACAGCTCCACTTGCTCTTTCGCTAAACAATGCCTTAACTTCATTGTCCTTGAATGCTCTGTAAAAAAAGGATCATACGTCATGTAACAAATCAGCCTCTGAGAAACCATCCAGTTTGAGTCTGTTGCTGTATAGGAGTAACTCTGTGTTGTATCTGGTTTTGTTATTGAATCAGACAAAGTAAAAAATTACAATGAGGCTGTGTGTATTTTTATTCGGGAATAAAGTAAAGGGAAGAGAGGTGATAGCATGATCAATATTTATATATTCAGAAGCTAAGTTATTTAAACTGTTTTGACTATATTTGCTTAGGGTATAATAGATCCTATAACAACATTAGGTTCAGTTCTAGATATTGTATTTAAGCATTGGATAGTAGCGTGGATATTACAAGGCTGCTTATTGCATAATAATGAGCCATCTTTACATAAAACTCTTTCGCTCTTTTTTATCTTTATACACCTCGAAATAATTGTGAGGGAAACAAAAAGATACAATATTAAACAAGATCATCACTAAAAGGCACGAATTGAGTTAAGAATCACGCTGATAATGGATTAATGCCATGAGCACTTTATTATTAAAATGAATATTATATTTACGTCTGCAAACTGCAAAATTGAATGAAAGGTATTACTATGTATTTTTTTAAGCTTGTTTGGGTTGAACATTAACACGAGTATTGACACGTCTGGGATCTAATGTTTCTGGATCCAGTGAAGGTAAAAGATAAGAAATATCATCCCAAGGATGTCTGTATAATCCTTGCTTCAATCTCTTTTGATCCAAGTGGTGACCGATGAAACCAAGTGATCTACCAAGGACAAACAAACCATTTAATGTACCAATACGCATGTATTCTTCGGCTTCATCTTGATTAAAGGCTCCTGATTCACGCAAGAGATCAACAAAGGAAACGGCAATACAACCATCCACGTTCAAGATCAAGTTGTCTTTCTTGCTTGTTGTGATTTCTTCTACCTTTAATGCATAGTCCAAGATGGGTGTACGAGGGAAGTGCTTCTTGACGTAGTCCTTGACTAATTCAACACGCATATCAGGGTTGGTACGAGACTTGATCTTGTGGCCAATACCAGGAATCAACTTGTTGGCCTTACGCATGGAAGTGACAAATTCACGAGGAGTCATTCCACTGTCATAAGCTTTGGTGAAGTTGGTAGCAGCTCCATCAAGTGCACCACCAAATCTTTCACCAATAGTAAGAAGACCAGACACAAGAGATGAGATCAAGTCTTTGCCAGCACGGGTGGTGATAATGGTGTTCATAGCCTAAAAAATAAAAAGATTAGAATCCATCCTAATTTACAAAACAAAAGAGAAGACTTACACCAGAGACGGCAGGCCCGTGATCAGCAGTGAGCATCAAGACCATTTCGATAAATTTACAAGCATAGTCTGGTAAGCGACGCTTGAACCACAAAAGGGAAAGAACACCACCGATACCAATATCTTCCTTAAAGACATCAGTGATACGCATACCAGCATACAACAATTCCTGTCCTCTGTCATCAACAATGGTAGATACGAAGCTAGCAGGCTTACGAACGAGACCTAATTCTTGAGCCCAAGAGTAATCAATAGGAATCTTGGGGATTTCAGGCTCAGGACGAGGAATGATGACACCGTCCTTGACCAGCTTATTGTAAGCTTCAGCGAGAGCCAAGGGCATCTTTTCAAATGTTTCGGGAACAATGATACCGGCGGCACGCATAGCCTTGTTCTTGGCATCAGCAGTTTCCAAATCAGAGTTAGCCATAGCACCAGCATGACCAAATTGAACATCCGTTGTAAACATCTTGGCACATGTACCAATACACCAGGCAACAATAGGCTTCTTGATCTGTCCGCTCTTGACAGCTTCGATCACTCTGTATTCTTCAACGCCACCTACTTCACCGAGCAAGACAAGCATCTTACAGTTGGGGTCGGCCTCATAACGGAGCAAGTGGTCGATGAAAGTGGAGCCAGGATAACGGTCACCACCAATAGCAACACCTTCGTAGACACCGTCGGTTGTACGAGAGATGATGTTGTTCAATTCGTTGGACATACCACCAGACTTGGAAACATAGCCAACAGAACCAGATCTGTAAAGCTTAGAGGCGACAATATTATCCATCATACCACCTGTGTTACCAATCTTGAAGCATCCAGGCTTGATACCACCAACGGTAGCAGGACCAATCACCAAGACCTTGCGTGCTTCGGCTTCATGCAACAATTGACGAGCGCGTCTTTCGGGGACACCTTCAGCAATGATGGCAACCGTTTTGATTTGATTAGAGTAAGTAAAGATTTCACGAGTGGAATCAAAGACGGAACGGCAAGAGGCAAAGTTGACGACAACATCGACTTCAGGGAACTTTTCAACAGCGTCCTTCAAGGAAGTGAAGACAGGAATCAAGGTTTCCTTGGTACCCCAGTAGAACTTTTGAACATGAGAACCGCCAAAGGGATAGACCATGGCAGCCACAGAAGGAGTTTCACGCTTACACATAAAGTCAAAGTCAAGCATACCTTGGACAGCACGAGGTTGCATACCGTAGACTAAAGCACGGGTCTTGGAGGTGAAGGGACGATACCATTCGGCGGATTCGTCAGCTTCAGTAGCAAAGTAGGTCATGCGGTCATTAGGATTTGTAGGTGAGTTGTTGTCTTCGGCGATGGTCAACTTGGGTGTGTTGGCACCGGATGGAGTACCAAAGATTTGATCTTGGAACAAGTTACCAGAGGAACCAGATTGTTGTTGTTGAGTAGCAACATCGTTACTCTTGCCTTCCAAAGCCAAGGGCACAATATCAGTAATGTGAGTTTCAGGACCAAAGACTTGGATTTCGACACCTAAAGTTTCACCCAATTGGCGCATAGCACGCAAACCTTCTTGATAGTTGGGACCGCCACGACGGATGAAGATGCGCACTTTGTGATTGATCAAGGCCTGCTTGAATTCAGTCAAGGCACGGATGATACCCTTGAAGGTAGTAGCAACATTGGTAAAGTTGGCGATACCACCACCAATGAACAAGACCTTGCCTTGAGGATTAGCATTACCACGAGTCATCAAGTCAAGGATGGTCTTTGCATATTCATACGTTTGAGTTTCGGTAGGAGCACCAGAGTATTCACCATAGTTGGCTAATTCGTGAGCATAACCAAGTGCTGCAATAGCATCCGAGTAGACAACGGAAGCACCACCACCGGCAACCATAGTCCACACACGACCTTCACGATTCAAGACGGTCAACTTGAGTGAAGCACCAGTCTTACCATCAAGCTCTTGAATATAAGCTTCTTCGCGAGTGAGTTCACGACCAAAGGGAGCAGGGAATTCCATAGGAGGACCTTGGTCGACGTGTTGTTGATCGGCAACAAGACCAATATTTTGAGGGGCACGTGCGATGGCCCATTTGGGACCAGCTTCGAATTCTGCAGTTTGATCTAATTTAGCAGCTAAATCGAGATACATAACTTGAGGGGTTTGTCCTTCCACAGGATCTGTAACGACCAAGGGGTTAATTTCAAGATAGGTAAAATGAAGTTCGACATAGACAGCATAGAGACGACTGATAAAGTCAACCAAAACATCGTGCTTGAACTCTGGGACATCCTTGAGCAAAGTGTCCTTGATGGTTTGAGCAGAAGGGAACTCGGTGTTGACAGGAATCAAGAGCTTAAGAGCCTTTGCGTCGACATCACCAATGTCAATACCACCTTCATGAGTGAAGAGAATGTAATCACCTTCACGAACGGAGTTAATACAGATATAATATTCGGTGTTTGCCGGGTGCGGAGCAAATGGTTCGACCAAGAAGGTCTTCAAGACGCCCGTCGTTCTTTCAATCTAAAATTTAAAGATGATGATTATCAATCGGGAATCATCTCACCCACACTTTTTTAAAATGTTACCTTAATTTCCTTTCCAGCACGCTCTTCGATCCACTTGCGGGCTTCAGACCAGTCCTTGTTCAAGGTCAAGAGACCATGCTTTCCTCTTCTCTTGATCAATTGATCTGGCTTAGCGACCAACTTGTCAGTTAATAACCAAGGATGACTTTGTTCAAGGTTATCTAATTGTTGCTTCAAAGCAGCATCAAATGCACCAGCAGGGCCATTCAAGAGAGAAGTATTAACGTTGATATGAGCCAACTTGGTTGCGGCAGGAGTAAAGAGAGATGGAGTATCATTGGGTACGGGTACACGCAATAGGTGATAAGCTAAGAGCAACTTGCCATCATATTCTCTAATGGCTTTGGCAGACATTGTTTCAAAAGAGTTTGGTTTAGAAAAAGGGAAAAGAAAAAGATAAAAAAAGAAGAGAATAAATATAGCTGTCAAGCGTGACTTTAAAAATACCAAGTTTCCTAATATGGTTTGCCACCGAGGAGTAGAATCTGGTTTGGGTCTAGTCCTCGGTTAGAGTATCTCCCCCAAATAACAACTTTGGGGACACCCCAGATATGATGGGCATTGAGGCAGACAAAAAAAAAAAGGAGAAAATGGTTGATTTATTGATGATTACGTGATTTACTAATTCCTTGATTTCCTCTTTTTATTAAAGTGTGTACGATAATGTGCCCGCAGATTATCTGATCTACCAAAAGACTTTGTACATCCAGGATGCTCACAAGCAAAGGGACGTTCTCCTGTATGAACAAGCATGTGTCTTTTTAAATGTTCATATCTCTTGAAACTCCATTGGCATTGCTGATAGCCACATACATGCTTATGTTGTAACTTTCTTTTCTTTTCTTCTTCTTCATCATCATCTTCTTGTTGTTGTTGGCGTTGTTGTTGTGGTGATGGTTGATGATGGTGATGATGATGGTGTTGTTGTTGTTGTTGTTGTTGTTGTTGATGAGGGTAATAATAAAAGGGTATTGTTGGTGTTAATGGGGGTGTGATCGATGGATAGATGGAGTGATAATAAGGTGCCACAACTGGGTTATACAATTTTGATTGTTCCTGCTGATGGTATAATGTACTTTGATATGGGAGCATCTTTTAAGTGTAGAGATAAAGGAAGGACGGAAAAGAAGAAAGAAAGAAATATATAGAAGCATATTATATATATATATAGCAAGATCATCCCCTTTGAACTATATATAATGGATTGACTTAATGATCCTTACTGTAATTGAATAATGCATATATGAAAAATGTGTAAGGAATGTCCCATTACCTATTTAAAATTATGATTGGCCAAGACTTTTTATTAAAGCTTGAGAGTGAAAATAATAGTAGTAGTAATAGTAATAGTAATAGTTGATATCTAGCAAACTATTTCTAACTTTGTCGACTTGACTCATTCAACTCATATTCGAGGAATGTATCACTGAGGAAGTGTCTTTTGAAGAATTAAACATGTCAAATAATATAAGTTATGCATTAATAGACTGTGTTCATAGTGAAGACACAGAGTAGAAAAAGATGAGCCAGTGATTAAAATAATTAGTGTGTATCTTGTTATGAAACTAGTTTTTTTTTTTCTTTGTTTTGACTTCTTTTTTTGGTAAAGGGTTCAGACATGATCATTGAAGAGGCTGATCAAGATGGTGATGTATTCTATGACAGTACAGAATATGCGCCAGGAGAATATGAGGCAGGTTTAAAGTTAGCTTTGTAAAAAGAGAGAGAGAAAAGGACGCTTATTTCTTATATAGAAACTCATTGAAGAGGCAACTCGATTTAAATCAAGTGGAAATCAACATTTTGGTCAAGGCGAATATAAAGAGGCTATAGAACAATATGAACACGCATTACTCGCATGCCCCCTCACTTGTACAAAAGAAAGAGCTGTCTATTTTGCAAACATTGCAGCATGCCATATGAAATTGGTCAGTTCTATGCTTACTTGTACATAAACTTGACCTAATTTTAAATATTTTTAGAGCGAGTTTAAAGATGCCAAAGACATGTGTACTCAAGCACTCAAAATAGATCCCAACTATACAAAGGCTCTACTCAGAAGAGCTCAAGCAAATGAAAGGATTGGAACATATGCATCCATGTCAGAAGCATTGGAAGACTATAAGAAACTAAAGACTCTAGCGATTGATACATATATTCTCAAGGAGTGTGAGCGCGCAGAAAAAGAATTACCTACAAAGATAAACCTTCAGATGGAAAAGGAAAAGGAAGAGATGTTGAACAAGTTGAAGGATGTCGGCAATACCCTCCTAGGCAAATTTGGTTTATCCACAGACAACTTTCAATTCACCAAAGACCCTTCAGGCAGTGGTGGCTATAGTGTAAATTTTGTAAACAAATAAAGTATTTCACAAATATTGCTATGCATAATCTCTTGCTTTTTTTTAAGAATGTATCTTTTTAAGCTTAATACACAGTCACATCGAACTAGTGTTCGTACTATACAAAAATTTAGTAAAAATCAAAGCTTTTTTTAGATCAAGTAAAATTATCAGATATCTTTACCTGTAACAGTCTTTATCCCAGAAGGGATGCCGTGTTCATTATGGCAATTTTAAAAAACATTTAATTTCTTCTATGCTTGGAAGGTTGACCTCTTCCATCCCAAATCGAAAGAGAAATGGATAGCATATTCTTACAAGCGCTGACATCTCGTTGCCATAATGTTTTGCAGGTGTTACAAACCAGGATACTACAGCCTTTCAATCCAGATATTCTTGCAAGAGGATTATTATTACAAGCATTGCAAACTTTTGAACTCTTGTATTCATCAATTGTAACGGCGATAAGATCTCTAGCTGCTTCTCTTCTTTTTAACGCTCGCCAAAAAACTCCAGTGACGCCACGCCTGTTTTCCTTCAGCTTTATCGAGTCTTTGCCAAACATTCTCGCACCAAAGACTACAAGGGGCACTTTCTCTCTTTCCATTTGGAACTTTACGGGCTTCCAGTTTTGGCTTTTTTAAAACAATAATTAGATAAGACTTGAATATCAAAGCTAAAATTGATTACATACCTATTTTTGGCAACTGGGTTCTTTATTTCTTTTGGATTTGCCATCAGTTTTTGCTTCTTTTTTTCCTCCTGTGTCTCTTCTTTCTCTTATTATACTTGGTACCTCCATGTACAAGTATGTTCACCGTTTCTTCTGCCGCTCTCTGTTTGCCTTGATACAAGTAAAAGTGATCCTTTGCTGTTTTGTAATCATAAAATGCGAATAAGACACCAGCATGGGTAAGAATGTATTCAATATAGAGGAGATAAGCAACGCATTCAGCTGTTTTAGAAGAGGGTATACTGTTTTCAATTTCTTTTATGCCCTTTTGAACCTTAAGCTTTTCTAGCTGTTTAATGTACTTTGTCGATCCGGTAATGTGATAATACTCTGCTGTTGAGCAGCGTCTTATTTGATGGTTGGTTGTATCTAAACAAATTGCAGCAGTGAACACGCTTTTTCTCCCAGGATCTAGAAACATGGGCTGGTAAGTTTGTTTTACTTCTTCCAAGCCAAAATCTTCAAGCTTTAAATCAATGTTTGCTGTTAAAGAGATACCTTTTGTTGTTCTTTTGTTGAATACAAAATCAACTGAAAATCCATCAGACTTGACAGTATTTGCAAACATGGTTTTGCTGCTCTGATTCGGAAGCAAATCATCAACACTCTTCAAACAAGTAAAAAAGGTTACTGAGTACTGTACATGTAAGCAATCTACAGACAAGATTTTACCTATTGATTCTTAGTTTCTTAAATTAAAGGCTCTGCAAAACATTCTTAGTTGATCGTTGTATCCCCGTGGTAAAGGTTCTTTAACAAAGGCAGATAAAGAATTTGCGCTGATATTGATAAATCGCCAGTGCAACGATGGGTTTGGTAATGCAGAAAAAAGCCTAGCTGCATGTTTGGTCGGAAGCATGAAGGCTCGGTGTGAGGCGGTAATTGTCGCAAAAGGAGGGTCGACAAAGTATTGGCTTTTCTTTTTATTTTATATTTTTTAAATACATGTCAAAGCTTATTTTTTATAAGCATGAAATCTCAAAACACTGAACATGAAGAGCAATGGCTTTCCAAATGTTTGACGTATAATTTGCGGAAGATTAATTTACGTTTTGGTACGAAACCGAATTATGTATATCTCTGTTATCTATCTCTCTCTCTTTTTTCTTGGTTAATTATGACTTGGCCCGTTACTTTCAAGACTATATGTGCATTCAAACTGTCTCTCCTTTTGAGGTAATGCTCTCTCCTTTTGATTATCCAATCATATCAAAGGCTTTCTTTCAAATACATAATATTTAATTACAGCCTTTACCATGACTTTCTTTCTGATAAACTTAATTAATAATAATAATAATGCCAATTGGTGCCATTGTAAAACAAGTTGCCGCTGAATCATTAAAGACACAGGCCGCAACTTCAAGACTACGTTTAAGAAAAGCAGCATTGACTTTGGTACGAATAACATGTACAATTACTGATCTCATTTTCCCCCTCTTCTTACCCCCTGTTTTTTTTATATATTTATAGACACCTGCCGCCGTTTCTCGATTGAAAGACTTGACACAAGGACCCACACCAAAATACTTGAGGGTGGGTGTCAGGCAAAAGGGTTGTTCAGGAAACTCATATACCTTGGAATTTACAGACACAAAAGGCAAATTTGACGAAATTGTTAATCAAGACGGTAAAGTATCTCACAGTTTTTTAATCAATATTTGCTAACATTGGACTTTAGGTGTCACTGTACTGGTAGATTCTAAAGCATTAATCACAGTATTAGGATCAGAAATGGATTTCGTTCAAGATAAGCTATCGGAACACTTTGTATTTAATAATCCCAACGTCAAGGGAACTTGCGGCTGCGGAGAGTCTTTTGCTGTCAACTAAAAGAGAAACATTTTCTGTTACCCCGCTTATTTGTATTATAATCTTAGATGTGTAGTAATAAACTTGCTCATAATTGCATATAACATACATCATTCTTTTATTATTATATCATTTTACAAAAATACAGATGATATTAAGATAAAAAGGCTAAGGGATAATTCAGCAAAATTAATTTGATCAGACAAAGCATTGGACATAGAAGGAATTACTGTTGGAGTAACAAGACGAGTAGTTGAAGTTGTTGTCTTCATTGACACTGTGCTTGTAGTGACAGAGGCTGTGATACTAATACTAGTGGTTACAGCACTTGATGGGGCAGGCGTAATCATCGTATTTGATGGGCTAGGATTGGGACTCACAATAGACTGCATCGTAGGAGGCTCTGGAGATGTAGAAGAAGGAGCTGCATTTTCTGGCACAGGACTAGCAGGAGCCGTAGGAGCAGCAGGAGGCGAGGGAGTATTTTCTGGAAGATTCCCAGAGGCAGTAACGGGAGAATCACTAGCGGATATAGCAGGTGGATTCGCAGCGGATTGAGCCGAAAGAGGGTCAGCAATCGGATAGACAACAGGCCGAGGAGACCCAGGGCTAGACAAGGCAGTATTCGGCTGAAGTGCTTGGAAGGCAGGCGTATTAACACCGACCTGAGCGATTGAAGATTGGCCATTTGCTTGCGGTACATGGAGAGCATCAGGTATTTGAATCGATGGATATGTAGCGTACGGTGCAATGGAATCTATAGGAAGGTTAGTAAAAGATTGTAACGAAGCATCTGGAGGGCTAGCTTGTTGACCAGTAGCGGCTGGTTTAACAGATAGGGCATCAGATTGAAGAGAAGATACAGGAAAGTCATCGCCTTTTATATCATGTCGAATGGTATTTCCTTGTACGTTAGATGAGATAAACGGTGCTAAATTACTGCCTTGTATATCATTTCGCGGGGTATTTCCTTGTACACTAGGCGGAATAGAAGATGCCAAGTCACTGCCTTGTATATTTGACTGCAGAGTGGATACGGAATAGCCATCGCCTGTTAAACCAGATAATAAAGGTGCCGAGCCAATACTTTGTATATCAGATAGCAAAACAACAGTATCATCAACTGCCCTTGTGTCAGGCGGATGGTCAGTTTGGGATTCAAAAGTAGCCCGAGGGTGTCTTTTCCGAGAGAATGCTCTAGAGGCATGTTTAATGACATGCTTAGGTGAGAATTGACTAGGCCCGGGAGAGCCTTCAGCAGGTTGCCAGGATACAACAGGAGTTTGAACATCATGCTTTGGAAGTGAATCAGGGTTTCCAAGATTCTTCAGTTCAGAAAGAAGAAAGAAAAACTTGCTCCAGTCATCATGAAGAGTATTTGGAGCATGAACGTTGGTTCCTTGAGCGAGAGCATCTTGCAGAATAAGTGCAGAGATGAGAGCACTAAAGACAAAGTGGAATTTATACATTATGTTTTGATATCGTCAAAAGAACAGCTTTTCTTTGACTTTTTATATGTTTTCATTGAATTCATGATATACTAGTCGTAACTCTTATGCAAGTCTTTAAAGATGAATAAAAAGGAGGTAAGCATGAATGGTAATCCCTGTCTATTTTCTATCTCTGGATCAGGTGAGTGCTTCACCCTTCTTTTTGCATTAAAAAAATGTTTATTGTGTAGTAATAAATAGTATAATCTATACATGATATAACCCATCCTCTCTCCCTCTATTTCTCTTTCTCTCTCTTTCTATCCCTCTTTTTCTCATGTCCAGCTCTTAACTGTCCATATCGGCAATGTATTCAATAGGATTGGGAGGATGTATGATTTTCAGATGGTATTATGCTATCACAGATTTAATATGATAAAATAGCCAAAGGTAATGATAATTCACACATATACCTGAATACAGGGTTGCCATTTTGATCATATTCAGGGGTCACTTCTACAGTTGGTAAGCCAGCACATCTAAATATACTTCAGTAAGAGAAGTTTTTGTTCAAACTTAATTGGACCATTACTTTAAAAAGAGTCGTGGAAAGGGATTACATTCTATACATGAAAGGCTTGCCTCACACTGATATTGAACCATTTCATACAATTTGCAGTTCTCAGGAATGATGATTCTTGGAATTTTTTTACGAATCTCTTCTTGATCTGTCATGTGGTTGATTGTAGCAAAAAGAGAGAGAAAAGAGGATCTTTCCAATTCTGGTATTGTGACTTGTATAATTTGACATGTTCAAGGGGGTAAGTTTTCTCTTCTCGACTTTATTACATTCTATTCCATGGCTCAGAAATTTCGTGCTTTACTAGATCTTTGTCGACGTAGAGGATTCTTGTATCAATCAGCCGAGATCTATGGTGGTTTAAGAGGGGCATATGATTATGGACCATTAGGTGTCGAACTCAAAAAGAATATTCTTAACTCATGGTGGCGACGACACGTTTATTGTAGAGACGATATTGTGGGCATAGACACGAGTATTATTACACCTCACCCAGTACTTAAAGCCTCTGGTCATGTTGATGAATTCACAGATCTACTTGTCGACTGTACCTTAACAAAAGAGCGCTTTAGACCAGACAAGGCTCCAGAACTGACCTTGGATAAGAATGGCAATATACCACTGACTGCATCAAGTAAGGAGATAGCTCAGATTTGGCAAAAGACAATTGAAGAACAGCTTGCTCCTGGTATAAAAACATCTTTACAAGGAAAGACAGTGATACTGCATGTACAGAGTTCAACTTTATGTAATCCTGAAAAAGGCCATGGAGAGATCGTGTTTGAGATGAAGGATGAATCGAGATTACCCACTACAATTCGTTATGATGGATATGTTGAACCAAATACAAATTCGCCCTTTCTAACTGCCAGTAGACCTTTCAATCTGATGTTTAAAACCTTTCTTGATCCCATTGATCCCATCGATCGTGTGATTCAGACAACACTAGAGCAGGCAACCAAAACACAATCATCGATTCGAGCTGCTGTTGACGACGTGTTGAGACCATCGACAGTATATCTTCGACCAGAAACTGCTCAGGGTGTCTTTGTTAACTTTGAGCAGGTTGTCCGTACGATGAAGACGAAACCACCATTTGGTATTGCACAGGTTGGAAAATCATTTAGAAATGAAATTCGTTTGGAACATGGTATCTTTAGAACACCAGAGTTTGAGCAACTAGAACTCGAATACTTTGTAGCGCCTTGGGAATCAAGACACTACTTTAAATACTGGAGACAAAAGAGATTTGAATGGTGGCTAGAGCATGCTTGTCACCCTGAGCACTTTAGACAACGAGATCACGAGAAAAACGAGATGGCACATTATGCTACTGGATGTACCGATGTAGAGTACTTGTTCCCTTGGGGCTGGGGCGAAGTAGAAGGTGTTGCACACAGAGGTGATTATGATCTTAAACAGCACATAAAGAATTCTGGTGCTAAATTCGAAATTGATGATGAGAACCCAACCATTTCTGACGCTGTTAAAGAGAGTGGCGAGTATGACGGATCATTAGTGCCTTCAGGCTCAACACGATATATACCTCATGTTGTCGAAAGCTCGTGTGGGCTTAATCGTGCCATGCTGGCTTATTTATGCGACGCTTTCCATCAAATTGAGGATGAAAATGGTAAGCTACCAGCTAGAAGCGTACTCAAACTACATCCTCAACTTGCACCTATCAAGTGTGCTGTCATGCCTCTGACAGGAAAACCAGAATTCATGCCTCTAACACAAAAGATTGCCAAATCTTTGCGTGTCCATGGATGGTACACTGTTGTTGAGTCACAGAAACTAAAGATTGGAAAACGATATTATCGACATGACGAGATTGGTACTCCATGGTGTATCACGGTTGATTATCAAAGCTTGGAAGATGACACTGTTACTATAAGAGAAAGAGATACTGGTGAACAACAAAGAATGCATTGGAAGGAAGTACGGCACTACGTTGGTTCACAGCTTGTAAATGATGACCTTGATTAATAAAGAAAAAGAAAAAAAAGAAGTTTCCTTATTGGTCAAATCAAGCACTTGCTTAAAGTCGATCATTATTTGTTTATGTTTTCTTCTTTCTTTTTCTTATTATAAAATAATAATGTATTGGCTTAATGGCATTGCAAACCAACTTTCACTTGATTCAACAATAACTAAAGACAGTAGCGAAGCTTACTCGTCAAAAGTTCAGCGTGTTCTATCTCTCCAACCTTCTAATAACGCGTCCTTGTTCATCAGTTGTACACGCACTTCTATTTATCTATGGTCTGTAAAGGTTCGTCAACTGTATGTTGCAAAGTGTGCATGTAGAATTTGTAGTATATTAAAACAGATTTAAATAACAATAAGCCAACTACAGTATTATCCTATGTCGAACGGTCATTGAACCATATTGACGAATTTGGTGAGAATGTAAAAGTAATTTGGAAGCCTGACATGACACATGTTGCTATTCAGGTAAAAGGGATGCATCTATTGATTTTGCGCAAATTGTTATTCATTAAAGAGTAGACTTCAAAAAACTACTTGCTATTGTATTCTATTCTATCCTATGAACAACAATCCTTTGAACTCAACTTTCCAAACCCAACACATGCAGTCATGGCAGGACCAGGAGAGGGAAAAGGACCAAAGACAATGTTGCTGAAATTCAGATTGACTATAAGAGTGGATGCAGGCATTATTTGGTATATATATATAAAGCAGATATCTTTATATTATCAGCTTTAAGTAAACCATAATATCATATAGTGGTACATCTTTAGATGATACTCTCGTTATAGCCACACATTCACCGCCAGCAATACAATGTATTTCTTGGAACCCACAACAAGCGAACGCAACTCAATCTTCACTTTTATCCAAAATTGACTTCTTTGATAGCAATGGTACACATACATATATATAAAAACGGGATATCCAAAAGACAGAAAGATAGAGATCTTACTTTTAAATATATAGATCAATTATCCTACATCACCTATGAAAAGAGTCTCAACATATTTGTTTGGCTGTCAGCAAATGGGAAAGTGTATTTCACTAAGATGAAGAATAATCACAGTCAGAAAAAAGGAACAACGACTGTCTCAGAACACAAGATTCAGTGGGTAGGGACATGCTTTCATGGGAAAGGGGATATTCTTGTGGAGGACAAGGCTACGAGTGTATCCATCAATTCAACCTTTTCATTGATTGCTGTGGGGACAACTGGTGGAACAGTTTATGTGTACTCTGTCGAAAATTATAATGCACCACCGGTGTTTTCACACAAGTTGCAGTTAATGTCATGGAAATCATCTACAGGATCTGTTGCATCACTAGCATGGACGTCTGATGGACATGCGCTATCTGTTGGCTACGAAAGCCATGGACTAGCGGTTTGGAGTGTCTATGGAAGCATGTTGTGTGCTACAAATGAGCTGGATGAAATAGCCAATGAAGAAAAGTAAGGAAACACGAGTAAAAGTAAATGCCATCAACATAGTAACGGGATTATAGCTTGAAGGATACATATATAAAGGGTATTCAATATCTGGTAAGTAGAAAGAAAGAAAAAAAGAAAAAAAGAAAAAAAGAAAAAAAAAAGAAACAAGAACAATAGGTTCCTTAAAGTTGATGCATTAGTTTTGGGGGCCAGGAAATTATAGTTTATATGTTTTAGCAAAATACAAAGCAAATGAGAACATTATGTATACACTCCCCTTTGTTAAATCTGCTCTAGCGACTTACTTACATTCTGTAAGATTGCGCGTTCATCTTTTATTTGTTTGTTATTAAACGCTTACTAGGATAACGCAAAGAAAGGCTTATTACAAATGGACGATCGAATGTTAATATATAATAGTAGTGGCGATTATCAGGATGAGAGCACCACGATTGATCCTGCAGCTGTAGCTTGGACACATATACAGGTACAATTTATCTTATTGATTTATGTTTTTATTTAATGCATAAAAAGTATCCTGCCATGTATATCGCAGATAATTGGCCCATTCGCTACTCGTCTATCAGCTCAGATGGCAATTACATAGCCATTGCCGGTAAACGCGGATTTGCTCACTACAATACCATTTCAAGCAGGTGGAAGCTTTTTGGAAATCAACAGCAAGAGCAAAGTTTTCTTGTCAGAGGAGGCATGGTTTGGTACAAGACAATATTGATAGTATCCTGTGAAAATGTCCAACAAAAGACTTATGAGGTATAAAGTGCTCAATATATAATCATGTGTGTGTTTTCATCGTTGATAGATTCGTCTATATTCTCGTGACAATAACCTGGATCATTCTCAAGTGTTATACACTGAACCATTATCTAGTATGCCTGTTTATATGACATTATGTGGAAACTTTCTGCTTGTGTATACAACAGAGAACATTGTGAATATTTATAATGTTATGTTAAGCAATAACAACAACAACAATAGCAATAGCAACAACATGATCAACAGGCAATTAAATTTTGCAAGGCTGGAGCCAGTAAGAAGGATATCACTTGATGGAATCGTCACTCGTATATCAAAGGTCAGAAGCATCAGCCTATTTCATATATCTCATGGAGGTAATCAAGATCATGATTTGGATACAGATTTTGTTTTAACACACATCGGAAAGAATACATCAGATCTACTGATAGCGTCATTTCATCAAATATTACTTTGCTTGTTGGAGGAAAGTTGCTTATACTTTCGTCAAATGTAAAATAACCCTTTTCTATCAGCTTATTTTTAACTATGAATATGATAGGACAAGACGGATGATCCGACTGAGAAAGAACATTCGCCCATTCCCTTTAATACTCATATTATTTCAGATAAAACTGAATATTACTGGATAGGGAAAAAAGGCATTGAAAACCTTCGAACCTCATTGTGGATCATGAACGGGAAGGGCCTAAGGGTTCTTACGAATTTTTTACTTCCTGAAGAATTCGATATCACCAGCAATCATTATTCGGAGAGTGAGCCATCCACACCTACGACACCCGGACATTTGTCTCCAGGTTTTGATATTGGAAGACCATTTTTATTAGGATACCATATTGACAATGAAGAAGATTCATTACCGTCTAATGAAATGAGGACTCGATGGAAAATCGATGATTTTGAAGGTTTGAAAGATCAAGCGATTGATATGCCTCTAGACTTTTATCCTATATGTAAGAGGCCAATTTGTATATACATATGGTTGTGTGCGTAATTGCTTATGTTCATATAGCCATTTTGATTGAAAAGGGAATTGTCATTGGAGTTGAACAAAGCATATCATATAACGCCTTCCTGGGATTTGCCTTATTCAAGATGAGTCCCAAGGTATAAAAAAAAGCTTTAAAGGATAACGACTGAAAAACACTTGAAAGATGCATTTATTCCTGCATCATATTTTTAGATACTTGCTACAAACTGATCTAGAAGAGGATGCTGTTACATTTGCTAAAGCATATGAAAAGTTCACTTATTTCAGCCATGTACTAGAGATACTGTTGCATACAGTTTTAGAAGAGGAAGCAGGACGGGATGTGATGGATGGCAAGTATAGCAGATAATTTTATTATTGGAATTCTACTAATTGTATGTTTGGATAGATGCTATCTTGCCTTTAGTCATCAAGTTCTTGGATCAATTTCCTCACGCCCTTGATGTAATTGTAAGCTGTGCAAGAAAGACAGAGGTAGCCTTGTGGGATTATTTATTCTCTGTTGTTGGTAAACCCAAAGATTTGTTTGAGGTATGTAGTAATGATGATAAATAAGAATGAAATTAACTTTTTGCTCTAGATATGCCTAGAAGAAGGAAGGTTACATACTGCCACCTCATATCTTATTATATTACAAACTATGCAGCCCTTAACTGTAGCTGAACAAGTAAGGCAGGCAATTCGTTTAAATGATAAATGCCTTATTCTTTATAGGACACAATGCGTCTGTTACATAAAGCCATGGATGAAGATAATTATGAGTTATGTAAAGAATTGGTTAGGTTCCTTAGTTCGATTGATAGTAAGTGGTATATGATTAAGCAAAAGAAACAGACTAAGATCAAAATAGATACAGGAAAAGCCCTTTATGAAGCACTTCAAATGATCAAGTCACATGTAGATAATAACACGAATGACAATCAAATGGATAAAGTGAAAACAAAGGATGTATAATCTTTACACAGTGTTTAAGTCCTCCCAAAAAGTTATCTAGAAAAGTTTATTTTGTGTCTATAGTTTCGAAAAGCACAAGCAACATTTGTTGTCACATTTAAGTCATTTTTACCCTGACGCTTCAGCTAGTCTATGAGGTTCTTCTTGTTAGTTAATTCAGGCAAGGGATCATATCCAATGATGGTAGGCATGATTCATGTAGATAGCAATGTAGTAAAAGCTTAGTACATACAAGTCATTCATTAAGAGCGATTGATTATATCCATATATTTTTTTATTATTCAATCCATTCGAAACTATTGTAAAAACCATGTCATCTGTCTCGTTATTAGCTTGGACTGGATGTCTCCAAAAAAGAAAACATACTGTTGTAGAGGAAACAGTTTCACCTGTAATAGGGTTCAGATGCTTTTACAATCTGTCTCTAGTTAGAACTCAGTCAGCTTAGCAGTAGTATTGCTCTGATTGGTTCAAAGACCCTATTCTCAAGTTCAGCTAAAAGGCAATTAAAAATTACGCATTTGCCTTGGACTTAGTTTCCTCTCTTTCTCTTTCTCTCTTACTCTTTTCAGTTTTTCCCCCCTTTAAGTAAAAAGTAAAACCAGTACTTTAAATACAACAAACACATAAATACACACATACAGAGAGCCTTTTTGTTTTATAATAAAAGTGTAATGAATATGTCTTCTGATGAAGAGGATCCTGATTGCCCTTTATGTATGGAAGAATTGGACATTGCTGACAGAAACTTTAGGCCATGTCCTTGCGGTTATCAGGTTTATAATATCTTCATTGACTTTTTTGTTCTATTTATCTAACTGCTTCATGTAGATCTGTCGTTTTTGTTGGCATCACATCAAAACTAACCTCAATGGTCGATGCCCTGCTTGTAGAAGGCTGTACAGCGAACAAATTGTCGAGTTTATTCCTGTCAGTGCAGAAGAAATTATGCGTTTAAAGAAAGAAAAGAAAGAAAAGGACCGTCAAACACGAGAAATGCGAGATCCAACCAGAAGACAGCTTTCCAATGTACGAGTTGTCCAAAAGAACTTGGTTTATGTTCTTGGCATGAGCTCGAAATATGCCTATGCAGATGTAAGTTTTTACCCGAGAATAATCAAGAGTTTTGCTCTAACTCTATTATAGAACGAGATCTTTAGAAAGTATGGCAAAATTGATAAAGTGGTCATCAGTAAACGCTCAATCACTACAAATACTAATGCTTCGGTCGGAATCTATGTGACATTTGCAAAGAAAGAGGACGCATGTAAAGCAATCGAAGGTTTAAATGGAATAGAGATTGACGGTAAAACTATCAGGTTCGTTGGTCAACAAAGCGACCGGTTGCCATATAACTAATATCACCATAGAGCGTCCTATGGAACAACTAAATATTGCACTTACTACTTGAGGCATATGGCTTGTCCTAATCCAAACTGTATGTATTTGCATGAACCCGGTGATGATGTGGATAGCTACAATAAAGATACAGTAGCAATTGGGTAAGGACCATATTACGATTCCTTTTTATTAAAAGATACTAAAATAATTGACAGTAAACACAGCAATACAGCTTCAACATCTTTGAATGGCTCGACATATCCCAATAAGAAACCTGCAACTGGTCTAAAACCAGTGACATCAAAGGCTGCTGTAGCAGAAAGTAGACCATCCGCTTCGACCACGCCTCGCACATGGGCACCTATACCCAAGGTTGTCCCAGTTTCACCTGCTGTTGCTGAGGCTGTGCCAGAGACTGAAGAACCAGCCGTAACGCCGCCAATGCAGTCCAAGGAAGTCCCTGTGAAAGCAAAAACAACGACTAGCCCTGTCTTATTAAAACCTTCTAAATCAACTACGACAAAGAAGACAGTGGTAGAGAAAGCTAAAAAGGCTATCAAGATGAACCTAGAAGAAGAAGAAAAACCAGCTCTCCCACCTACTGCGTCGTGGGCAAAGGCCCAACCATCTGTATCTTTGCATGAAAACGTGATTACTCCTACACACTTTGGGCCATCCTTATCCGATGCTGTACAAACTATACAAAAGCCTAAACAGTCACCATTATTGAAGGTAAAGAAGGAGAAAAAGAGCAAAGGACGTATGGTACGGCTTGAGGAATTTGAAGAGGCGGAAAGAGAAGCAAAGAAGGCCACACATCAGCCAAAAGACATCACTCAAAGCGAGCCATCTGCAGAGATTAATACAGCACAAGAAATTCCTACTCAGGAAAGTTTGCCATCTGCCATTCATGATATTTCAACACCGATGAAGGCAAGTGTGGGAATCGAAAAGGACCAGGCTTCTTTCGGTGTAAACTCTTTGAAAGAAAAGGAAACGCGTGATATTTCTATGGAAAGTGATAAAGATATCGCTGAAAATGATGAAGATATCACCATGAATGAGAGTGAAGCAAAGACTGAGCAACTAATTGAAACGGTCAAAGCAGAAGCCGCTTCCTCTATGGAGAAGCCAACTACAGGTAGCTTAAAGACCGCTAATGTTGAGGCAGATGGGCAGCAGATTGATAATTTGGAGGAAAAGCAACTGATTGATGCAGATCAGAGTAACCAGGAACATCTGAACGAGCATATCGCCCTACAGGAAACGTCAAAGGTCGATCTTAATAACGAAAAGAGACAAAAGGAAGATGTCTTTGATGTACAACAACCTACTGAGAAAGAGGCTGCAGACATAGGAAACGTGCTTAATGAAAGACAAGACGAGAGAACCAAAGAGAAAGTAGAGGTGCTGGCTTGTTTAAATGAAGAAGTCATTAAAGCATTTGACGTGGCAATGGCTAATGAAGCACTTCCAGAAAACCTTGAAAAATCTCATAGTCATAATGAAGATACAGCTTACAGCAATGATACACAATCAGATATTACAAGTTCTGGCTTAAGCGAGCACATTCCTTCACCATTAGTTGCTATGGAAAGATTATCTACTCTTGTTGAACGAGAGATTTTGACAGATATCATTCCTTCATCTCGCCAGCAACAACCTTTAGAGGATAATTTGCCTAAAGAAACTTTACGTGCGTTTGAAAACAATGTGTCAGCTTGGCCAGAAAGTCGACGTCAACCTATACCACCTCCTGGACTTCCCGTACCACCTATTTTGCCGGAATGGATGAGCAGAAGTTTCGATCCATTTAACGGTCAAGATCCTTCACTCATTGCTGCACGTCGTTTGCAACACTCACAACGTATGATGGAAGCAAGTGGTTTGTTTGGTATGAACAACGGTTTCCCTCAGCATCGACCTCCTCCTCCGCCTCTTCCCAACGTTCCACATTTTGGATTTCCTCTTAACCTTAATGAAAATGTGCCTGGTTTCTCTCATCAGCCACCACCATTTCCAAACATGCTCGCTCGTCCTCCACCTCCATCTCATCCTCATGGAATGATGAGACATCATCCCCCACCCCATCCACAAGAAATGCTCAATATGTCACGATTTGGCGGACCTCCACACCACCAACATCCTCATCACGGGCCTATAGATGATACAAACAAGTTAAGAGCTGAATTCAATGCTATGCATTTGAACGGTAATATAGACGAACTCCAGTCCCGCGAGAATCTTAGAGCCTTGCTGCCCAATGTAAATATCAGTTTTAATGACCAGCAGAAAGTAAAAATGGAAGAACTTCATCATTCACACATGATGCACCGCCAGGGAATGCTTCAAAGACAACCAGACCAAGAAAGTCATGGATCCACACCCAGTAGTCATCACATGAGTCCGTTAAGACATGGATCAATGCCTCCTAATCTACACTTCCATCCTCCTCCACCTACTCCTGATCATTTACAAGGAAACACGCCACCAAATTTCTTTAGACAAAATTCATTTAGGTCATCTAATCAAAGTGTATCGTCTGTGGATGGAAATTTCACACAAGATACCAACCCGGACGTGAGGACAGAAGCGCAGAACTTCTTTGGCGAGTTCCTTCGAAAGGCAGCCTCTTCTCATCAACAAGAAAGTTTAGAAAAGAAAGATGAGCAGTATGAACCAAAGCCAGGTAAGATCAACCATATTTGAGCGGCATGTGTATACTAATGGTTATTTAGAAAATCCGCTCATGTTTCAGGATCCTGCGATTATGTCTGTGAGTGTAACAGGTAACAATGATGCCAATCAAGAGTCAAATCAAAGCACGATGCTGCAAATTCTAGGTGGTCAACAACCCGTGCCTTCATCGATGGTGGAAAATCAGCAATATCACATGCAGCAGCCAAGACCTGTTGATACAAGATTTGCAATGAATCAACAAAGAATGATGATGTCAGATCCCAACATGGATGAAAGAGGAAGAGAACAACCATTTGTTAATAATGCAAATGGCAACGCTATGTTTGTTGGCATACCACCCTCTTTCCCACCGGGCCAGCCTAATCAAGATCCCATGTTTAACCCCAACAATAACTATATGCAACAGCAACAGCAGCAGCAGCAGTATCAGCGACAACCGTTTTTACCTTTCATTCCACGTTTCCTTGAACCTTCAATTAATACAATGGGACATATAGGCGGCGCGCCTCCACCGCCAAATCCAATGATGAGACCACCTATGATGATACCTCATCAAAATGACAGTTTTAGAAATACAGGCAATATGCACCACCACCATCATAACCAACAACAACAACGTCCTCCGGGAAATATATAAAGTAATAAATCCTTTTTGTTTACAAAATTTGCGTTATTGTCACGACTTTTTTTTTTTTTTTTCATTGTTTCCTTAAATTACCTTTATAGTCTATCTATTCTTTTTCACTGCTCTTTGGTTTCTAAGAATATAAAGTCTATTTCAATTATTAAAAGACAGGATCAATAACTGCCAAATAAATTGATCCAGGCGCATCAGAAAGTAGCGTGTCCTAAAGATAATAAAGAAATCAACTTTTTTTTTTTTTTTTTTTTTTTTTTTTTCATTGTACTCTATCGATTACCGATTTTTACAAAGACAATCAAGTTGCATAGAAATATCAATGATATTAATAATTTCAACATAATCAGCTCTAAAATACTTTAATTTTTCTTTGCAAAAGCAAGGAGGGCTCAAAGCAAAGCTATATCGAAACAACTTTTCAAAGAAATAAACTAAAATGATGTGGTTGGTATCTCTCTCTATCTGCAATGAATTTGGATAAGGAATTGATTTCCATAAATTAAAAAATTAAAAATTAAAAAAAGGAGAAAGTGTGTAAAATAGAAAAGACAAGAAATAAAAATGTAAAATAAATCATTATATAAGTCACCTTTATGTGAAAGAGACTAGTTTTTATTGCTTTGTTATAAAAGTCAAAAAGTGAAAGAGAATTTATGTTTTTTATATGGAAAATGATAAACACGATACTCAACAAGTTAAAAGTAAAAGAAGGAATAAAAGATGGTTTTTACTACTTAAAAGCAAGCCTCATTTAAATACGATGAATATCAATTTTATACGCGTATAAAGAAGTAATAGCAAAAAATTAGAAGCTGTTTGACATGTTTAATTATTCAAGCAGGTAAAATAATCATGTCTTTGCACAACAACTACAGTAGACTTTTAATCATGGAATACATATCGGGAGTACGAATGGCATTCCGTAATCGAGAGTTCAGTGTAATTTATTTTATAAAGATTTTTTATATAAAATTTCAGATGTAAAGAAATAAGTTGTGATTATGGTGGATCAAGATTTTATGCTACGCCTTTCTGCATAAACTCTTATTAAAGTGATAAAAGCTTCTATGTTCATAAAATTAACTAGCGAAGAAAATAGAGTATTAAGCTAAGCATCTATAGCCATACATCACCATACTATTATGACCAAAAAGTACTTTGAAAATGTTAGAATAAGCAATTCATAGCTAAATCATAATGCTCTATTGTCATGGTTACAATTGCACAGCAGAAAACTAAATGAAATGAATGGGGCGATTTTATTAACTGACCTGAAAAGCCTGTATGAAGAGTAAACTTTTGAATTATTTTAATATGCTATGCGTTACTTTAATCAGAGTTTTCCTCTGGTAAGCTTGCTTCTTGGTATCCTTCCATGTTTTCGATTAAACACATTGTCAGTGGATCAGAAAAGCCAAAGAACTAAAAAAGTATTAATAGAGAAAATACACAGAATTGTAAAGATATTTACCAGTGGCCCACTCACACGCGTACTACTTGATTTACTCCTTATACATGCTTCAGTCCATGGGGCAGTTGGAGTTTTTCCAGTAAAAGTAGTAGAGTTCAATTGCACCTACATAGATGCATAAGCATACGCATCGTAGCTGGGAGATGTTCTCAACTTACAGTAAATACAGGTTCTCCATTAGAGTTTGCTTCAATTCCCATTGTGTATTCATTGCCAAAGTGTGATTTTGTTGCTCTGTATCCAATAGGATAAGGGTGCTTGTATTTGCACTTGTAATTATTAGTAATAATTCTTGTCTAAACTTAGTATCTTACTCCTCTACTACTCCATGATTTTGACCTGCCTTTGCCAGTATTTAACGTTCCTAGTGACCAAATAGTCGTGCCAATGCTCCCTAGTGCCATGATTAAATCAGATAACAAACACTTGGATCAAACAGTTTACCATACTTAGTGTTAGAGGTACGTATATGTTTTCAATCGCGGGCAGAGAATCATCCTTGTCTGCTTCATTTGGTCTTTCCGCTATATCCAGCTGACGTATTCTATCATTTTCATCTACTATTTCATCCAACTCAGTCTATAGGGGCAATATAATCTTAGATACGCGTTTTATATCGAAGATGATCATCTTACTATCTCTTCAGGAGTTTCTCCTCGAATTCTTCGTGATAGTCTTACAGGTGTCTTGGGCGTTTTTGACTTGGGTGGTGCTCTATAGTATCGTTTGACTTTCTTGTTTTCCTTTTCATGTCGTCCAATTGAAGGAATGTCCTGAATGAAGAAATTATTCAACATGTCTCTTCTGTTCCTTAATGTATCATTTTACAGCTGCTATACCCGTAGGTACACCCAAACCTAGTTCCCGTAGAATATTCTGGTTTTCTTCCATGTTTAGCTTTCTTTTCAACTCATAATTACTATCATACAAAATTTTTAGTAACAAGCACTTGGTAAACTAGTGGTCATTTACCTTAATTCTGCTGGCATCTTGCAACAACACGAAAAAAATAAAGGTTCACGTCTTAGCGGAGAGTGAAGAGCTAGAAAATATTTTTGAAGGGGTCTCATTTCAGGCACGCTTATTTCATTATAATATCGACGATAGTTGACTGAAACTGTATATAGTTCATACATCTATGATCTTTGTGTCATTAATAAAGTATCTAACCTCTCAAAGTCAATTTGCATACTTTAGATGGTATACACCATTTTTTTAGTTCGCTTCTCTATCCAATCATTAAAGGTATTTATGCGGAATGGATACCATAAATGGTAATTTAACAGTGATGGGTACAGGTGGCTTATGAATATCGACCATTGTTATTCATTAGGCAACTTCGGCTATTTTTTGTTTGTATTTTACGAGTGTACATACATTTCTAAAGGTATTGTTTGTACCCAATTCTTTATGTTGTATATAAAATTTAGTTTATAGAATATAAAGACACAAGCATCAAACGGAGTCCTAGACAATTTACGGAAATTTCAGCATGCACAGTGCTGACATAAGGTTTGTTATAATAGCATGTTTGTGTAAGCAATCAATTGAATCAACTAGATCATCAAGGACATTAACTCTCGACTTTGACAAAAAAGACCTGGATTATGATGCAGGTAAGAACAAAGAAAATAGCCGCAGGAAAACTTAATCCTTTTTTTTTCCTGCTTTTTTTTTTTTTTTTTTTTTTTCTAAACATGGAATGCATTTCTGTAGAAGCAAACTTTCTATCCAACAAATATAATGCAGATTCTACAAGCAAACTAAATAATGAAATGGATTTGAAGACATTCAGTGAACTCTCTCTTCATCCAAATAATGTAGTCCATCGATCTTCCATTGATTCTCAAGCAAAAGAAGATGACGTTTTTCAATCTCGGTTTAATGAGCACACCAATGGAGAACAATCTGAACAAGAAGAGGATGAACAACCACAACTGCCTTCTGCAACGGCCGATGCTATGGAAACATATATCAATATAGCCGAAAATATATATTGCGGATCTGCTACGGGAAAAACAATTGCTGAAGAATCTATGCCATGTGAATGTAAATACCAGCCAGACATTGACGACCCGGATGCAGCTTGTGGCGACGATAACCATTGTATCAACAGAATGATGTTTATGGAGTGTACAGCAGAGGATTGTGCATGTGGAAGATATTGTCGTAATAGACGTTTTCAACTACGACAGTATGCTCGGGTTGATGTCATCAGAACGGAAAAGAAGGGATTTGGACTGAGAGCATTGACAGATTTACCCACGTAGGGTATACAGATTGCAGTGATGATAAAGGAGCTAATTGAGTTGCTATAGTAACGCTTTTATCATGGAATATATCGGCGAGGTCATTCCAAATCATGAATTTATAAGGAGAACAAAGGAATATGAAGCTTCTGGCCTGCAGCATTATTACTTTATGACACTAAAAACTGACGAGGCAAGTCTAATTTATACTTGACAGAAAAGAAGTATGGGACTTAATAAGGGATCAATAGATTATCGATGCAACTAGAAAAGGCTGTTTAGCTCGATTTATCAACCACTCTTGTAACCCTAATTGTGTAACGCAAAAATGGGTTGTTGGCAAAAACATGAGAATTGGTATTTTCACAAATCGATTCATCAAAGCTGGAGAAGAGTTGACTTTTGATTATAAATTTGAAAGATATGGGTAGGTAAGCCTTTATATTGCTTTGACTCTTTCTGATCTTCTGTTAGTGCTCAAGCTCAGGTATGCTACTGTGGGGAGGCAGTATGTAAAGGATTCATTGGCGGTTCATTCAAGAATAATGAATCAACAGTGGCAGATGATTCATATAAGAATAAGAAAAATAAAGACAGCAGAAACGAAGAGGACGACGATGATGATGACGACGACGACGACAGTGATGACAATGATGATAAAGAAGAGAGCGATTCTGATATTGAAGAAGCAGTAACGCTAACACAGAAGCGAATGCTAAAGAAATGGAATAGGCGTAAATCATGCCAACCATTAAAGAATCCTGATGAAGTCAAATCATTTGTCAAGCGAATGCTAGACTCTGTTGGCAAATCGCATCTTGTAATGAGATTATTGCGTCGCTTAGAGCTGACAAACAAAGACACAGCTTTGGGAAAGGAAGTCTTGAAAAGGTTTATTCGCCTGCATGGTCTCAAAATGCTCAAGTTCTGGTTAGGAGAATGGAAAAATGACAGAGATATTCTCATCAGAGTACTACATGTTTTATCCCAGTTACCCTTAGCCAACAGAAACGGCCTTGAAGACTGTAGGATGTTTGATGTAATTGAAAAATATGCCGACTGTGAGGACGAGGAAATCAACAGCATAGCTAAGCAGCTTCTTGAAGATTGGCAACAATTGAAAAGTGTGTACCGTATACCAAAAAGAAATGTACGTATCGCCAGTCATTAAAAAGCCATACGGACTTACATTTGCTTTGATAGCCTATGGAACTGGATCAACCTCCTAATGATAAAATAAGCGTAAATGGAGCTGAGGAATCTGAAAATACAACGGATTCTCGTATAATTTCAAGGTTCGAGTCATCCCGAGAATTCTTTGATCCGGACGACGATTATTTTGAATATTTTTCAATTGATGCAACAGAAGATGAGCTTCGTTGGAAACTAGAGTATCCTCCTCGATGCGCAATCCCTACTGCTCCTCGAGCTATGATGGATGCGTATGCTAAAAATGGGTACTATGGTTACGGTAGACATTCCAGAGCATCAACTTCTTACTATCCCCCAGCAAGCTTTTATAGCTCTGACTTTCACAATGACGCCGAACAAGCACTTCCAAATACTACTATTTTTAATAATAACTATCATATCCACCATCGCAGCAAATCTGGCGACTCTTATTTGCAGTTTAATGATGCACAAAGCATTGATTCAGCGTCAGTTATGTCATCTAATTCACCTTCAAAGAAGCTTCCGCCTAATTGGAGATTCGCATTTGCTGAAGATGGCACCATCTATTATTATCACAGATATACAGGCAAAACCCAATGGAACTTTCCTGAAGAGAAAGCAAGTCATATTGAAGGTGTCAATCAATCGGACCTTGAGAGCTTGGTGGAAAAAACTGTTCAAGACGCTGAAAAGAAGAAAACGGAATCTATCAGACCCGACAGTCCAGCCTCTTCTTTCACTAGTCGCCATGGTATAAAATCACCACAAGTAACAACACCTACAACAAGTAGAAGAGGGTCGGGTGAAGCTGATAACGGTACTGCTCTAAGCGAGGTTGAACTGAAGAAAGCGGTTGGAAAAATTGTCACAAAGTACCTTAGCTCCAAACAAAAAGAATTGTGGAAAGAGGATAAGCACTTGTTTAAAGAATTGGCACGCAAAGTAAGTTAAGCATACGGCTATAGTACACACATGACGGGACTAATATGACGTTCAATAGATTACACATCATATTGTTGATAGAGAAGTACAGTCATCAAGAAAGATACAGACTATAAACAGCAACATTCGAACAAAGATTGAAAAATTTATAGATTCACATGGTGCTGAGCTAGTTACCAAGATTATTCGAAAAAGAAAGCATCAATCACCTCCAACAGCTTCAAAAGAGGTGCAACCTATACAGCCGATAGGCAGCCCCAAAAGCATCATGTCTGAAGATATCCATAAATATCCAAAAGATGTATTCTCACCCTATGCTTCTCCGTCTAATCATACAATCTTATCTACATCTGAGAATGGAGCTGATTGGCAATACGAAGACGCTAGTTCACCTCCTACAAAAAAGAGAATGTCTATGCTCTCTGGGCCAAATCAAAGCTCAATAAGTGCAGAGTCATTATTTAAAGATGGACATCATCCTATTAGTGATCATCACGATGAAGACAATGGAATAAAGACTACAAATGATGACAAAAAAGTGTCTTATATACCGCAAGAGGACAGTTACGATTATCAAAGCCGCGAAACTATGTCGAACGGTAGATCCAAAGTGTACAGTGAACCAAACCGATGTTCAAAAGAATATGTGCGTCCTGGCTATGTTAAAATAATGACATCTGGCACTTATCGCTATGTTTCGCCATCTTCGGCGTCAACATATTATAAAAGTAGTAGTAGTAGCAGTAGTAATAGTCGATATTACCCTGGAAGAAAACCCTCACCAACATATTATCATAGACATTCTGCAAGCTCATCGAGAAGAAACTCTTCATCAGATGATGACTTAGATAGACGAAGACGGAATTAGGCATTGAAAGAAACAATCAAGAAAGTACATTAGTTATTTGTAAATATCTATCCCTTTTCTTTTTCTGTCACAGTAATAGCATTTTCATATGTCACACATACACACTGACAGCCAATGCCCCGCTTGTAATGTAAATAGACACCAAAAAAACACATATAAAAAGTAATAAACCATCAAGTTAAATATTCTGATGAAGTGTTTATTATCAAAGTATCATAATCAGATCAGATGAATCATTATCATTCGCCCTTTTTACTCAAATTAGAGCGAAAAAGATATTTCATCTGGAGCATATGGATGGCATTAGAATTTGTGTCTTTCCTCTTCCGTCTTTACCGTTACTTCTTCGATCACTGTTTCTGGTGTCTAGATAATAATCCATACCCATCTTGTGCCATTTTAGTATCCTTATCTATCCCTTTTATAAAGAAAATACTCTAATAGAAGTGTATCACAGTAAGATGTGCAGTGTCAAAAGCAGAGAGCTTCTCATTCCAGAATATATTTTATTGTTAAGGAAAACATGATTAAACAAAAAGTTATCAATCATCAATTGAACGTTACAAGGCTACCCGCAGTTACTTTCCTTTTTTTCTTTTCTTTGCTTCAATATGAAGCGAAATAAAGACGATGACCCCCGCTCTCAAAAGCTAAGCGTAACAAAGGGAAAATCGATGTTACATATACTAAGATTGATTAGCCGCTGATCGTATGTTCCCTTCTTTGTTTGCAGAAACGTAAACAAGTTTATTCAAGAATATAGCTATTGAAACAAGTGATTACGATTTTCAAGAAACGCTATTATTTAGAAAAGGTAGAGATAGTATCTATTAGTTCTATCTGCTTTATAACAGATTGTTATAATAGGCATGGCTACCCGTACTAATTTGAAGGCTTCTAAAGAAGATATGCCTGCTACTTGACCTTCAAATGCTGTTATCAACGACAAGACACCCAGTGTAGGAAACTGGGAGGCATACCTGTTTCAATCATTATTGCCTTTGTTCCAGATTCTGATGAGGTGGTAAAACCTCTTTCACGCCACGCTTTATTTTCAGATGGTGTTATATAATAAAAAACTTTTTGAAATATTATTTCTTCAGATCTTTGAGCGCATATCTTCCATTTTTTATGCTTGCCTCTGAGTCAGAAACACTAAACCAATTCATTGTCGTAGGGTGGATGGCCACCTCATCTTCTCCTTCTACTCCACTAACGGTGTGATTTTCGTTGTACGTCGTAATATACAGTTCTGGTGCTGTGCATATCTTCAATATAGTAGCTTGAAGTGATTTAGAAAAAAAAAGTAAACAATAGTAAAAGTCATTTTAAAAAACATATTTATTTATTAAAGATTATTCCCCAAAGCCAGTGTTTTGCACCAAAAAAAAAAAAATCTAAAAGAGAAGAAAAAAGGTCAGCAACGATGTCAAAAGACTTCTAAAGGTTCTGATTACTGCTGTGACGACATTATTCAGGTTGGCCATTGATCATCAGAACAAGGAATCAACCGGCCTGCAAAGACTCGTAGTAGCAGACGTACCGTTGGGGTATGCATTAGCTGAGCCTTGTCAATTGTCAACTAGCTTATGTACCCCTTTGCGCCAGCCAGACAGCAGGAAGCACCATCAACAATCTATCACGACTGTGATCTCAGATAACTAGCTCCCAGCTAGCTACTTAGTCCCCTGTAAAGATTCCAATCGAATGTCCATAACTCTCCTTTTGGCCGCCTGAAAGCCTCCAGTTGGGTGATGAAACGAACAACCGTTGTCAGCCCAGGGCACGTGTCGAATATCATAGAAAGAGATTGCATAGAAATCCATGAACACACAGTTATCGCCTTGCTGAGTAAGTTTATAGAAACTTACATTGACCAAAGAGAACAACCAAAAGAGTCACCAGAAGGAACCAAAAAGAGTAAAGAAAAAAAAGTATAGAGTAAAGAAAGAGAGAGAAAAAGGGATGAGAGCAAATTCCTTTCTTTTTATACCTTTTTTAGTGACGTGAAGTTATTGTTTTCAATTTTATCAATAACCATTGTTTGAATAAGGTTTTACTCCTTACAAGAAAATAAGGTTTACATTTGACATGTTTGACGAGATAATCATTATAGTAACTCGAGTATAATCTTACAGTAGAGCATGCATTCTACTTTACATTCCTCTATCGCATCTGATAAGAATAATTTATAATAACGACTATAGTAGCTACTAGTATAACAGTAATAATATAAGCATAAATAATGTCAGTGATGACAATTATATAAATAGCAGCCATAGATTCTCTACCCAAGTAAACTCTCACTCAAACTTAAATTAATAATATTCAGCTCTTCTTAATAAAGAATCTAATTCGCAAGTTATCGACTTAATAGCCTTTTTTTCGATAACACTAGAGCCGAATACAATAGTGATATGCAAACATGAGCACCTTGCCCATCAATTCATTGTCGACCCATTCAGCAAACAAATGGAAAGCATTTTCGACGAGGCCGAGCTTCGAGAAATACGATCGGCCAACGTCAAATCAATACCAATGATGCCTACGCCGCTTCGTGATTACATTGCGTCGTTTAACAAAAAAAAGATCCCAATGAAATTCGCGATATCATTGTATGTAATGGTTTATAAGACACAAGTCAAAGACAAAAGAGGTACTCTTGGAGATTAATCTTTATTCTGAGATAAAGACAGAAGGAACATACAATTAAATAAAGGATCTACTGTTTATAGTTGCTATCAAATGACTGGTAAGCCACTATTCTAAGCGTGGATTATAATTGCTAACGGTTCCTGAGTTCATAGAGAAAACTTTTAATTCATTCCTGACGCTGATCTTATTGTTCATTTCATGATCTGGATTATGATACTGCTTTTACCGTGAGAAGGATAATCTTTTAAAGAAGTGTATCCTTTTATATAAAGAAGTAATGATTCATATTCAAAGGAGAGATTTTATTTAATTTGACTTATCACTAAATGTGTGTACACATAATCTTATAATGTATGAGTTCACTCTCTTCATACTGATTACAATCGTTTATCTCAATGTCAGTCATAAGCAGACATTGTTCTACGACAGTTATTGACACTCGACAACCTTGGCAGACCAACTACGACATCAAGAGCCATGGCGACTATGACCGGGTCCGCAACTCGGTGTACAACATGCTCCGGGAATATAAAGCTGCTCGTTTGACCATTCCCACCATGAAACATGGTACCTGATGCATGTTTGGCGATTTGTAGACTGTGCATTTGATAATGTGCCAGAGGCTGAAGCTGTGCGTGATGAACCATCAAGTCTAGCTTCAGCAGCTAGAAAAAACAAGGATCGAGTGATTCAAGATAGGAAAAGGGTTGGAGGTAAATGCGATATTATAATTCGTTCTGTTGTTTGCAACCACTCTACCTCCAAAGAGTATGGTGCTGGTGAAACGGGATCCATTGTCGATTTGGATGGCACCAAGATGTTGAAGGAAAGTGGTATAAAATTGCCAAAGGTGATGAGGGATACGTTCAATAGTTTACAATCCAGGATTGACTACGCAAAACTTGGTGACCTACTAATCGTCGGCTACTTGCACTACGGTAATCACAGCTCACTTTTTCTGCATACATTGTATTCACTATAAAAGCAACTGTAGGCTTGTCTTGTTCACTTCTTCTCATGGATTCACCGGCGTGCTCGTATGTAACTCGTCTGTCAAAATGCCCCACCGCGAACCAAGGTGGAACGACATATGCATTGGAAACTTCCAAGGATGTATGTGGGTTTGATGCAGCTTTCCTGCCTGCCCTTGTAATGGCATGGAAAGCTAAGGAAGCTGTGAAGGCCATGGTCGAGCTTCTGGCCCATCATATGGGAAATGATCGCCAAGATTCTTCTTGGCTGGAACAAGGATTTGAACAAAAAAATGTTTGATTATGCCCTCCTGCTCAACATCCACAGATGCTAGGTCATCAAAAAAATTGCGACCCACGAATAATGCCCCAGTTTAAGTTTTTTTTTTTCAAAAGTCGAGCTCCATACGTGCGCTCATATTGTCAATGATGTTAAATCCGAAGGGTTTATAAAAATAAAAGAAAAAATGGGTTAAAGGAAAACTATATAATCAGACTAGCTGACGGTAAAGAACAATATAAAGCTGTAACTGACTTTATTAAATATACATTTTGACATCAAAGTTACTGAGTATAAAAGAAATTGAGTATACTTAATTGGATATTGCACAGGCCAATAGGTCTGAATAAGGATGATATTCAGGAACGTCCAGAAATAGATCAATCAATATTCAAGTCTTAATAGGTTAAATTAGGCGGGAAATCTTATGTGGTGATTGGATCTAATAACATGATGATTTATTAGTCATAATGTATCGAGTAGTTTAGCCATTACGACAGTGCTAGGATCTATGACCTTGTAATAAGGTGTGTATACAGCAAATGAAATCCTTTGCAAAATAAAACCTGAGTGAGATCATACGTACGTTGATTTAGTTTTTTCCTAGTGCATACAAGACGCGGGTGTGACAGGAAGAAGGAAAATGCAGGAAAAAAGGGAGGCGCACTTTTCAATTTGGAAAAGGCCCACTGAGAGGAACACTCAAATTTAACCAGACGACACTTGACTATCGTCTGTCCCATGCAGTAGCTACTATAAAGAAATCATTGGAAACATAGCAAACATATAGTCTAAATACCAACCAGATCAATGTGATTCCGATACGCTTTACTCAAAACCTCACCTGTTTTTCAAGTGGTTCTACTTTCTGTCGCAAGAAGTGCAAAAAAAAAAGTTTTTATTATGGAAAACGTACTCTCAAGGATTGTCTCCAAAGGGTGTGTATCGTAAGCTCAGAGAGTTTCCATTCACTGATGTTTTGAATAAAAAGAAGTTTAATTCTTTAAGAGAAGAAACATTGCAGCCAATCAATTCCAGCAAGACATTTGCCCCAGGAAAAAAACTAGCCAAGCTTACCCCTCAATAAGTACCAGTAGTTCAAAATTTTATTAATCCAGTTAAAACAAGATTACAAGATGGCACATTCGCTCCTGCTAAATACACTGACAAAAGAGGGCGTCCTTTTTTTTTCCATTGTGCCTATATATTTCATTCAGACAAAATCAATCCAAATTGATGCTCGAGCTTTTTGGAAGCTAGTGAAACAATATGGCATACCGAATTACCCGAAAGGGAAGAAAACCAAATCTGACTTGACTGATTTTTACTATCATTTGTTCAATTATACCAAATTGGGATTTCACTAGAGACAGTCTTACGATTGGGAAGAAGAAGCTTAAGTAAGCTATGTGTAAAATAATAATACAATATAGCAGTATCTAATTATCATTGATAATTAGAAACGTTATAACGATGGATGGTCATTCAATATCTTTTCTTTATACCCGAGCTGTCAAGAGATCTTTGGTAACAAGTAAAAATCCCTCGGATTTTATTGATGACATCCGAAATGGTTGTACTGTTTGGGTGGTTGACTCAGGTATAACAAGTATCATTACGGCTGTAGACTCTTCTGGTGACAATGAGCGGCAAAGAACAACAAGTCTCGATGAATACTATCATCTTTGTGGATATAATGATGCAAATTTTATAAGAAAAAGCGTCAAAGTGAAAACGAGACACTATTCAAGTTGATAAACCAGTTGCCTTCTTTGAAAACAATAAATATCCATGACTTCATAAAAGCTTATAAAGAAAGAATAATTCACTTTGACATAATATACAACTATTATTCTGCTAATAACTATAAGCAAAAAAAAAAAAAAAAATGTCGTTTATAAAAAATAACATAATAACATGTAAACAACAGATCCTCCAAGTTAAAATTCAAGACTTGTTTAAGAAATCAAAAAGCAGTTACCGAAATCTACAAGCGGTTAGTAGTCAACAGCGAAAAATACAGACAGGGAAGTACAATTAGAATAAAGACAGGCGCCAAAAATGATTCCATACACTACACAAGTGCACCGCAAGATACAATGGTCCCTCCTGCAAAAACAATAATTGCATTTGGCAACGCAAGCTTCGCTGCAACCATGAAAGGGAAGAAAGCTGCACCTGTCAAACTAATCAAAAGGAAATTAGCACAAATGCAAACAAATACTGTACAAGTTTGTCTTATAGACGAATATTTAACAAGTCAAGCCTGCAATACTTGTAAGAATAGAAATTTTGAAAATATAACTACGGCAAACTCAAAGCAAAGAGTACATCCGGTATTAAATTGTAACAATAACAGTTGTAATGTCGTCTGAAATCGCGATATCAATGCTGCGAAAACTATTTTCGATATTTTCATGTTTACTGCTGAAAAAGAAAATCAGAGACGCCCAGCATTCGAGCGTCCAAAAGAACAAGTATAAGACTCTCTTAAATTTATGCATAATTGATATAACTCTTTTATACATTCATACAGTGTAAGTTGCCTTATAAGGTTTAAAAATGTGCTAAATGTTTATTTTCAAATCCTCACCAACAAAACTCGCAATTCACCATCAATTTCAATTTCTTATCACAAACTATATCTTTCTTATTTCTTGGGCAAGATGTTATTATCATGTTCAACTTGTCTCTAAACTAATGTCTTTTATCTGAAGTTCATTTTTACTTTATCCAAAAAAAGGTAAACAGTTCGTCTAAAAAAAACTAACATCGTCCAAATTTGAAGTGCGAATACCATATGCAACTTAAAACGCAATATCCCTTTCATTTTAAAGCTAATTTATTATCTCTAATCTGTTACTGTGTTAATCGGTTAACTTATTCTGTAATAAATCCTATTCTATCAAAAATTACCAAATATGTTAAAGTACTCGAACGATCTACGCTTAAAAGAGCAAAATCTATTTTGTGATAACTAATTGTAACCAGCCTTGAATGGATAATCGGCAATAATAAACTCATTCTCGTTCATCGTGCAGAGAAAAAAAGGAGGACAAAAATCATCCTACATGATTGTCTATAGTACTATTAAATACTAGTAAAAGCAAAGTCATGTTCATTCTCACGCTCTCTCTCTTCATCAATGTAAGTAAAGTAAGCTGAGGTTAATATTCATTAAATTACATTGTTAAACAAAGTCTAATTTCACTACATCAGGACAGTGTAACCTACCAAAAATATATGAGAACCTGCATTTAATCTCGCTTTTTTTTTTCTTTCTTTTTTTGCCATTTTTTTTTTTTTTCAATTCTCTTTTAAACAGAAAATGAAAAACCCATACATCATCGTAGCTATCGCAGCTTTTTTAATTGCTTTTGTCTGTGCTGCTGAAGATGATAACTCAAAGCCAACTGGAATTCACACAGCACCAGGTATTGTTTGCCCAATGACGGTTTGTCCAACAAATACATTGTCCAAGAGAGACAAACCTGCTTGTCCTGTTTCATGCCCAGATAATTGCCGTATAATTGACGATGACTGCTGTCCTGGTGTTCAAAAGGCCGTCTGTTATCCTGCATCTGCCTCACAAAGTCATAGCGCTGTTCCTACTTCTGCATCATCTGCTATCACAAGCGCTGTTCCTACTGCTTCCAGTGCTTCAGTTTCTTCTGCTGCTTCCACTGTAGTTCCTTCAGCTTCAGCTTCATCTACTGCTCCTTCCGCTCCCGTATCACCTGCAGCTTCTTCTCCTTCTCCAAGTGCTGCCAACTCTATTCAATTGACTATATCTACTTCTATCATCGCAGCCATTATTGTTGCAGGTCTTCAATGTCTTTAGGAGTCAAAATATCCACGAATAAACTGCTTAACTGAGTATATACTTTTATTGAATGATAGAGAGAAAGAGATAGAGCTGTTCTCTTTTTGTGTGAATTATTTCGAGTTTATGACAAAAGAAACTTGAAGAGTAAAAAGCGAAGTTAACAAATCGTGTGCAAAAATGACTATGGCTTTCTAGCCGCGCTTTATTCGCAGTAATAAAATGAAGTAAAAAGCTGTCTTATTGTTCTCTTTACATCTTTCTAACAATGCATTCGTCTGTGATTTGGAGAATTGGTGGCAGGTATGGGCTTCAAAAGAGTCTTCTGCACCATGGGAAGGGAGCCACCATATCCTTAGTCTTCGTTTTAGCAACATAGCCATTACTTACATGTCAATGTTAGATTAGAGACATTGCTCTTTGATGATTACCTCTACGATAAAGCTGATCGCCATACAGAGGCTGATTATATCGTCAAGTTGTTTGTCCTGATATTAGAACATGTATTCAGAGAAAGTGATTGTCGTCTTTTATGGCAAGTGCTTTATTTAAATAGCAAGTGACCAATGACGAACTAGTTAATTGTTTGCATTGATTGGGGCGAATCAAAAAGTAGAGCTTGTGTAGAAGCTGGTTATCCGTCAAGAGTTTTCCATCATTGACTTTGCAAAGCAGCCACAGCCCTGTAAATATTATACAGACAAAAAAAGAGGTATGGTGTCCAGTTGGCTGCACCTGAAGCATTACATCAAGGGTAGCCAGTTAAGCCTACAAGACGCTAGACGTTTAGTGATTCCTTTTGTATTATGCGAGGAACTTGAAGCAGATATACAAACAAAGAGAGTACTTGTTTAACGAAAGAAATAAAGGCTATAAGTGTGAATATCTTCCTCCATATTCGCCTGAACTCAATCCTATCGAGATGCTTTGGAAAGTGCTGAAGGATCGAGTTAGAAGAGAGAAATTGACATAGAAACACTTTCTTCAAGAGTAATTGAAGACAATGAAGATGCTCCTGTTGAACATATACAAAATTTCATCCAGCACTCGATCAATATAGTCCCTAAATGCTTGAATAAAGAACCTTTGTGATCGTTTTAGTGTTTAACCTCAAGAAACTAGGCGGAGTTTTCAAACATCCGGTAAATTGAGAATGGAAGCACAGTACGTTTTACCTTTCATTTTATCCATGGTTTTATCAAAATATGATAAAGCAGGCACCTTTTTGTTATCTTTACTTATACTTTTTAGCCATATTTGCATGGCTATGACAGAAGAAAGACGTCTTCAGCTAAAGTAAGATAAAGATACGACATATGAAGAGCTTGAGCTAAATGTTATTGTTGTTGTTGTGCAGAGATTTAAGCAAAGTAAAAGAAATGGCCATGTTCTACTTGTGCACTTAATTAACAATACATATGTTAGGAAATGTTTGAACATGGCTGGAGTAGTTATATCGAGCACGCTTTTCCTGATGATGAGGTACACTGCTGAAATAACTTGTAACAGAAAAACTGATTTTAATTGTCAATAGCTCAATCCATTTGAATGTAGAGGCAGAGGAAGCGATAAAGCGAATCCAGACAACATCAACGTCAATGACGTACTCGGAGACTATTCACTCACTTTAGTAGATACTTTGGATACATTAGCAGTATGTACAATAACGTAAATAGAGAAAGATGTACTCATATCATCAGATCATAGGCACCCGAAAACAGTTTGAGGAAGCCGTAAAACAAGTCATCGAGACGGTATCCTTTCACCAAAACAATAAAGTACAAGTGTTTGAACTGAATATCAGAGCACTTGGAGGATTGGTAATATATTCCCCTTTTCATGAAAGAAAGTGGCTAATGATCGTACTTAGCTTTCAGCACATATGCTTATCACAGATCCGGAATTAGATTATTCAATAGAGGGATATAAGGATGAGCTACTTCATCTAGCAGTTGACTTGGCTAATCGTTTGATGCCGGCTTTTAACTCAACTAAAACAGGAATTCCCTATCCTCGTGTTAATCTACAGAAGGGTGTTCCGCCCACAGAAACAACGGAGACTTGTACAGCAGGCGCTGGCAGCTTAATATTAGAATTCGGTCTCCTGAGCCGTTTGACAGGAGATCCAGCTTATGAAGAAGTAGCTAAACGAGCATTAAAATCTGTATGGAATAGACGATCCCATCTTAGCCTCATGGGCAACGTAATTGATATACAAACAGGAAATTGGATCCATACAGCATCATCTACAGGCGCAGGCATTGACTCTGTATTCGAATATATGTTAAAAGCATATATTATCTTTGGAGAGGATGAGTACTTGGACATGTTTGAGGAAGCATACAGGGCGTTGATGATTTATGTGCGAGATTCGTCTGGTTACATTTATCGCAACGTTCATATGAGTACAGGATCCTTGATGTCTTATTGGATTGATAGCCTGAGCGCCTTCTTTCCAGGCCTTCAAGTACTTTACGGGGATATCCATGCAGCCATCAAGAATCATCTGGTGTTCTACAACATTTGGCGTCGATATCATGCGCTTCCTGAGCGATTTGATTTCTATCAAAAGAGAGTTAATCTGCCATACTATCCTCTTCGGCCTGAATTCATTGAATCCACTTACTATCTTTATCAAGCTACGAAGGATCCCTTTTATTTGGATGTAGGAGAAATGGTCATCCAGGATTTAAACAATAGAACACGCTTGTCATGTGGGTTTGCGTCCATTGGAGATGTAGAAAGTGGCAAATTGGAAGATAGAATGGAGAGCTTTATGTTGAGCGAGACATTAAAGTATTTATACCTACTGTTCGATACAGAACATCCTTTTAATAAGCAAGATTCTAATGCAGTGTTTACCACTGGTATGTGTGTCTTCCCCTTTGAATATAAAGTATTGGATGGTAATCTTTTTTATTAGAGGGACATTGGATATCCTTACCTCAACACTACTTGCGAAGACCCAAAACAGCTAAACAAGTAAAAAATTTAATATCTATACAATCTAATCCTTTTGGTACATGCCCAAGATACAATCCATTGAATTACAAAGCGATCTATACTCCTGGCCACCTTGATATGACGTCAATACCCTATCAGCCTCAAGCTGACTATGCAGCACATATTGCTGGCTATACTCAGTCACCGTTACCTCCATTATCCATCAACGGCTACTGTGATTCACCTTGGACATTGGCAAGAAACTTTAACTTATCTTTTGGTTCAATCAGAAGGCCGAATAGTGTGATTGAAATACTGGGAGACTATCTGATCAAGTCATTATCTGGTTTAAAGATTGAATTTGTGAGTGCAAAGAGGAATGATGGGTTCTTTATTAAAGGAGGTTAGTTTTCTTTTTTCACATTCACACTGTGTATATACAATATATACAGCACTATTCCCTTTTCTTTATTGTATATAAATTCTATGAATTAGACATTTACTCCCCTATTTTCTTTCTATATATACTACATACATCCACTTTTATTAGTCCATTCTTCATCCATCATTAGGTAAATAAACAATCTCTTTTTTTTTTGCGTATACGTATCTAATATTTGTAAAGCAACGAGCAGATATATATAGATCTTGATACATTATTGCCCTTTCTGCAGGACAACCGTGATTTGATCCAAGTGCAAGTGAGGCAACCTGGACTAACGCGCTATAGAGACTATACCCAGCTAGATTACGATGTTATCCTTCGCACTGTAAATGATTATGAATGTATGGAACTGATAGGACTTACATCAGAATTTGGTGCTCAAACCATTCAGCTACCTGACACTCCTATACACATCTTTGGCGATCAATCTAAGTTCCTTGGATGTGAGCCATACTCAAGACAAGATGCCAATATGGTGAAAGACAAGGTTCTTTTGATCAGTCGAGGAAAATGTGAATTTTACAAGAAGGCTCTTTTTGCACAAGAAGCGGGCGCTGTGGGTGTAATTTTCTTAAGCAACGAACCTCACTTGTTTAGACCATCTTTCTTAAAGAATGACATACGTATACCTTGCGTTCTACTTCCACAAACAGATAGTCTTGTACTCCTTCAACAACAAACCAAACGTATGTATGTCACAATGGATACACTTTTTTTAACTCCTGACAGTCAATTCGAGATGCTACTCAAGCGAGAACGAGTTCATAACGCAATTTTAGTATAGAAATAAAAGAAAAACATGTCTTACACACTTTCATATGAAAATAGTGTAATCAATATATTAATACATATGTCGTCTTTTTACCTTCTTTTATTTACCGCTGATGATGATGCCCATTATCTTTATATTTTTTGGTTCCATTTTGTATTGAGATACAAGATGGGCGCAGAAGTTTTTCATCATAATTGGGGTTTTAATTGAACTTTCGTTCATCTCTTTTGTATCATTTGGACCACAATCGTTGAGACCAATTTCAAAACAACACAGCTCATGAGAAAAATGTCTGAAAGTTAAACCTGGATTTTCAGCAGTACGCTTTCTTTGCACTGTTGATGAGGAGCCTGTGGCCCTGTCTGCATCCTTGAATACACTTGATGCCTTACTTTGTTTAGCACTATATTAGATCATATCAATCAAATGAATAAAAATGTTGAAAAAAAAAAATACAATAATGACCTTGCCCATAAGTTTTTGTTCCGCTCAATTTGCAGCTCTTTTTGACGAAACCATAGACATCATCGAGTGAACCTTTCTCAGTTTCTGATGGAGTTAAAGTATCGTCATCACTGAACAGCATCAATCGCATCATACATATCTCTGAAATTGGTCTTTTATAGTGGATCAAAAAAATTATCTTGAATAAAATGTGATAATTGTTGATCAACTGTATAATTAAATTGGCAAGTCAAGGCACGATAAATTACGTCATTTAAAGCTATCGTTTTTTTTTTTTTACAGTGAATACCCTTGTATGGCCTATTCCATGCATTAAAGATTGACAACAGTTTTTATTAGGGATATAAAGAAGAAAAAAATTAAATAAGCGCCAGCCAATGGCCGATAAAAAAAGCACAACAATAATAACTTTAAGCAAATCTTTCCCTTTTTCTCTCTTTTTTTTGTTTTTTGTTCCTCACTTTTGACGCATGGAATACGTTGGAAAATTAGGAAGTCTATTCACTTCTGTACAAAGTTTTTATAATGAAATCAATCCAGCCACATTATCTGGAGCTATTGATATTGTTGTAGTCGAACAACCAGATGGCGAGTTGGCTTGTTCGCCTTTTCACGTGAGATTTGGTAAACTATCAGTTCTGATGCCACAAGAGAAAAAGGTGCGTGGAAGCGAATGAGCAGCAAATGCAGGAAAAAAAAGAAATAACGAGATGAATTAGGTCCAAATCAAGGTTAATGGAGAAGTAGTCCCATATGTTATGAAAGTGGGAGAAGCAGGGGAAGCGTTTTTTGTGTTTGAAACAGAGCATGAAGTTCCCAAAGAATTTCAAACTTCACCTATTATGGAAGCAGTTTCTGAGAAGAGCGATGAGGTACGCGTGTGTGGAGTAGCGAAGCTATATATGAGTGTATATGTAATGGATATTTTTTTAGGAACCACCTTATCTTGATATTGGTGAATCTAAAGATTCCGTTAAAGGTAACTAAAAACAGCATATGTCATACTTTGTGTGTTCTAACATGTGAAAAAAGAAGAAACTAAAAGCAGTAATGAGGATCATTTTGAGGAAGACGAAGAAGATGATAAGAATAAAGCACTATTGCCTGCTGAATTACAGTCTCCCAAGATGATCATTGATGAGCAGATGGATAAGGTAGTAACAAAGATTCGAAAGGAAGATCAACAGCCAGAGATACCTACGCCTAAGAATGATGCTTATCTAATGGAAGATGGTTCTACGTTACTCGAACGAATCATCCCAGAGGCAATTACCACGACAACGGTTGCCAAAGAAAGGTTTATTGTCCGACCAGCTCAAGGAGATATTTACAGCACATACATGGACGTAATACACACATCTGTACATAAACGAAATAATGATGAAAGTGATAAAGAACATGTCGATAGCGGACATAACAATAGCAGCCGAGGAGATGAATCCATCGTATTGGATATCGCGGGTTATAAAACAGGGGAAGATAGCCAGGGCAACGATGATATAAATAAAAAGGAAAGAGAAGAAATTCAGAAACTATCAGAGATAGCTGCCGTCGTGAGAGAAATTAAGCAAGAAGAAGAGAGAGAAGAGGAAGAAGAGAAAATGAAAAAGCAAGAAGAAGAAAGGGAAATAGAAAGAGACCAAGTAAAAGAGGATGTAAACGAAAAAGTAGACAGCGGCCACGGAGAAACACTTGAGCTAACGCCGGGACAAAGATATAGAATTGAAATGAGTTTATGTGGATTTTCTCAATTTACAAAAGACGAGGAAGAAAACAAGAGAATATTTGATAAAGAGATGATTACATACGATAACTTTACACATAATCCAAATATACTAAATGATAAACGACTGGTATTTAGATACAATGGAAAGTACTATTCAGCAGGCAGAACAGGACCATTATTTACGTCATTGGTGATGTATACGGACGAGCAAGTGAGCGAACAAGAGGAACAAAAGATGTCTGATAGTAGAGAGTCGTATCTATTTGGTAGAGGTTGGAGACAATGGCTTAGTAGATCATCTGTGGCAGCAGAAGAAAAGAAGAATAATGAAAAGAAGGAAGAGCAGGATGAAAGTAACGTTGATAGTAGTAACAGTGATCAACAGAGTAATAGTAATGGTAGTAGTAGTAGCACTACCTTTACTACAACTATGACAACAACGTCTGTTGGTTGGAAGAGTGATCATACGCATCCTGAAGAGGAAGTACAAGAGAATGTCACTTCAAGAAAAGTGTATGCAAAAACACTAAGACTGACGTCAGAACAGTTGAAAAGCTTGAATTTGAAAAGTGGCGCAAATACCATCACATTTTCAGTGACATCAGCCTACCAAGGCACAGCAACGTGTGCTGCGAAAGTGTTTTATTGGAGACACGACTACCAGATTGTTATATCAGACATCGATGGTACTATAACCAAGTCTGATGCACTAGGCCATGTTTTTACAATGATTGGCAAAGATTGGACACATATGGGGATTGCAAAGCTATACACAGACATTGCCAATAATGGCTATCACTTTTTGTATTTAACCAGTAGAGCGATTGGACAAGCCGATTATACAAGAGATTACCTAAAGAAGGTGGTCCAAGATAAATATCAGTTACCAGATGGACCAGTGATTATGTCACCTGACAGACTATTTACTTCATTTCATCGAGAAGTCATCATGAGGAAACCTGAAGTATTCAAGATGGCCTGCTTAAAGGATATTCAGAGATTATTTGATGGCAAAGATCCGTTTTATGCAGGTTTCGGTAACAGAATAACTGATGCAAGATCATACCGAAGTGTCAATGTGCCCTCATCACGAATATTTACAATTGATCCTTATGGCGATTTAAAACTGGAGCTTCTTTCAGGCTTCAAATCATCATATATCCATCTGAATGACTTGGTAGATCAAATATTTCCACCTATTACCAAAAACACAGGTGGTAATAGTATAGTGCTGAATAACTATAATGATTGGAACTACTGGAAATCTCCTTTACCTGATATTGATGATATACCTGAATTAAGCCAACCTGTTCCAACCTCTCCAAAACCAAAACCAATCAAGCCTGATCCATCTGCGCTGCCTCCAAATACTGTTGTTTCCTCTAATAGTACTTCAACTACAAGGCGGTTATTAAGAAGCTTTACATCAGCATCATCATCTAATTCAAAGGCTAACACAAAGTTACTACAGTCGAGCAACAGCACTCCAAATCTGACAACGAAATCAACTGAATTAACTGATCCTGTTAATACGAATACTACTACAACTACTAATGTTAATACTGCTATTAATGCCGTTCCTTCTGCTACAGCTAATGATACTAATATTACACCTGCCATCTCAACAAATACTAATAATAGTGCTGCCACAAATACCACCGGTAATTCTACACCAACCTCTATAGAAAGCACAAGTCCAAGCATTATGAATAAGATGCTGTCAAGTGTATCACGTACATTCTTATCATCAAATGAAAGTAGACCAAAAGAACAAGCAGAAGAAGTAGAGCAAGAGGAAGAAAAGGATGTAGATGAACTATTAGATAACCTTAATATGGATGAGATTCCATTTATTTAAATAAATTTCTTGTTCTTTTTCCATTCTAAATAACTCAATGAATGCATCGGTCTATCCTTCATAGTCACATTAACCGGTGGTCCAGAAAACCACAAAACAGGTCCATCAGATTGTCGTTTATATGATGAATCTATACAATATCAATCTTTATATTCATTGATACACATTGTTATTATGTCTTTATACCAATGCTTGATGTGTTATCCTGCTGCTGTTGTTGTTGTTGTTGATTATTATTATTATTATTATTAGTTGTGTCAGTCGTGGTATTATTATTAGTAGTAGTAATGGTAGAAGTAGAAGTAGAAGCAGTAGTTGACATTAGAGAAATAATAAAGAAAAAAGAAAGAGGAAACAGTCAAACCTATAGAATTTGTTTTCTCAAAAATAAATAGCGGAAAGACAAAAATAAATGCCCACAGTTGCTGATACATTAAGGCCAACACTGCATGTACCAGAAAATAGGCTAATGCTAAGGACGCTTCCTCTATGCACTACCTGTGTCGTCACTTTACAACTTCACGCTATCAAAGTCTCTGCCTAGCCTAAGACTTTCCAATGGAATATCATTGATGTAAAAGGCGGATTTATCATACTTACACGTGATTGTTCTTGGTTCTCTGTTGATAGAACTGATATTTTTTTTTTTATCTCTTTCTTTTTGAAACTTTATAAAAGTCAAGGAACATGGGAAGATGTCTGTTCTCTGAATAAGTTTAGCTTAACATTGTACATTGAAAAGGCTTGTTGACGACATCGCAAGTAGCACTTGTAACTTTAACCCCTTCGTGGATTTCCTCGTACGCGTAGTGTACACCAAAAATCTTGTTGATCCTTTTATTGAAAAGGAGACATTGGAAAGCTTTCAAGATAAAGAAGGAAAATTTGCAGCTACTATTGAAGAAATGTTAAAACTCTTTGGAAAAAATGAATGCATCAACACAATTGATAACAAGAATCTGGACAAGCACCTGCAATCAATGAGTTCCTCCTTACGTACTGCGAATGAAACGGTAAAAGAAGAGGTTTTCTTAAATTATTCGTTATATGTATACGCATCTTTTCATGAAAAATCTTTATTATGTGCATATTCATCCCTTTCATTACACACATACCTCATATAAAAAATTCCCATTACTATCAATAAAGACTATTGTGATAAAAAGCGATAATGTGATTTTTTCAAACGACAATCATTCAGGCTCTAATCGACAATTAGATTTTGCATTACGGTAACAAGAAGCTTTTGACCATTGGGATGTTTTTTATTTTTGAGAAAACTCCAAATTTCATAGATTTGGCTGTAATAATGCTATGCTTAAAGATAACCCAGCACTGTGGCTTACCCAGCATTTTTCTTTTTTTCTTTTTTTTTAAGCAATGGGAAGAAAGCAAACGATTAGAAATCAAATTGAACAAGACATTCAGCTTCAGGAAGGACAGAAATATGCAAAATCGTTAGGACCAAGAGGAAATCACCAGCATGAAGTTGAATTTACTGATGGAACAAGGAAGCTTGTGACACTGCCTCCTCGCTTTCGTAACCTCGTTTGGCTAAAGAGAGGTCATTTTGTTATTGTTGATCCTACTGCTGGTACAGTATCCGAAAAAGTGGGTGGTGAGATCGTCCATGTGTTATATCCTAAAGATATAAAGGAATTAAAGGCAAAAGGAGAATGGCCAGAAGAATTTACAGATAAAAAGGCACAAGACGAAGAAGAAGAAGAAGAAGAAAAGAGACAAGACAGTGATGATGATGATGATTTATTTGTAAATAATAATAGACATGTGATGTCAGAGACAGAAGAAGAGGAATCAAGTGATGAAGAAGAAGAATAAGGATAGAATGAACTGTGGAATATCCCTTCTTGGGTGATGGTTGTATTCTATTTCTTCCCATACAAGTATGCAGATTATGATACTAAAGAATAGGAATAAAATAATAGATATTATCGACATAACCACGTTTAATTTGCGCCAAAACACTTCATATTTATTTTTACTCTTTGGCCAACAGCAAGAAGCAATAAACCAAATAGGCGGGCATAAACTATGGATACATATATATCATTAGTTTGCTGCTTATATGTGTATGCATATGTGTATTAATATCTACAAGCCTAATAAAAAGAAAGATGCATTCACTGGAAAATGTCTGCTATCTGCATTTCTTTTCTTGATGATATATCTTGCGTTGTCATGTACTATTAGTAATGGTTGCCTTGGCAATAAATATCCTTGTTCATTAGGTGGTGCGCTCGGTTGATAATGGTAACTGTAAGGTGGTGGCGATGCTAATGGCTGACTATTCATTAGGGGTATAAATAAAAGAATAAAATGAAAAATAAAATAAAATAGTACCTCTCTTTAGTCCACTCATTTACCCTAAAGTCACACTTTAATACTTGTGATATTTAAGGATTATTTCCATCTTTTTTTCTGAGCAAACATTGTTTTTATATTCTATTGTGTTTTACCATTCTTAAGCGTATACAATTTACAACAGACTGCTGAATCAGAATGTATTATTCAATATATCTATTTCTGTTTTTTTTTTTAGACGTAAATGCCACACTTTCATAGTAAAATCATTAAAGAAAACAAGGTTCTTTCATCAAGGAAAAGAATTTCAGGCAAACTTTATATCCACATACACACCTTTTCCCTGAATGATTGCTTCTTATACGAAGGCACAAGCCAACTCAATATAAATCTATTAAAATTAAGAAGATTTGTAAAGAATGCGATATTTTCAAGTGTTATTTTTTGCTTCAGCTAATTACACTTTAAATAAAAGAAGAGTATGGCATTATATATGATGGTTTCATTCAATGTCTTCCTCCATACCCAATGTCTCGTATGCATAAGAGTTGATGGGATAAAAGGTACCATTACCTTGGCTACATAATGCGTATCTTAGCAACCGAAAATGGATTGTTTGATTTACTTACGGTTTCCCGATAGGAAGAAACATTGTCCACTTATTTTTACCAAGCACCTGCTGTATATTCTTTTTATAGCCAAGATCCCAAGGATTAAAGTATTTGCTTCTCATCACATCGTTACGCCCTAGCATAAAATTGGATTTTTCATAGAATTCGATAGTTGTTCTATTCTTGAATAGCTGCCTTGTGTGAAATAATGAAAATGGTACCAAGAATATTCCAAATATGCCACTCACGAATACCAGTAACACTAGGTTGATATCAATCTCGAGTATATTTTCGTTCACAATTTGTATCAACCTTGGAACTGTGGTAGCAAACACATATACACAATAGAAGCTTGCATATACCAAAAATAAGTAGAATGACTTATAGTTGTAGAATCCTACACAGTTGTTGATCCATGGACAATGACTATATTATGTTAATGCTCACTCGCTTTTAATAATATTGCTACTCACTGGTCCATTTTTAATACACATCTTTTGCATTGTCGACAATGATGAGTTCTATCATATTTTTCAAGTTTACATTTCTGACAATATCTTCTCGCACCGTCTCTTTTGACTGTAATAGGATATTGAAAGCTCAATTCATCCTCTGTAGTCAATAACTCGTTCTGTTCTTCATCGTCTTTATTCTTCTTTTTATGGAGCTGAAAGATTAAATTGTTTTAAAGCCCTTGTTGACCATAACTAATAATTTATGCTTACTTCTATTGTATATCCCGGTGAAGTCTTACACACTGTCCAGTAGCTCCATGTGCATAATATGAAAATAGGTTGATATGCTAATATATACAAAACACCTATGGGATGATATCAATATCATATTGATGTGTTCTATATATCCCCCTTATACCTTGAATAGCTTGTCCCTTATTTATATACTGTGCCCAGCCCATCCTATAGTTATATGCCCAATAGCTCCAAGTAAACAATACGACGAGTAATGCAACCGGTGAAGCATTCACCATCGTCATGATTCCTTGCTGAATCTTCTTTAATGAAGTCATTGTATTATGCATGTGAGAAAAACAGGTATTTCCGGAATTACAAAGTGTCTTAAATTTCCAAGCGGGAATAAATAGTTGAAAAAGAGTTTAGCTTTTAAGGAGTAGAAGAAAAAGAAAAAAGAAAAAAGAAAAAAGAGTTGAAACAAGTGTGAGTTGAGATAGTCTAGTATAATCGTATTCAAGCCACTGGGGCTTGCCCTTCCTTTTTTTTTTTGCCAAGAGAAATGGCTTACTTTGTCTTTACTGGAGTCAAATTAATAAAGACATTTTTTGCAAGCGAGGTATTTGATGAACCGCAAGTAGCCTGTTACAAGATGAATCAATGGTGTGTCGTAGCAAGGCTTGGTAGGAATGTCCCATTTAATCTTAAATGGCGTATGCATTAGCAGCAGCAATATATAGACACATAACAAAACATTTCATCCTTTGTTAAATGAATACCTGTCAAAAACTGAGGGATCACTACGTTGCTATGCTCTTATTTAGGATGTTTATACTTTATATGCCTTCTTGATAGCACCAATGGCCGATTGGCATCAATCTCATATATTTTTTGTGCAAGACAAGCTTCCATGGTCGTCCTGATTTTTATTCCTGAGGTTCAACAAACGTGCTCTACAGAATTCAAGTTAAAGCTTTTTTGAGCGATCAATATGATTTTCACGAAGCCCCTTTTTCAGACTACTAGTTAATTTCCATTCAGCCCCTGAAAGATAAAAGTTGCGGCTCGGCAAACCATTGTTTTCTGTCCAAGTCGGAGTAGGCTTTCAATTTTTGTGTATGACTGACAAAAGTCCTGGGGCGTGTTTTCTTTCACGCGTCGTCTTTTTAATCAATGTCCCTCGCGTAAATAGATTTGATCTAAACATGTAGTAGATGGCACCAACATTAATAATTGATTTTTAGCTCAAATGATCATACTACTGAACGTAGTATTTCTGAGTTTAACAAATTAGAAAGTTTAAACAATCAGTTTTTGATCAACAAGCAAACATTCGATCAACAATATGCAAGTATATATTATCTTCGACTTACAACACTACGTGAAACGATATTAAATGCAGCAAAAGAAAGATGGTCTAGCTTATCTGGTAAATAGATATATATATATAGCTTGTATTGGTTCAATAGTAAACTAGTTATTCTAGAGGTTCCACGGTATGTTGCAAAAGTCTTGGATACACAGCCTGATGAATTATGTTATATGATTGGAACTGTTTATATACACATGGTTAAAAAACCAAACATATTAAATGACTTGGAAGATGAGGTATAAAATCAGCTAGTTGTATATCGACATGGACTGATTTACTTTTTTTCAAATACAGGAGGCAATCATTAGACCAACGGTACCAGCAAAATACAAAAGTGAAGAGGATGTTTTCTCGATTGAAGATGAAACTGGTCGCGTGGAAATAACAGGAGCTTGCTTGAATAAAGAATTCTTGGTAACAGGCATGATTGTTGGTATCCTTGGTAAAGAAGTGGCAACTGGTACATTTGAAGTCATCGATGTCTGTTTACCCGGCATACCAGATCAATCACCTTTAAATTCTTTACAAGGTAAATTAACAAATAAGACATTTTTTTACATGTCTAACAAATATTCAAAGTATCTGAAAAGCCTAAATATGTTGCACTTTTATCTGGACTGAATATTGGAAGCGATACATGTTCAGAAATACAGACGCAATTACTGCAAGAATTCCTCGTGGGAGAGCTAGAAAGCGATCTTAGTCCGTTCATCACAAGGGTTATCCTGGCTGGTAATTCAATAAGTAAGCCGAAGCAAACTAAAGGCACAGATAGATTTGTAAGTGGTTTTGCAGTACATATTTGATCACCCCTTGTTGACTCATCTGTAAATAGAAAAGATATGTACATGATTCATCCACGTTTGACGCTTCAGCAGTGACACAATTAGATGAATTTCTAGAAGAAGTATGTAGTGCAGTCGATCTTGATATTATGCCAGGGCAGACCGACCCCGCACAAGTCCATTTGCCGCAACAACGCATGCATCCTGCCATGTTTAGACAATCTCATAAGCTATCCACCTTTCATAGTGTATCCAACCCTTATTGGTGTGAAATAGATAATGTGAAATTACTGGGTACTTCGGGCCAAAATGTAGACGATATTTATAGATATGTAGACAGTGAGGATCGAATGAAGATGGCCGAATCATGCCTCTACTGGCGACATATGGCACCGTCTTGTCCTGATACGCTTTGGTCTTATCCTTTCCAAGATCTGGATCCATTCATTATTAAAGAATGTCCACATGTTTATTTTATAGGTAATCAACCAGAATATGAAGACAACTTATTACTGGGCCCCAAAGGACAAAAGATTAGAGTCATCCTCGTACCTTCCTTTTCTGAGACTGGTATCGTTGTATTAGTGAATTTATCTACCTTGGAATGTCATACTGTAAATATTAGTAACCATGGTAAAGTAAAGAGTAGTGATCCAATGGATCAATCTTTATAATTTTTATGAATAAAGACAGAAATACAGCAACGGAAGTTGAACAGTAGAAAAAAAAAAGTGCAGTAACATAAAAATTCTTTGTTCTTTTTGCAATCAAACTTTGCATGGGTCTTCATTCACTTTTACGATCCAGTACTCGGCATGTTCGTAGCTGCAGCATCAGACAAAGATCGTTTCATGCTTCTTTTGTAGCAAAAGAACAACGACCAAAGCAACAAAAGAGTACTTTTGGTAATAAATAACTATAAAAAAGATGTTTATGCTAACATACACACGATAGGGCGTATGGTTGACAGCTGGAACAATACCCAAGTAAAATGGTACCCCATTCCAGTAGCTCTTGGTCTCGCTGTCATTGGCGCTATTCAATATAGACATATTCAACAAAGAGTAGAAAAGGAAGACACACAAAAGCCAAAGTACAGAGCAACTGGACCATGGCAGGTCCATGTAGCAGCTGCTTTGCCATTACGTTCCATGTCTCGTTTATGGGGCGCTTTCAACTCTCTGACGATTCCTACGCCATTAAGGCCAGCAGGATTCAAATTATATAGTTGGATATTTGGCTGTAACTTGGAAGAGATGAAAAACCCCAACCTATATGACTATCCCAACCTTTCTACTTTCTTTTACCGAGAATTGAAAGAAGGAGCTCGACCTATTGCAGCTGATGCACCACTTATTTCGCCTGCTGATGGTAAAGTACTACATTTTGGCATTGTTCAAGGCAAACATATTGAGCAGATCAAGGGAGTGACCTATAACCTGGACGCCTTACTTGGAAATGATGAACCTCCAGCATCGCCTATAGAACACGCAGTACTTGGCAATGATGAACAGTTAGTCGTTGACGAAAAGGAATTTGCCAACGTGAACGGAATTGCTTATACTTTAGACGATATGCTTGCAGAAATGGACGATCATCAGGCAGTCAGAATGGAGTCAAGCGTTGGTGAAGATGCTGTAGCAGAAGGATATCAAGCTAAGCCAAAAGAAGAACGTGCATTAGCACAACTTGCGTCTGTTGACTCTGGGATGACTTTGAAGCCAAATCATGCATTGTATTTTTGTGTTATTTATCTTGCACCCGGGGATTATCATCGATTCCATTCACCCACAAACTGGGTTGTTGAGACACGAAGACATTTTGCTGGTAAGTTTGTACCTTAATATATGGTGTTGACTGACTTTTATTTATTTTTTTAAAAAAAAGGTGAATTGTTCTCTGTTTCTCCTTATTTCGTAAAGCTGTTGCAAAACTTGTTTGTGCTGAATGAAAGGGTTGCTTTGCTTGGTAAATGGAAACACGGCTTCTTCTCAATGATTCCTGTTGGAGCTACTAATGTTGGCTCTATCAAGATTAACTTTGATGAAGCTCTACAAACCAACAGAAAGGAAGATCTGCCGTTAGGCACATATACTGAAGTTACGTATAAATCTGCTAGTAAATTGCTTGGAGGAAAACCACTGAGATATGGTGATGAAATGGGTGGATTTTATCTTGGATCTACTGTTGTTTTGGTATTTGAAGCACCTACATCTTTCAAGTTCTGTATCACTTCAGGACAAAAGGTAAAAATGGGTGAGGCGCTTGGAAAGTATGAAGAAAAATAAATAAAGTATTCTCCTTTTGTTCCCCTAATTCCCTTACTCCCCCTTTTTTTTTTTCATTCTAAATCTCCTTACTTATGTGTTAGATCATTCATGCACATCATACATGCATATCTGTACACACGTTTACAGGTAGGGACCATTTTATTAAAAGAGAATATCCCAGTCTGGATTCAATGCCCTTTTTTTTTCTCTCTCTTTTTTCTTATACATTCGACTATGACTAATTTTTACTGGTATTCAACAAATGGTATGGCTCAACATCGATTACCCAGTCGACACTTTGCTGTGCTTGATCAAGCATTTGAAAGACATACTCGAATCCAAATATACGATGATGAAATATTTGGTGCAAATGTACCAGCCCTTGCCAACCCATACCAAGGAACCATGACAGCTGGTGATCTTCATTTTGGACTTTACCGACATCCGCCTATATGGCGCATGAGTGATGTTAGCTTGGATACCTTAACTTTTATAGGTGATAGTAATTTTACAGACGAGGATAAGAGCACTCGACGTGATAGTCATGGAAACATGATTCAAGATAAAGAGATGGCTGCCAACGATAATACAGATACCAGAAATTTAAAGTATAGAACGAAACAGCGTAGACGAATAATGATAGAGGAGGATTGTATAAACTGCTGTGTTATCAGTTGAAAAAAGCAAGAGATGCAGATAACTATATGGATATACATACCATCCAACGGGCATACATACACATCTACATACATAGGATATACCCAAAATGTAAATACTTGACCTCATTGGCTTTTTCATCAACCAGATTCCCTCCTTTTTCTTGCATACTAGATGAATATTCATTAATAACAAAGAATCATATAATCACCACATAATTTCATTTGAATTAGTCACGTAATAAATTATTTTTTTTATTCCTTTTCTTTTTTTTCTGGGGAGTTTTTCAATAGAAATGAATTATGTAACAAAGTATACACGTGTAAAAGGGATTGTTGGAATCAGAACTGTAAGGAGAATATTAAGAAAGCCAAAAGGGAAGCAAAAAAAAAAAAAAAGAAAAGAATCAATTCATTGTTTGTTTGTTTTGTCACTAAAAATGATTAAAGTAAAGCATTAAGCTTGTCACAAATAGTGTATTTAAAAATGTGTAGGAGTCATATGAAAAGGTAGATGCAAGGGAGTTACTTATCACTGGTACATCATAGACAGGTGCTTGATCTGGTCTATCTACTCTCAATCCACTCTGTGGGCCGCCAGCTTGATCGCATTTGTAATATCTCGAACAGGCCTCACGACATATATCTTTCGCAACACCATCACCACATCCAGCCAGACAAGAAGACTCTTTTCCTTGACATTCGGCTACAACAACTGGCCAATGATAAGGTGGTGAGCTTGGGATATGATTCTAAGAACAGTCAATAAGTTTATTGAAAGATTCTATAAAGCTTACCGAGCAATTGCATCCCCATGCCATTGTAGCAGTATTGCAGAAACTAAGGACCTCCTTATGAATATATAGTTATGATTAAAGTATGCTTGACTTACTTTGCTGTGATATAGTTATCTCCTCCACATTGATCCTACAGGAAAATCTGTGTTCATTCAACTATTTACGTTTATAATCCATTACCTACTTTACAAAACGACGTTTGATTATTGCAAACACCTTTTCTTTCAGTTTCATTCAATTGAATAATAGACCAAGTGGTTACAGGTAACCCAACTAGAAAAGAGTTCATTAATGTCATGTATCAATACAAAACAAAATCATTGTTACTGTATGGATGGTAAGGGGTGCTTCCAGCAACAGGTCCACTTTCATCTGGATTTGGATCAAACTGAGTTTCTTTAGCAAATGATATAATGACTGAAAATAATAAAAGTAATATAAATTTCATCAATGTCTTGTAAAGAGCAAGAAGAAGAAAAAAATAGGAAAAAAAGAAAAAGAAGGCAGCACTAATCCATTTACGCATTAAAATACTCGTGTATTCCAAGCTATTGTCTTGAAGGGAGAATAATTTCTATAATATATGTTCGTCGTACATTGTTGTATTTTTCATGCTTCTCCTTGGGTTCATTCTGCTCCTCCCTTTTTTTTTCTTGTTACTGTAATCATACTTTGATCTGTCAGAAAAGATATAATTGGATGCTGTTAAAGTGGGTTGTATTTGACTGCAAAAAGATTATGCATAGCAGGCTTTTATTACTGTTTCATTATCTGATAAGATTGCATTAACAATGGCTACTCTGCATTACATTACTGTTTGGCAGATGAACTATGTGAAATATAGTTGCCACTTATTGTAACGAATACCCCTTACATGTATATATATATATATATATATATGCAACATAGGGATCTGTAAATAAGGTTGCAATTGTTAAGATTTGTTAAGCAGCACTTGCCTTTGTGACGTGTGTGTGCCTGACAATTTCTCTCTTATTCAATTTTTATGATAATAACCTTATGATCAAAAGAAGCTTATTGTTGATGTTTAAAATAGACAGTAGGATTGGGAAATCAGATAGCAAAAGGATATCTTTCATTTGGTTACTTACTTACAATTGGGATATTTTTCATATTTTGGATCCAGTCATGACTAATCATACTGTTATGCAGTTAAATGCCGTGTTCTAATTCAGTCATATCTTTTTTAGACGGGATTTCTTTTTGAGAGTCACCCCCTTTTTTTATTATTCATAATTTAAAACCGTCCATTCATCTATGCTTTGTATGTCCTTTTAGCGCTGCATCGTCAATGAGGCCCAAAGAGCTTCTGTGCCAATAATCGGTAGGTTCAAGAGCCCAAAGTGTGACGGCGAAAGTTATTTTTAATGTCCGTCCGATTCGGCAAAGAGTAAGCCATCCTTCGAAACAAAGAAGAGCATAAGTGTTCAACGTTTCCTTAGAAAACTCCCCTCTTTCTTTTTCCCGGCCCTATTAGGTAACCTCACATAGGGAGAATAAGAGATGATAGCTGTTTAGAGACAGAAAGCGCATGTTTAAAGTTTATATGGATGGATGGATGGATGGATGGATGGAAGGTGAACAGGAAATTGATAGTGTTTGGATAAAAATTGCAATATAAAGAAGGCTTCTTTGTCACTTCAGCAAAATGTTATATGCTAAAGTACAACACATGACTTACTTTCTGAATCACGTTGAACAGCTTCATTATTAGACATGTGCAACTTTGCTCAGACAGTTACTCTCTCTTCTCTCTCTTTTTTGTCATGACATGTCGAATATTAATACAGAATCAATAGGTGTATTCGAATAGATAATGGCTCACGCTCCTAGAAATTCCGTTCTTGCTCCCGGTGTTAGCCGCTACAGCCGTTCCGCTGTCTACTCTAAGAAGGCTTTGTACAAGCGTAAGAAGACCAACGTTGCTGCTCCCGCTAAGCAAACTGCCGCCGACAAGACTGTTGAAGTTAAGGGCGCCAAGAATGGTGGCAAGCGTGTCGTCCCTGCCCAAAAGGCTCCCCGCTTCTACCCTGCTGAAGATGTTCCTCAACCCAAGGTCACCCGTAAGACCTCCAAGAAGACCGTCCTCCGTTCTAACATCACCCCTGGTACCGTCTTGATCCTTTTGGCTGGTCGTTACCGTGGAAAGCGTGTTGTTTTCTTGAAGCAATTGGACAGCGGTCTCTTGCTTGTTACTGGTCCTTTCAAGGTCAACGGTGTTCCTCTCCGTCGTGTCAACCAAGCCTACGTTATTGCCACCTCCACCAAGCTTGACCTCTCTTCTGTCAAGGTATGGACACACTATAATTTGTTGAATGCTTGGATTTCCAACTCTCTTTTTTAAATAGATTGACGAAAAGTTCAACGACGCTTATTTCAAGAAGTCTGCCAAGGCTGAAAAGGCCTTCCTTGAAGGTGAACAGGTAAAATAGAACCATGATGATTAAAAAGATACAGCCGGACTGAATTATTTTACAGAAGAAGGCTGCTTTCCCTGAATCCAAGGCCGCTGATCAAAAGGCTCTTGATAAGGAAATCCTTGCTGTTGCTGCCAAGGATGGTCTCCTCGTCTCTTACTTGAAGTCTACCTTCAGCCTTCGCAAGGGTCAATTCCCCCACGACATGAAGTTCTAAGTTGGTCGATCAGAAGCAGCATAGCCGGAAATAATTATTCATGAAATAAAGAATCATTCATTAAAAAAAAAGCGGGAATAAAAAACAGCTTTAATTTTTGTAGCAAGGAAAACATGTGAGGGTAGGAATATTTTTACTAAAATTAGAATTATTGGGCTGTCAAACAATATGTATGTATTATTTATAATATGTATGTGCTGAAATGAGGGATCAAAAGATCAATGTTTAGGGCGATGCAAATATAAATAAGGGGGTGAATTAAACAATCTCACTTCATTTCTTTTTCTCCCCTTTTTCTTTTTTAATTACATGAAGAGCGACAAGGTCTATCTTTTTATACTAAGTCTCGCCTTTATTCTGGCAATGACGACTATTGCCATCACTAAAGGATCAACAAGCTATTCAACAACATCCAATGTAATTTTGTAATATTGAAAAAAATATGTTATTAATTCGATTTAGCATTGTTTCAACATTGAATCTCAACAAGACAAGTGTGACATTATAGAGTCCTCTTGTCATGGCTTCGAAGCTATTTATCTAAAACTATATTATTGCTTGGGTATTTGGAAACAAGCTGCATCTATTATTCTTGTAAATTTATCCCTTTCTCCCTTTGATTTATCACGTAACTTACATTGACATCAGGTATTATGTCTACTTGTTCTCTTTGGCTCTATTAGTGTTGTCGCATCTGATTTTTTCTGTAAGGAATCAATGTTTGATGATATAATGAATTGGCTGTATTTAACGTTGGTTAGGTCCAAATTTACAAACTATTTCATCTAGACTTCAACTATCGGAAAGCATGGTAAAAAAAAAAATGAGCGTGGCAAAAAGGAAAAGTTCACCATGTTTACTGAATCGTTTCATATATTTCCTTTTAGGCTGGTGTTACTATATTAGCCTTTGGTAACGGAAGTTCTGATCTATTTAGCACCTTTAGGTAAATAAGAATATGTGATCACACATTGGTTTGTTCTTTAATTATATGTTTAGTGCAATGGATTCAGATGCTGGATCATTAGCCATAGGGGAACTTATCGGCGCGGCATTTTTCATTGTTGCAGTTGTATCAGGTTGCATGGGCATTATTCAACCATTTCAATCACAAAGAGTGACCTTTATGCGTGATGCCACATGTTTGTTGGGTGCAGTCTTGATTATGGTGTGGATCATCTATGATCAACGTATCTATTGGTATCATGGTCTTATTCTCATTGCTTACTATATAAGCTATGTTATCGCAGTTGTATTTGACGTTGGCAACAGCCACCGCACAAATCAAGAGGCATTGATCGAGCAAAAGTCACTTCATGAAAGCTGTTTTGCAAATGAAACTACCCCATTGTTGCATAGCGACGTGATTTCTCAAAACAAAAAGCAGGGTACAAGTAAAAAATAAGGTATACATAACGTGTGTGTGTATATTAAAATATTACCAGATAGGAAACCGCCACGATTGTCTATACCAACCTGTGGATTCTCCATTCACTCATCAGATTCATATAGTCAACGACTAGGTCATGTCATTCGACCTACATCTCCAGGAACTACTTCCCCAGTCTCTCCCATGTCCAGTTCTCGTTTTGTGAGCAGCCTTCCTCGTACAAAAAGCGCTTGTTCTACCAAAACATACAGACGTCCTAATACACCAAAAGTTGGGCTTAGACCATCTGTGTTTGGTGCACTTGAAGTAAGAGAAACTTTAAAGGCTAGTACCAAATTTAACATCATGATTAGTTTCAGGAAAGAGTCAATATCTTACGACGAGCAATGAGCTCAACAGTCGTCTATAATCCGTCTATACGTACTGGCCGTCAGACCTCAATACTGCCTTCCGCTTGGGGAAACCTTCAAAGCTCTAATTACAGGTGTAGGCCAAGAGCGCTCACTACATCCTCATCTGCTCAAGATTATTTCACATACCTTTCCTCACAGGAACAATCGTCATCTGCAGGCATAAATGCCGAAACTATTCCGAGACCTTTAGGCAGGCAATCATTTTCAGGGTTAACTATTCCAGAGATCCGCTTGGCACCACCATCCAACAGTGATATTCACTCTGATCACGACAATAGTTTAAACATGAACACCACACAGTCATCCCATCTTCGACAACCTTCGATAGATCACAGCATACTGACGCTTAGCCCGCTCTCTGACAACGAATCGTTCGTGACAGCTCCACAGAGCTGCTTGGAGCCTTGTTATGATCATTGCACAAGTGTATGCGCGACAAACAATCATGTGACGATGTGTATGAAGCAAGATGAAAGTATATTTGAGTCATCTGATATAAATGAGCATCTTGTTCACGTTTTATTTCCTACGCTGCAAGGATGGCATGAAAAAACGACATTTTCCCGCATAAGTGCTGTTATAGCAGCGCCTATCGTTCTGATTTTTACATTGACAATACCAGTGGCAGAAACAAAAGAGATAAAGGTGGATGATGTCGTTGTCCTTGGCGACGAATCGAGTGATGTCTATGAACAGTGTCATCAGCCGTCTATTTTGGATACGACCCATTATCTAACGGTGCCTCTTTCTGCAAGCGATTACTCAATTACACCTACGCAGCCAGTCATCGTCACGAATGAACTGGATACAAAACAAGGATGGAATAAGGAAATATTGGCTATACAGTCAGTATTTGGTACAGCGTTCATCTTTAGCTTAATGGCAGGTTAGTTTATATATTTATATCGTGGCAAGGAATATAAAATCAACACTGTATATTTAGCGCATGGAATGACACCTGTATATTCTGTTTTCTTGGGCACTTGTGTTGGTGTCGTTGTTGCCTTGTGTATTCTAAAGTTTACTGAGGCAGATAAGCCTCCAAGATGGTTCTGGATGACATCATTTGTTGGTTTCTTTGTTGCTCTTAATTGGATCTTTTTGTTGGCTAATCAAGTCGTCACTTTACTTCAAGTGCTTGGAAAGATATTTACAATGAGTGATTCAATCATGGGCTTAACTGTATTTGCACTGGTATAAATTGAAAACTATATATATACATATATGCATCAAATGATGATTAATCTCTCAAGAAATAGGGTAATAGTATTGGTGATTTTGTAGCAAATACATCCATTGCCAAGGTATGTGTGTGATAATGAAAATAAGGCTTTATTGTTATTAATAAACACAGATTGGATATCCGACAATGGCCATTTCTGCATGTTATGCAGGTCCACTTTTAAGTAAGGACATGTGAATAATGAAAAAAAAAAAAAAAGATAAATAACTTTAGAATAGATATGGTCTTGGGTGTAGGGATATCATCCACCTATCAAGTATGGAAATTAGGAAGGCCTTATGAATTGAATATATCACCTTCCATCTTAACATCCACTCTTGGTTTGATCATTGTCCTGTTAAGCACTTTGATTGTGGTCTATACAAACGGTTATCGTGTAACTAGTCAGCTTGGCATTTGGATGATTTCCATTTACTGTCTTTGTATTTTAATCAACTTTCTATTGGAGTTCATTTTGCTGTAGAAAAATAAGCATGGTTGTGACTCTTTTTTGATATATTATATCTTTCTCTTTCTCTTTTTATCGCTTATTCTTTTTAAAAGCTTCCATTGATTGAAGACATTATATAAACTTTATTTTGATCCTTTTTGAATCTATCCATGGATTCAACATGCACTTCAAATGCTGTGAAAAAGGGTCGTCGTAACTATAAATGTATATATGACCCAGAGTTGGATACTCAAAGCGTAAAGAAAAGCAAGCATCCTATCCTTCAATATGAAGATGATGTTGTTCGTAATTCACACATTCTATTCAATCTTGTATACTTACATTACTTTTTTTTTGATAGTCCATGTCAATATTGCCATTACAAGATCCTCGTATTGATAAAACACATTATGAAAGAAACTTCTCAAGCGGTAAATTTGCGTATAAAAAGCGACTTTACATTGTTGAGCATAAAGTAATATTGTGTGTCAATCCTTATTTTATCGTCATGCTCACAATTATTTAGTTTGATCAACACTCTGTTGGACCAAAGCCTTTAACTAAAGTATTGGTTTCCCAACTGTCTCCTTTGATGACTGAAACCCAAATCATGACCTTCTTTTCAGTCTATGGCCAAGTTTCTCTGGTTGAAATCGAAAAATGTCCAACCACAGGCGGATCTTTGGGAATTGCCCATGTCCATTTTGAAAATGACGCCAATCAGAATGGCCATACTTGTGCTTGTCAAGCAATTGAAAAGGGAAATGGAAGGAAAATGGGGTCTGCTGAAGGTGTCAAAGTATGTTTTGACGCAACAGGTAAATATCAAACAAAGTGTTGGCTTTTCTTGTGTGTATATTGATGAGTTGATACATAGGAGAAAAATTAAAAGCAGCTATCATGGAGGCAACAGGTGCCCAATCTTCGGATAAGCAGAGTCATGATGAACGACAGCATACTCCAACACATTATACACCTACTCGCTCTAGATATCCATCGCCTCGTAGAAAACAAGATCATAGATATCCAGAAAACGGCTGGAGACAGGATTCCAGATATCATTCATCTCGAGATCGCTATATAGATGATTATAGCTATTCGAGACATCACTATTACAGGAGCAGGTCTCCGCCTCAGTATTATTCATCTAGATATTCGCCTCCAAGGTATCCTGATCATTATCATTATGATCGATCTAGACCTTCAAGACATCACCATTATCCAAGTCGCAGCAAAAGTAGAGAACGACCTTATAACGATAGAGGATGGGATGATTGGGACAGAGATCGTCATCCTAGAAGGCATTGGGAAGACAATAGGAGACCTTCCGAAGAAAGAAAGCACTCTCTGCTACTGATCTCATTAAAATGTTTACCATTCAGCAAAGGGGCATTGGACAGCTTAAAGAAGATGTATTACTATTATCATTCCATTGATGTAAGTGAGTTGACTATACATACATGTGCGTACATAGCTTATAGTAATTTGTGGATATATTAGGTATATGCAGATGAGGAAAACTGGGTGATTGTGTTCGATTCGTTATCACAGGCGAAGAAGGCTTTATCAGCAACTGATCAACAAACCATCATGGGTTGTCGCCTTATTATCAAGACAAGCTTTCCTGCTTTATCAGACAATAGAAGGTCTATAGATGAAAATAGACAAATAAATGGAACAAATAAAACGGACGACACGCCTACCTCCATCACTCATGACAGCCAGTCTATGAATGGTGTAAACCACCATGATGCTGAAGATACGAATGGCTACCAGAACGCAACAACAGCAGATGTAATTACCAGCACAAGTGAAACGACAGCGACCACATCAAACCCTCGATCAGCGAAAGAGCTAATATTTCAGCAACTAGTAGACATATTTATTAATGACGTAAAGACGCGAATTGCAGGACCAGTTATACACGAATTCATAAAGACAGAGCGAGCGAAAAAGCGCGAGGAAACATCACTTCATGACAACAAGGAAGCGCAGTTGGATGACATAAAAATATCACCACAAAATATCATTGAATCAATTACCACAAACAACACCAGATTGCCTAGCTTTAAGAAGAAGCCAAGGTTTCAGCTGCCTGTCAAACGTAATTTTGATTCACTACTAAACGACCATGAAGAGACACACGGTACATCATCCAGTGTGCATACCAGCAAGCATTTAAAAATACGCGAGGAATATACGCCTGCTTTCACAACGTGTTCTAGTTCTGAAGAAGGCGAGTATCATTCTGAACCAGAAAGCGAGCAAGAACAAGATACCTCAGTACACGCCCCGGCTAAACATAAACAAAGACGGCTTCGACGTCTTTGTGATTATTTGAGTGATAACGAAGAAAGCGATACACTTGAAGATAGAGACTATTTACAGAAATATGACAAGGTAGATCAGAGTGAGGAAGAGGACAGGGAAAGCACAGAAGATGATGAAGAGTTTGAACCAGAAGACTTCAATGGACATTATAATTTGGAAGACGAAGATAATGATGATGACGATGATGAGTATGATGACTTTGTCTCTTCAAAGAAACGTAGGCGGGCCAATAGAAAACAACTCTCTGCAAACAAAAAGTCAAAGAGACCAGGCATGTCTATGAACGGTGTAGAGAAGAAAAGACCACATGGAAGAAAGAGAGTATGCTATGATGATATTCACGACCTGGATGAAACAGATGGCACCAACGGATTTTTATACGAGCAATCTATAGAAGAAAAGGACGATGAAGAGCCAACAGAAAAAGATGAAATAAAAGAAGAAGAGGATATTGATCCTAAAATTTTGGAGCAGTTATTATTAGAATCAACAGATGAATCTGACAGTGAAGATATACCAACCAGAATTGGAGATAATATATTAAATTTAATTGGTCAAGTAAAGGACGTGGAAGAGTTCTATTTCCTTAGAGCAGCAATTTTAGAAAAGCACCAAGAAAAAGACCAAGGTAATACATTTCAAAAACATTTTATAAAAGATGCTAAAAGCAACATTAGAGCCAGTGATCAGTATTATTCGTGGTGGCTGCGCGAGGGCATGCGTCGTTACCAAAATTCCTGATTCAGTAAAGGCAACCTATCTCCCCAGGAACAAAGCATTAATCGATTTCCCATCAGAAACTGGCAAAATATCTTCACGAGCAACACGAGTTAATAATCGTCGACTTGCAGTTGTTGGTTTGGAGATGCAAAAGAAGACGATTGACTCTGACATTCTCAAGTTCAATCAATTAAAGAGCAGAAAGAAGCAATTGAAATTTGCAAAGTCACCTATTCACGACTGGGGATTGTTTGCGGAAGAGCATATCGATGCAAATGATATGGTTATTGAATATGTAGGAGAAATCATTCGTCAACAAGTTGCTGAGGAAAGAGAGAAGCAATATGAACGATGCGGTATTGGCAGTAGCTATCTATTCAGAGTGGACGATGATACTGTGATTGATGCGACAAAAAGAGGCAATGTTGCTCGTTTCATTAATCATTGCTGTTCTGTAAGTCATTTCTATATATACCAAGATATCCCTTACTCACATTTATCTATAGCCAAACTGTAGTGCCAAGATTATCACAGTGGATAAACAGAAAAAGATTGTCATTTACGCAATGCGTGACATCGAACCAGGAGAGGAAATAACATACGACTACAAGTTTCCAATTGAAGCTGAAAAGATACCCTGTTTATGTGGCAGCAAATTCTGCAAGGGAACGTAAGTATTATAAAGTGACGCGTTTAAGTAACTAAATCTAATTCCTGCTGTTAGTCTCAATTAATTGATCAGAAGCAAACAATATAGCAACCCATTTGTATAAATAGAACACACACACGCACACATATATAATAAGACCTCCTTCCCGCTTCTTTATGAGGATGTTTGGGCACTATAAATCCTCCTCCTCTTGTAACATATGAATAAAACGTTCAATTTGTTCATGTTTGTACTTTTTGGAAGTTTATCGTCACTCTATGCATTGATAAACGTTTACATTGGATGGTAAATGTGATACGGTCGTTTAAGAGAGCCATAAGCTGCTGGTGTTTAAATAGCAAGTTTAAGCTTTCCGTTATTTTTCTCTAGTTCTTTTTACTAATGACAGCAAATTGCCCATACAACCAAATCGTTTTGTTTGGAGTAATACTTTACTTATTCATGTGCATACATCTTTATTCACTCGCTTTTTAATAGGACTCTATCACTCAGGTATGAACCCAGAAAAAGAAAAAGAAACTTGCTTATGACAGTTGTAGATGAGCTTTGATCCTGAACTTGCAGGCTTTGGTTCGGGATTAGCTAATGTAAGTCATTGAGGGACAATACAAGGAAAAGAAAAAAAATAGAGCTTATAACGCGTTATTTGTAGGCGTACATTCGAAAAATGGATATCATCAATCGTGGATTTTCTAGGTACAACACGGACTGGTCCCTTCCTATCTTGAAGCAAATTTTACCTACGGTAGAGGACCAAGCAAGATCAAAAGCTAGTATTCCTTTAATGACCATATTCTTTGGTGCCAATGATGCTGCTCTGTATCCTTCGCCTCAACACGTTCCTGTTGATAAATACAAGTCAAACATTAAGGAAATGGTCAACCTGATCAAGGACCCTCAGTCAGAGTTTTATAATCCAAAGATGCGTCTTATCCTTATTACTCCTCCTCCAGTGTATGAGCCTTTGTGGAAGAAGAGATGTGAAGAGCGGGGCGATCCTTTGAATCGTACGAATGAGTCCGCAAAAACTTATGCAGAAGCATTAAAGGAAACAGCCAAAGAATTGAACGTTGTCGTCATCGATCTTTGGACAGCCATTATGAGCGCAAGTGAGCAAAATAAACAAGATCTTTCTTATTTCTTATCTGATGGCTTACATCTAACTGATAAAGGCTATAAAGTAAGTACGAATAAAGTAGCATCATATCATTAATACAACCTGTCATCTTTATAGATCCTATTTGATGCTGTCATGGAAACTATCTCTGTTCATTTCCCTGATATACATCCTGATGCTTTAAAGTTTGAGATAGCTGTGGATGCTGCCAACTTCTAAGTTGTCCTTGTATTTAAAATAAATCGGAAAATAAAGACATCGAATGTAAGCGAAAACTAAAAAAAGGATGTACAGTTTGAATGTAAACGGAAAACAGTATAAATCTATCCAAGTCTTTTTTTTATTTACACATTCCCTCTCTCTATTTTCTCTCTTTTTCTTTTATCTTTGAATATAACACCATGGTACAGCAATTAGCTCGCGTGCAGGTCACTTCTCGTTCTTGGGCTAAGCCTTCCATACCAACACCTTTTATCAGAGGACGTACTGAATTATCCGATTGGGACGTTGTCATGTTTGCGACTTATATGCCTCTTTTGTTATTCTATACAAATGATTATCGAGATCCAAACTTTATGAATACAGCCATTTTGAAATCTTCCTTGTCCGAAACACTTGTCGACTTCTACCCGTTAGCCGGAAGATTAATAGACGTTGGTAATGGTATTGACGCTATTGATAACAATGATGAAGGTGTCTTGTTTGTAGTAAGTATCTTTAGTGTCTATTAATAAGTATCTTACTGTCAAATAGGAGGCAGAATATCCCTGTGATTTGAAAGACTTTAAAAAAAGCGGATATCTTCCCAGCCAAATGGATTACCATCGAATGTTCCCTATTCACTTTTACTCTTCACCTCAAGATCCTTTATTTGCCGTCCAAGTAACAAGATTCACGGATGGCGGTGTTGCTTTAGGTCTCATGGTCCTTCATAAAGTAGCCGACATGTACTCTATTGCTTTTTTTCTGGATGCATGGTCAAAAAAGGCCAGAAATACACAGTACACACCAGCAACATTTGATCGCAGCCTGGTCGCTTTCCCCGAAGATACAGTCATTACGGATGAGGCGCTGGAGCATTATCGATCAGAACATCACAGTATGAAGCACAAGCCACTTTATTCATCCAACTTTGAATCCTCTCTGTTAAAATTTGCTAGACAAGGTCCAAAGGATCCCAAGCCGTTGAAGAGCATCATTTTGGAATTTCACTCTTCAGGACTTCAAGCCTGTAAAAAGGATGCACATACTCCAGAAATGATCGCAAATAAGCATTGGTTATCAACCAAAGATGCTTTATTTGCAATGCTGTTTAGAGCGATCATAAGAAGTCGTGACGTACTAGAGGATGATGAAATGAGAATGATCATATCGATGAACGGTCGATCAAGGATGAAAAACCACAAGGGAATGAGTTACTACTTTGGCAATTGGATGATGTAAACGCTCTCCTAAACAGATTTTGGATATATAGTAACTAATCTGTTTATCAATTATAGATCTCGAACATTCAAGACAAGTCTTAGAGAAGTCAATGGAACTTCGTTGGTTAGTACGGCAACATCTCTCCGCCAATTTGTCAGTAGTCTTCAATCGTCCTTGTTTCATGGTATTAGCAAACTATACACTCTTCATGAAGACATGTCTGTCAATTATCTATCTTACAAACCAAATTCAGAACATCAAACCACGGTCAATGATCTCTCCGTGCTGCCCTTTTGCAAACTTGACTTTGGTTTTGGTTGCCCTGATCGTGCGAGAGGCTACATTACCTCCGGAGGAAATGGTTGTCTCATTATGATTGGCAGAGGAGATGATGCAGATGGAGCTGTATATGATGTTCAGTTACAGATGGATGTTGGATCCATAAGTCGCTTTATAAAGGATCCAGACGTAGTGAAATATGCAAACAAGATTTTGTATTAAAAATAAAATAGACAATCTATTGCTTACAAAAAATTATATTTAAAATTCTGGGAATCTTGATTCAAAGGTAGGATCAATCTCTGGTGCTTTTGCTAATGCAGCATCGTAACTCAATTCCGAAATAAACTCCTTCAAGTCCTTCGCCACGCTTTCACCATATTCGAATCGTGCACGCTCTTCAATTCTCTTTTGATCTTGATCTTGTTTTCGAATATCTAAGCCGATCATGCTCATCTCCAATCCGATAGCTTTTACTGCTTGTCTGGCTTCTCCAAGACTATCTTTGATGGAATCAACATATAGTCTGAATTCATCTCTTTCTTGCTTTATCTTTTCAATTTCTGCTTTTACATTAGATGCTGTCGTGTTGCCTGACTTTCCTGTTATCTTGCCCATACGAGCAGCCACCATCGCTTTTGCCTTTGCTCGAATTCGGTCAGCCTCTGTGATTTCACCATTTGGTCCAGTGCCAACGATATCCAAGGGTATATCTGTCAAGCTGTTACTGTTATTGCCTGTCGCTTTTTGGTTTGCTGCTTGTATCTTTTTATTCATCAAGTCATCCTCTGTTTCATCTACTTGGTCTAGCAGTCCTTTCAGAGTAATATCTAGCATGTATTCGATTTCATCTACTAATAATCTTTCTTCTTCGGCAATACCGGATAGTTCCGCCGTCTTTTCTATGTAGACTCCCCATGCATCGCGTCCATGTTCATTGCCTGATTTCGAAATTTCTCTCTGCAGTTCTCGTATTCTATCTTTGAGACTGTCAATGTTTTTCTTGTCTAATGCAGATAGGTCATTGTAAGGTGCTGCAACTTTGGGTTTAGCTTCTTCTTCTAGTTTCTGTAACTGCCTTTTGTTTTCTTCTATTTCTTTTCTTAATTCAAAAATTCTAGTTGTTTTGCCACGGTACCCATAGCTTGTATTTGTCGCAGGTTTATTCATCAAGTTGTCACGTGTGCGAGTTCTATCAGGGCCCATACGACGCGCACTAGAAACGTATCCAACCTCGTTATCATCATCTTCACTATCCTTCTTCTTTATTGTACCACGAGCCGGACTGGTGGATCGAGATTTATATTGTGGTGTAGGAGGGGAAAGTGAAGAAGGTGAAGAGCTAAAGTTGGATATGTATCTCTTCTTGGCAATGTCATCCAATATTGTCTGCTTTAATTTACTTACACTCTCTTTAAGATCGCGGGTAGAAGGTGGTATAAGCTCTGGGGGTAAAGTTTCAGGAACATTATATCCATTTAGTTTGCGGTAGATAAGATGCATTGCAACTGCAAATTCATCCACGTTGAGTTTTCCTTGATTATTTGGATCTGCCAAGTTCCTAATGGATGCAAGGGGGAGCAATTAGCAAAGTAAACACTTGATCCCTACGCTTGTCTTTACCATATTTGCATGAGTATATTCTGAGGTAATCCAGACTGTGAAAAGATCTCTTTTGCTTTTTCGCCAGATAAAGTGCCCTTGTTTTCAGTATCCCAAGCCTTAAATACCTTTGTATATTGCTTCTTCTCTTCAGCAGTAACAGCCCATGGGATCTTGATGTTGCTCGATAAACTTTGAAATTGTGGTGGTTCTCTGTACGATCCAGTCTGTGGCATCATTCGACTTGTAAAGTCCATATTGTTTCCTGCCATACCTGTAGGCATGGCTATTTGTGGACCCATTTGTGGGTTCAATTGGAAGCCTGTTGTTGTCTGGTTCACAGGCATGCCTGTTGGATGAGCATGAATAGTGTTGGATAGAGTGCTTGTAGGTTGCTGTTGCTGCATAAGAGCTAAACTTTGATTATTGCTTTTGATAGTAAAGACTGCATTAATAATTTCCTGTCGTACTTCGTCTGGTAGTTTAGAAGGTATGTCAACACCTGTCATCTTTAATGCGGTAAGATACATGGCGACTGCAAATTCTGGAAAGGTAAGTTGAGGTTCATTTGTAACGTTGGACAAATCCCTACAAAAAAGGTGTGTATTCAGTCATTCTGTTGTTTTATATAAATGTACAAATAAGTCTTGTACCAAATATGTGCGAGGTTCTCATTTCCAACATTTGACTTTGAAAGAACTTCTTTGGCAATAGCAGCTAGTAAGGAAGGGATATACATTAGCATGACTATAAATGATGATGTCTATATAACATATACCCGTTAATATGTCATTCCCACCAGACGCTTGAGAGAACACCATCTCATACTTGCTCTGATCAGCTTGAGTAAGAAAGCTCAAACGAATTCCTTTAAGCAAAGTTAAACAAGCTACATCCTAGTTAACAAGTGAACCTACCTTTCGATGGTCCTGCCATAATAATAAATAAAACTCGAGGAAAGAAAAGAAATGAAGAAAAAGGTTAAAAACCAATTCTACGTCGGGGTTTCATAGCTCTATCTTTTTGCCCTGCAAGCTAAAAAAATGCCATTCCCTCTTTTTCAACATGATCCATTTGGCCAAACGATCCTTCTTACGACAAGCATGGACAAATGAGAGACAACGGGTATCTTATGCAAGACGAATGAATCATTCAATTCAGTCAAGAAATGCTGCCAGCCCTGTCTATTCTCAGCCTAAACGTAAATCAGACAATCACCTCTGTCTGGTGTTTGACGATCAACAAGTGTGGAAGCAACTTTCAAACAAGAGTACAACCGAATCAGTTGGTGTATGTGGACATCCACACTTTTCGGATATACACGGAATTCAATTTGCAGCACAACAAGCAATACAGCGATCTCAAATATTGGTTGAAAGAATATGTAATGCTCCTTCTAACGGTGCCGAGGAAATGAGAAAAGTTGTTAAACATTTGGATCGCTTGTCTGATACCTTGTGTAGTGTTATTGATGTAGCAGAGTTTGTTAGACACGCCCATCCTGATAATAACATTCGGGAATCTGTGCATCAAGCATATAGTCAACTCTATTCGTACATGAATGTACTTAACACAGATACCAGGCTACATAAGGTAACTCTATCATCCCATCAATTGATACCTAGCTAATGATATACTAGGTTCTTTCTGAAGCCCTGGCCGATGAGCAAATTGTAAAACACTTTACTGCCGATGAATACATGTCAGCTATAGTACTTTTACATGACTTTGAAAAGTCTGGTATACATTTACCTATCCAAAAACGTAAAGAATTTGTCGATTTATCAGATCGAATCATTCATTTGGGACGAGAGTTCATGCAGCAAAATCCTCGAGCTATTCGGGAAGTGAAGATACCACTGGCAGCATTAGGACGATTGCATTTATCAGATTCATCTGTGACTATCAAAAATGGATACGCTCATATACCAACCGATTCATCTGAAGCCCAATTGATACTAAAGTATGCCAGTAATGAACAATTACGTAAACAAGTATATGAATCAGTCCACACCGCTACAAAAGAGAGTATTGCAGTTTTAGAGCAAATGCTAAAAACGAGAGCTGAGCTTGCAGTTTTGGTCGGAAAAAGTTCATTTGCCGAGTTACAACTACAAGACAGGATGGCAAAAAGCCCAGGTAAAGAAAAAAAAGAAAAGTAATATTGCCAATAACCAACAGATGGATGAATACAGAACATGTGGAGGCGTTTCTCAGAAAATTATCCGAGCATCAAAGTTCTTTATTTAAAAGAGACATGCAATTGTTGCAATACGCAAAACAACGAGAGCTGAACCTTGCTTCAGCACCTGTAGTCAATGCTTGGGACCGTGACTATTATATGCATTTATGTGGTGTAGAAGAGACCCAGAATGGATCTGTAAACCATCATTTGCCATACTTCACTGTAGGTTCTGTCATACGAGGCCTTTCACGCCTATTTGATTCTCTATACGGTGTCAGATTTGAGTATGCCCCGATGAGATCAGGTGAATCATGGCACGATCAAGTTCGAAAGCTAAATGTTGTATGTGAAAATGAAGGCAAGATTGGTGTCATCTACTGCGATTTATTTTCTCGTGCAGGCAAGCCTCCTGGCGCTGCACACTATACAATCCGAACATCCAGAAGAGTAGATGACGATGACTCTGAAAATGATGTCCGATTCGCCTTTCCTAATCGAAATGTTGATGAAGCCAACTTTCTACCCCCTATTGTACAGCCTGCAGAACGTGTTCAAGGAAGAGACGGACTATATCAACTACCAGTGATTGCGTTGTCATGTAGCTTTTCTTTAAAAAGTCGTAACCAGCCTGCTTACTTATCAATGTATGAAATTGAAACATTGTTTCATGAAATGGGACATGCAATGCATTCTATGCTGGGTCGTACAGATTTCCATAATGTAGCAGGTACCCGCTGTGCAACTGATTTTGTAGAACTCCCATCTATCCTTATGGAGCACTTTATTTGGCATCCAAAGGTGCTGTCATTGTTTATGGATGACCCAAATACTGCTGTAGGATCACCTGCGAGCATAGAATCCTTTTTGAAACAACGGAAGTCATTTAATGGCATTGAACTTAATAGTCAGATTTTGATGGCATTAGTAGACCAAAGATACCACTCCTCAATAGCCAAATCCGACAACTTCTCTAGCGTTAAAGAGTGGCATCAACTCCAAGACTCAGTAGGACTCTTCCCGAGCGTTGCCTCAGCAATGTGGCCTGTTCAATTTCATCACTTGTTTGGATATGCAGCCAATTACTACTCTTATCTCTTTGATAGAGCATTGGCAAGAAAAGTTTGGGAAACAAACTTTAAAGAAAATCCTTTAGACAGAGAAAATGGACAAGCGTTTAGGAAAGGTGTGCTCGAATGGGGAGGCTCTAGAGACCCGTGGAAGTGTATAGCAGATGTGCTGGAAGAAGAGGACGCTTCAAAGATAGTTAACGGTGATGAGGTGGCTATGAAGACTGTAGGAGATTGGGGTGTTGATGTGTAAAATAAAATAAGGTTTAGGCATAAAAGTCAGCTTATTTCATTTTTTTTTTGTTTTTTGGAGTCTTTTCTTACTTTAATGACTGATACACTTGAAAATAGAAGGTAGTCAAAGGCAATGCATAAAGTTGCTTTTAGTAATACGGTTCAATAGAAAGCAATGGGTCACCATATTTAGTGATCCAAACTTGTCATTAAACTCACTTCGACATCGTGCCATCAGTGGTACTGTTTGTCAGAATGGTCTACGTTCAGTCTGCTGGAAGGTTTAGTAAACTAAATTGAGGGGAGAGGGCATGTACTAAAGTATAAATAGGTATTTCTTGGTTATTTGCCAACACTAGATATTACGACGTGGCCATCCATATTTTTAGAGCAGCGTCAAAGATATACAGACTTGAAAAGGGAATGTATTGACGAACCAGCAGAAAAGATGAATCAAAAAGGAGAAGAGGACCTTTCTGATAATAATCCGCTTGCTCTTAGTGAAGCTGTATGCAAATTATATTTATGCATAAAGATGGTTTATTTATTTGTTCGTAGAATCCATGGCAACAATATTTTGCTGATACTGAAATTAGAAAGGTGATACGCCAAGATGTGGAACGCACGTAAAATATAAAATGCTGCTATATACACAAAATGTTCTGTTCTCTAACCAAGTTTATAGCTTTCCCGATGTTGATTTCTTTAGATCAAGCAAAGTACAACAATGTTTGACTGATATCCTGTTCATTTATTGCAAGCTTAATCGAGACATATCTTACAGACAAGGCATGCATGAATTACTAGCTCCCATCTATTGGGTAATCGCAACAGAATGCTTAGACACAATTGAGATGGACCAAAACATTCTAGAGTAAGTTGTGCAGATCATATGATTCAACAGGGCTAACATCAAGACAGACCAACAGACAAAATCATAGCACAAACACTGGATTCAGCTTATATAGAACATGATGCCTTTATTCTATTTGAGAAAGTGATGAAGTATGGAAAGTCATGGTATGAGTTTAATAATGAACGTGCACCAGAAAGGCCTTCTCAGAACAAATCAAAGGTTAGGCCCAAAACATACGAATAACTTACAAGTCTATTAAACTTATTTCTAGATTGATATCCTTCCAGATAATATACCCAAACTTAATGAGGTATCAAAAGAACATAAACGTTACCAAATAAAACTAACACACTTATTAGACTGCTCGGTTAAACCCGGTAGTCGTCATCTGTCACCGTATACATCACCAGTATTTGCATACCGTAGATCCGCTATTATATAAACATTTGCAAGATTTCGGCATTGAACCACAACTATATGGACTGTAAGTATTCAAACTATGGCTAGTACGACCATACAATTCATTCAAGCTCTGTAGTCGTTGGATTCGTTTACTTTTTGGAAGAGAGTTTGATATGTACGAACTGTTGAAACTGTGGGATGCTATTTTTGCACAAGATCCAACATTTCAAATAGTTGAATACATTTGCCTTGTTATGCTCTTACGCATGCGAGATCAACGTAAGCTGTAAATAAAAAAAGAGAAATACTTGTCTAATAGGCTTGATTAGTGCTACAAAAAGACTACGCTGAATGTCTTAGTATGCTCATGAGACCATCGCCAGTCTCAAAGCCTGCGACACTTGTTGAGCAAGCCAAATATCTACAAGAAAACTTGACACAGGATGGAGCATTACACATTCTTCAACAAATGGACGTTAGATCCGGTAAAGAACCTCGTTCTTCGCTTTACGATGGTATTGTACTCCAGTCCCATGATCAGACTAGGCAGCAGAGAGCTTCTCATCACAGACGCTCATCTGGAACAAGCGGCGACAATGGCTTTTCAAGGATTACCACTAATATGATGAAGAATCCTCAATTTAGAGATATCAATAAGGCTATCGCTGGTGTGATGGAAACTTTTCAGGTACAGAATGATAAAATATGAAAGTAAAGCAAATTTTCTCATGGTGCCCCGCAGAATAATGTTAATAGCTTTGGAGACCCATCGACTGTAGGAGGCTCAAGAAGATCGACTGTAACCTCAGATTTTCCTTCAAATATTGATCGAGTAATTCCGAAGTCGAACGTAAAGTTTGAAAGCAGCACGGCATCTAATAAAACGGCAAAGAATCAGACTTCTCCTTCAAAGCTTATCAATATGAATAAGCAAATGGGCGAATTAGTAGCAACCTGTATATCTATGCTGGAAAAAGAGATTTTCCCACCTGTTCCAGCTGAAGGCGAGGAACCACCCATGACTCAGCAGGAACCTACTGTGCAATCGAAAGAGCATACTGAAGAAACAAAGGATGACGATCATACACCAGAAGAACGGGGTACTGAAGAAAATAAACAAGTATCGACAGATACTGAAGACAGCAAAGGGCATGCGGGTGGTGATCGTATAAAGGATGAGGCAAGCGTCGTCATGGCATTAGCTGGTCTTAAACACGTACGCGACGTTCTGCTTGGCAAACAGCCATACTTTGATGCTAGCGTCATGAAGCTTAATAACCTCACAGAAAATAACGAAGATGATTGGCATATTGTTGAAAGCAAAGAAGCAGAGTCAGCATTTGAAGAGGCACAAAAGGAACAGGCAACAAAATCAAAGCAAGCTGACAAGAAACTCGAATACGAAAAGAGCAAACCGCTACCACCACTAGCTAAAAGACCATCGTCAGTATTCTTTGAGAGTAAACTGCCTCAGGTCCCAGTCAAGTATGTCCCAACAAACCCAACACCACCTAAGCCTGCAGTGAAGTATCGAATTGAAGACTTGCTGTCCGATCCAGATCTTCAACTACACAGTCCCAAGTCTTCAACTAATTCTAAGCTAAAATGGATACTCTCAGAGGAAAATGATTCTCAACCAAATGCCAAAACAGCGCAAGAAACGCCCAAGATGTTGACTAGGAAGCGTAGTAGTTTTATAATCAACAAGGCTGTCTCGGCCACAGGTAGTACGATTGATCCATTGGACGCTAAAAATGTTGATAATCGCAAGACGTATGAGTTTGATACCGTTTCACAATAAAAGCCGGTTTTATTTGAAACTATTTATTAATTATTACATTACAAAGTATAAAAGGAAGGTAAAGAGGGTGTTGGTATTTTTCATTGAAGGAAGTGAAGAATGAAATGATAAAGGAAATAATGCAGTTATTTTTACATGCTGTTCTCATTACAAATGGGTTGTCTATTTTTGTACGAGATTCATAGTGGATGCTAGACTTTGAACAATTTTACGAGATATTCTGATATCTTCGTAATCAGGATGAGAAGCTTCAGTATGTTTTTCCAAGTCTTATTAAAGGCATTGTTAGTCGTTATGATTCAGAGACACATAATCTGACGTACCTGCAAGCAAAAGACCATAACGGGTAATACGTTGAATGGGAATAATCAGATAATCTTCAAAAGTAAATTGACGTGTCTCTTTCCTTAATGCGAGTTTCTACGCCCAACCAGTTAAGAAACGCGGTTTAAATGAGAACTTAATTACTTTACCTCCTTGTATACTGTATATACTTTATGCTGATGCTTCTTGTCAATCAGTTCTCTATTGGCTCTATAGTCCAAGGCACACCGTAAGAAGACTACCATTAACTCAGCCATATCACGTAGCACAGACCCTACGTTAATGTCGGATATAGGCCAAACATTGCTTCTTGAGCTATTTTTACTTCTTTGTTCAAGCTCTAACTTTCTTAGACGATAAATGAGCGTAAGTGAGAATTTCATCAAGTCTTCAAGGTTTGCAAACAAGTCAATATCAGCCGGCTTTACAAGCGAAATATTTCTTTCTAATGCATCTACGAGTGGATCACAAAACATCTACAGTGTAACCATGAGCATTGCATTTTTTAATACAGTCGTGTTTAATTACCACTTTTGCATAGTTTAATTGATTCCAAAAATTGACTTCTGTTGTATAGAATTCGCGAAGGATAAACTTTCTGGTTTGAGAGTATCTTTCCCTTTTATCAGAAAACTATAGCAACAATGGTGAGATGATGGTTCATTTTGACTCCGCTAAAGGTTACCATATTAACATCTATTTTCGGTAATGTGTACCTGTCTGGTTCAAGGGCTTTTATCAACTCCTGTTGCCATAGAGATAACGCTTTTAACTCCTGCTTTGGGTTACACCGACGCTTCATTTTAAAGCTTCTTGGTTTGATATTGCCAAAATTAATGATGCACTTGCTCGCATTGGGTGTAAGCACACTACCTAGATGGCATTCATTGTCGGGAGTTGCCGGACCAGAGCTTGATGAAGAAATTGACGTGGTAGAGGACGCGATGAGAGAGTGGATACTACTACTGCTACTACTGTTGCTGTTGCTAATGTCACTTGTCTTTTTTAGTCTTGGTCTTTGTTGAGTTAATGAGCGAGGGCAGCTCTTTGAAAACAGTCGAACGTTTGTAGTGCTGCAGGAATGATTTGATGTGCTCGAATCGATCATGGTTTTTGCTTTTGACAGTAAGGATAAGCGTTTTGGATGAGAGTATACAGTACTATCGTCTTTGGCAGCGCTTTCTTGGCTTGTTTCTATTGTTTGATCATAGACAGGGCAGCTTAGACGACGATTTATGAATGCAGTATCTAGCTGCTGTGATATGGTAACGCGATCAGGGCTATTCAATAAACAATCTGAAAATTCGATTTCAATTTTTGAAGATTTTCTGCTTATTGTTGGTGATGTCGGTGTGCTTATGCTATTACTACTATTATCATCACTATTCCATATCAGAGGTGACGCTGCCATATATTCCGAAGACCACTGGAGGTTGAACAAGAGCCTTGGTGGTGGTTCAGGCGGCTCAATGGCTGCTATTTTTGTTCCACTGTCCATTCGACGAACAGGCGTCGATGGATTTCTCTTTAACGTCATCCTAGGTAGTTGAAACCACCGCTTTCTCTGGCTTGCGTTTTTCGTAAGAGGCTTTATGGAAGTCTGGTTTAATTCGGGAACAGAGGATACTCGTGGCAGACTACTGGCCAATTCATTATCCGCACTTGCTGAACGATGATGACTTCTTTTGACGTCAAACTGTCTCTGTTCAACTGCCGAGTGAATGATTGAAGTAGAATATCTTTTTGTTTCTTTATTAATAGGCGTGAAGGAGAATAAGGGATTCCAGCCATGATCAAAGTTTTCTAATACGGTATCCTCTTTAACATTGCTTAGTGTGGAAGGAGCGTGTGTGTCTATTTGAAGGTGTTGGTTTCTTTTTTTCACCATTCAAACAAGTACACGAGATATAAAGAAAAAAAAGCAAAGAAAAAAAGAGGAAATCTTTAGAAAGAAAAATTTCCTTTTGTTTCTATTTTGCCACTGATGTTTTGCAACCAATTTCGCCACTTCAATCACGCATTTGCGTAACATTAAAATTTCTTTAGACATTCTATTGTTCTCTTAATTGCGTAAATACACATCATTCTAAAGAATGAACGCGCTTAATTTAAGTCTATGATATCATCCGAGCGCTAGATCTGTAACAAGCCACTAAGATGACTCCGTTTCCTTACAATTCATGTTTAAAAAACCCTCCATCTGTTGGAATTCCGCGAGGCGTGTGCTCTTTTATATTTACTAAATAGGGATTAAACAGCGCAGGCTTAGTGTAGTACCGTTCTCCTTTTTGGTTAGTGCTTTTGACGTTTTGTTTTGCATGGCAATAATGGTACGCTCAAGCATTCATAACGTTACACCCTTGATTAGAAATAAGTAGTTGTGTTCATTTATTACTTGACATCCTTTGTCTATTTCGATTTATTTAAGATTATGAAGATAGAAAAATACAAAACCGAGTTTATTCATTTCACGTAACTCTATCATTACTTAACCCTGTTCAGTAAGAGGACTTATGAAAGCATTCGGAGTACGACCGACTTGAAGCAGTCCAGCAAGGAAGCAATCTGCTGTACGCTTACAGGAACTTTGCCTATGTTCGGAATTCCACACATGTTTATTGTTTGAATATAAACGCGGAAGACTGAAATCTCTTATTTGACAGTTTGATAATTGTCGTACCAAAGCGACATCTGATCCTGATCTTCACACTTGAGTGTCTTACTTCTATCACCAAAAGATTTTCTCTCTCTCTCTCTACAGTCACGCATTGAACTCTCGCTTGTCATGATAAATATGGTGTCAATCACTATTGAGGAGAAATCAACCAGAGCTCAAACCTCATATCAACAGCTTCGTACCACACTTTCTCATTCCGTTTCCACTCTTTCTATTTCCATAATGTCGTACCCATACTAACAACTTTTATTCTTCTTTTGCATATTTACCTCCATCTATCCGGTCATGCTCATCAACTCTAGTAAATACATATGATGATATCAATTATTTCTGGAAGGACATGAGTATTCTTTAGCAAAGACACACAGTGAATTTAAATTGATTTTTTTTAAAAAAAAGCTTTATCTTCTCGACAGTGCCTACAACTCTAAAATTAGATACTTATTTCCAAACTGATCTGGGGTGAAGGCAGAACACCCTCTCTCTGCAAATCAATTTTATACTTTTTAAAAGCCCGCTTCACGCTTATTTTGGAAACAGCAACTACATGGCTTACACCACGGATATTATTTTAAAATGGCAAGCGTGTACAATAAACTTCTCGTTCAAAGCCGTCGTTTGGTTAATCGCAACCTAATTTCTCGACAAAAACTATTCACTCCTTCAGTCGTATGCACTCAGAAAAGAAGTAAGTCTTTTTTGGTTATTGTTTGTCATTATTACCTAATTCCACATAAGCTTTCTTTGTCAATGTACCCAAGTTTGATCGCATTGCCGATGCTGAAGAGCAAATTAGAATTGGATCAGACTACTTGAGCAAAGGCTCGATAGATATGGTAATTACATAGAATAGAAGCTTGTTCAACTCGCTATAACTTATAATATATTAGGCGATGAATAGCTATCATAAAAGTGTTCAGATCGCACCTAGTGGAGCAGGCTATTTTAATATTGGTGTATGCTACTTTCAAATGGGTAACGTATATCCTTAGCCGCACAATAAGATTCTAATATTTAACATAGGCAAGTATAAAGATGCCATTCAATCCTTTGAGCGTTCACTTGAATATACACCCAACTCAGCTGATGCTCATACGAATATTGCCTCTGCTTTCTTGATGTTGAGAGATACAAAGCAAGCGATCAGGCACTTGGAACAAGCTTCCAACTTTAATCCATTGGATGGTGAAGTTCAGTATAATTTAGCTTGTGTTTATGAAGCAGTTGGCAGATTGGATGATGCCAAGACTAGATTTGAAAGAGCAGAGATATTGGGCATTGATAAGGCTCAAACAGCATTAAAGAAATTGGAAAAGAAGATTACAGATACGACCAGTTAACTTAATAAACTCTTTTATTTCTATATCATCCTTTATCGTGAACCACTGATGTGTACTGAACGTAATACTCTACATTGCCCCTTATTAGAGTGACCATAATAACATAAACTAAACATACCTTGCAACATTCTCCAAAGCTTTCCTTCTCATTCTTTCTTTTTGACTGAGGACTGAATGCATCTGTAAAGGTGTACGCAAGAGTCTAAAAAAAAAAATAGATTGGCTAATCTGCGTAAATCAGGCAAAACGCATAGACCTACTTTTCAAACAGAATAACAACATCACGGCTATTAAGCCTATTATACTTGCGATTTCTGACCTGTGGCGTCAAGTACTCTTCAGGATTGTCACTGAGTATGGCTAAATCAAGAAGCTGTCTGAGCTCCAAGAAGGTATCGTTTAGTGTAGGGTCGCCTAGACTATTTACAAAATCTTCGACAAAGCGAACATCAGTATCAAAATTACTTAATGCAATTTCTGTCATATGCTGTCGATCAGTATCCAACAACAACCCTTTCATTGACTGACTAAGATGCTCTAATGCATCAAAGTACAGTAAGCTCTTGATGGTCTCTGGTAAATTTAAGAGAGCTGCGTTCGTCACATTGGTTAAAAAAGTAACCAAGTCCTGTAAATTTGGACTCGGTTGTTTCTGCATCTCTTCAGACTCCCTTATTTTTGTGGTTAATATACTCATAGGGGGCAGTAGCATGGATTACTTACCAGTCATATTCAAACAACTCCAAGAATTCATCAAGTTTAGAGTTTACCAGTTCAAATACGCGTTTCTCTGCCTTTCTTCTCGTTTCTTTAAATGTCGAGGTAGCCTTCAAGTGTATATGTCCAGACCTGTGGAATGATCGTGTTTCCATCAATAGCATTTCAAAGTCTGGGCAAGTTGACTCAAAATACTCTATGTTGATGATGATCTGAACAATTTGAGATAGATTGGTCGATTGTAGTTTCTTTAGCAGGATAGCATTCACTTTTTGAATAAGTAAACTGTCCACTGCCTACGAAAAGTCAAGAGTAAAAATAAAGTTCTGTTACAGATAGAAAGTACCTTTTTCAGTATATCATCCATTTCACCGTGCGTTTGTGAAAAGCCCTCAGCGAATTGATAGAATTGATGTACAAAGAAGCTGACATCACGACAACATGTTGGAAATACCTTTGAAAATGGCAGCCTTAATGGAAATCTAATACATGACACTTGTTAGACTCTCTTTTTTTTAAAAATTTAAGTTAATACATACCCATATCTCTTGATAAATTCACGATCAGGTCGGAATCGGGTATATTGCATAACTTCCTTAAGTTCATCTTCATTTTCTACAGTCATAGGCATACATTCATCTTCTTGTACAATCTACAATAAACTAATAAGATCAAATAGTACATACGTTACCATTGCACATACCTTTTCCATGACTTCACTATACTGATTAATCAGTAGTTCTGAATATCTTTGAAAGAGTGTCAATAGTGTTTCTTGTAAAGGCTTTACAGAGTAATCAAATCCCTGGATATGGTCATAAACTATGAGCTATGTACATTTGGCCGTTAATGATCTTACTTCTAGCGTTTGAATAAACATCAACAGTAAAAATTTAATGCGTAAAAAGAGCTCAGGATCTTTACAGCCCTTCAAACTTTCTGATACCACTAGGATAACTTTACCAGTAACCATCTCCCACAGTCCATCTACTTCTGCTTGGCTTCTAAACTCTGTTGTATTATGTAATATCATGTGCTCTATGATAAAGAACCCTACAATATCCTGCAGCAGCGTTTCAAACGTGGTCAAGTTGCCATTACGCAAGTTAATAGGAGTTGATAAAGCCAAGTTCGCCTGAGCCTATATTATACAAAGTATGCTTTTAGTATCGATTTGGGCATATGTGTTGCTTTGATATTTACTCTTCTGTCTTCTGAGTAAGAAGCTTTGAATTCATTTGGCTTCCCTAAGGTACTGTAGACGTGTATACATTTATAAAGTGGCTCAAAATCTATGTTCACTTCATCCAATATACTAGCTGTTTTCCAAGTACGAGGTTAATGATCACTATAGCCTGTTTCTCATGTACATACTTTCAAGTCCCTCATTCACTACCATCTCGATCGCAGAGTTCACCTGATGATGCTGAAGGTTTTTTAGCCTTGGATTCTCTGATGTCCTTGATCTCCAACGATCCTGTCTTTCCTGCATACGTTGCATCGCCAACTGACCAATCTCTCTAGATACTTCACGTACTCTATAAAGCGAAATTTTCATTAGCTTACAAGGTAAAGGCAAAAAGTAGAACTTGCCTGGCCAGCCATTCTTTTAACTCCATTGTCACTGTAGCTTTGATCGTGTTTTGCATTATAGGCACTCCTTGAGCTAATTTATATTAACGTTAAAACAAGTTTTAACGATTGAAGACATTATCATCACCTAACATTTTAGCAAAGGTATACTGAGTCGCTTGCCCCAACCGATCGTCTTGTAAGTTGTTCAGAATCTACCGGACTTTAGTTTATAATGTATATCTTTTCGGGATTTCCTTACCTTGAGTGCTGCATAATATTTCTTTTGGTCTAGTTGTTCGTTCACTTTGTTTGCCGATTCAAGTAGAACCAAGCTTGACTGTAAAGCTTCGATAGCATCTTCAATATTTTGTTGTATCTTCCTAGCATTAGTCAGCTCTTTTTTCTAATAGACAAGAGTTTAAGAAAACTATGCTCTTCTTTTAAAATGGATCTATACTTTCTACTAACCCTCGCAGCCCATTTGGTTCCTCTTATTTGTAATGCTTGGTTCACATCCGTTAGTTTTTTACGCAATTCTACTGAACCTTGTCTCACTTTAAGAAGTTGGTCTACTGCACTGACAAATTCCTTTACGGAATGTGTTAGTTTTCAATCAAAAAAGAAAGTTCGACGCTTTACCTGGTAATGAATATTACACATTCGTTCAATTTCAGCGTCTTTTTTTCTAATAAGAGCATCTAAGCTGTCCAAGAAGGCTGTTCGTTTTCCTGTTTCTATAATATTTTTAATTACAGGACCCAGCTGTTCAATGTTTTCAGTATCATCTAAGGCTGCTGAAAAAGTCAAATCTGTGCCTGCTAAAGGTAATTCTGCATCATTAACAGACACCCGGTCAAATGAGGTTGCTATTTTATCCATCTCTGCCTTGTTGGATGTCGTTCCTGGCATTGAGAATAAAGAGGATAATTGTGTCGTGCAAAAGAAGCGTGGATGATTAAAATTCAATATGGATCAGACAGTGTAACACGCTTAAGCATAATTTATCCAATCACAATTTACTTCGCCTTGTCAAACTAAATTTGTAGGCAAAGGCAAGAGTCTGCAAACGTAATGATATCACCCTTAATACTAACAGTAAAAGCTGGTACTCAGTATGAGAAAAGAAATTGTTCTTTAATGGCATCTATATATTTCCTTATTCATTTCCAAGCCGTGCGCTAGTATATTGATGAATATCAAAAGAAAGTTTGGAGCATGACTGTCTGCAACTACGCCGAAAAGATGATAGAGAATATAGTACTCAGTCATGGTATAGAAAATATTTCTAGCTCCCACCCAAGCTAGCAGGGTTTCCTCATATAAGATGCAAGTATAGAAAGATGCAAAGAGTATAGAATACCAGAGTTGTTTTATTGTTTTTCTGTCTTCTTGAGTGAGAAACGGAAGGAAACAGAGGAAAAGTGGTAACAGCGAAGACAAATTGTTATAATGCTTCTATTGGCGAAGCATGCGATCCTGTTTGCCTTGTAACTTTTTCAACTGTCTTTTTCTACAATTATTTCGGCAAAACTGGAAGCGCTTGACAAAGAGCTCTTGACTACATGTTCAGTCGTAAGGAAATCATAAAGAGATAAAATTATATCTTAGTAAGAGAAGCCATATGGAACTGTGCTTGTGTTTAGTGAGCATGCATTCCTAGAAATAAACAATCAACCATTCCACCACTTTTAGCAGCCAAACACTGTTAATACTTACAGAGCAATACATTATATTCATAGGGCAACGTGAATACCAGGAAAAGAGGGGATGAACAAGATTCTGTTATTGTGATCATCTACCTCATTAAGCAGAGTCTGTGAAAGGTCAAAGACTGCTATATCCCTTGTGAGTCTCATGCGATGGGCTGTGCAAAAACAAGGTGCTTATTAGTAGTTCTAGAGGTGACATGATTGTAGGTACGAGAACGGATGTACTACAGATAACAATATGTACTGCGATATTTAGAGCACATAGAAATCATTGCTTTATCTATTATGACTTATTTGAGGGCGCACAGTGCATAGTCTGACCTTCCTTTAATGCCTGCGACTACTTAGGAATTATGCTGCAAGCAGGATCAATCCAGATACAGCTCTTGTCTAACCTACAGAGTACTTGATAGACCTTTTTGTTCAAACGGACGCACAAGGCCGTCACTTCAATAACTTCTCTGTTTCTGGATCAAAGCGAAGAGTACACTCTTTCCTCAAGTGTGAATCTTGTGGTACGGTTTGGAATAGCGATATAAACAGTGGATTAAATATATACGGTATCTTTGTTTACAAATCAAAACATGACAATGAAAGACTTCCCGCCTTCAAAAGAATAGCGGTGCTACTAGATTTAATGCACTGTCCGTAACGGCAATGCTTTGGTAAATATAAAGCGAACAATACATTATTTTTTATTCATTAATCTTCTAGTTAAAGTGTTATTTACTCACATTTTACTAATATCCAAACGGTTAATGAAGAGACTTTTTCGTGAAATCTTTTGCGCATGTAGCGTTTCTCGAAATCAAAGATGATGTCAAAAACTAAAAATATTACGTATTCAGTTTTATAAGACAAAAAGCACACAAGTTCTTTTCAGTATCTCTGTTTATCTTTTTTTTTCTTATTTCTGTTTCTTCACATTTAACTTTATGTGCTGATGTCATCTTGATGATATCAAACCTATGGAGCTATTTTAACTAAACGTATTCACTGATCTAGCGTATTTTCTTTAAACACTAAAAGCGATTCCCACTATTGAACATGTTTTAAACCAGTGCTAGTCCGCCCGGACAAATCATGATCACGTATTTACAGTCATTCCCTATGTTCCTTTTTCTTCCTTTAATGCCCAACTGGAAAGACCTTCCTCCTGAAGTATTGAATAGGATATTTAATATTTTGGGATATCCTAGAGACCTAAATAACTGTCAGCTGACGTGCAAGGGCTGGTATTATCCTGCTCAATTCCAACTCTATAGAAACGTCTCTTTTAAGAACAGAGACAGAGACGCCGTTACGCGATTTATACAATGTGTAAACGAATCAAAGCTATCGAATCCTGGACAATTAGTCAAGCATATGCATCTTGGTGATTTATTTGACGAAATGAACTATCGTCGTTATGACGACTATCTGTCTCATCTCGCTGACATTTGCCCAAATGTTGAAGGTTTAGACGCAGAACAACCAGTATCATCCTTTTGGGAGGACTTGGCTTACGTTACTATCACTCGTTGGCGAAACTTAAAGAAAGTACCTTCGCCCTCTGAAAGTGGAACCATTGTTGAATTCGCACTTTCAATGCTCCAAATAAGGCATTCACTCTCAGACATTACGATATCACCAGCCTTTTATGAAAGCTTGGAAGGATTGAAGTTTATTACTCATCTCAAGCATTTTACCAATCTAAAGTCCTTATCATTGATCGAACCAACAACACCGGGCCATATCGACGATCTGATTCAAGACTGCCAAAAGATACAAAAATTGCGCATCTCGATTATAGACGCAGACAACGACAGCTATGAAGTTGACGCGAAATATAGCATGAACTCACAAAAGATGCGACCATACATAAAAATATTAAGCATTGATATATCATTTGATGTCAACTCATTAAATTACATCATGGACAAGTTTACCTCATTGGATTCCCTGACAGTTAACATCTATCACGACTCCGACGCACAATTCAGTGATACAGCATTAACGAAAAAGTTTTTAAATTATGTCCTGAAAGTGCCCTCCTTCACCATACGTTCGATTGGATCTCTGGACTTATTCTATTCACTTATATCACTCCCTTTTTCCATTGCTCATTTAGACATCATATGCAAGGATGATTCATCTAAACCATCTCGTCCGTGTGTTGATCTAAAGTCTGTTAAACTTAACCGAGTCTATGTTGTCATTCAGTATAAACAAATGATCAAACGAAGCGAACTGGCAGATTTGTTTAAGAAGTCAGGAAAATATATATACAAACTGTACTTTTCAGCATACGATTACAGCAATGATGACAGTGAGGAGAGTCTAGACTATTTTATACAAGACATTGTTACCTATGGTCAAGCATTAAAGCACCTACACGTTGCCACACCTGTTTTACGAAAACCAATTACAATAGAAAATCAAATTATTATGAATCGGTCAATCACGGGGATGTCCATAAAAACCACATCTATAGAGCAAGGAGCACTACAGGAGCTGTCTATTTGGTTACCTCGATTGGACCGATTGAGACTGTATTCTAGACTCGTCATTGACAAAGACCAAAGAAATACGGTAAATATTGATATGCCTCAAACATCATTTCGATACCTTTATTTGCAGCTACTCGTACTTTTAGATTCAGCATTAGAAAATGAGGCTATATATCATGCTGATCCGAGACATGGGATATTTTCTTCACCCGTCATATTCTTGACGCTTCACACAGACGAATTAGGTGAAAAAGAATATCTTATAAAGAGTACAAAAGGCCAAGTATCGATCGAACGCTGTAATCATCTTGCTGAAGGGCCAACGATGGTGAGCGTTTATGTTCACTGTCGGAGGCTCGAAATACTCTGCATTAAAGCGAACTCTTTATTTATAAATTTGGATTTAACAAAACAGGATAGTATTCTTTTACAATAAAAACCTTTTATTTCACGGCTTCAAATGTGAAACATGTTTACCTCTTTTATACTTGTCATACTTGTAAGAAGGGTCTTTATTAGCGCTGCGAATTTGCATTGCCACTTGTCTGATATATCAAAGTAGATGCAATGACCTAGTCAACAGTCGCGTTTCTACAAATTTATATAGATATCTACTCGCGAAAAAAAAAAAAAAAAAAAAGTTTCAGCATTTCCCTTCCTACTATACAGAACAGCTCAGAATACAATAAAAACTTGTTTAACGCTTTGATCTTTATTATATATAGCTTCATAAACAACAGCTTAAGTTACCTTCTTTGCCATCTTCCTTTTGGTGATTTGCTTATCTACATTGAAGCTATACGTTAGTTTCTCTGTATATAGCCAGGCTTGTGGGTTAGTCGTATCGCAGAAAGAGAGAGAAAGAGAAAAAGGATACAGTCAACCATATAAGCCTGATATCATTCATATCATCCGTAGTGGCTCCCCAATATAAGTAACTAGATACATGGTCAAAGAGCTAGATAATTGCTGTAATCGTGAAATGCTAAGCTGTTTGTTCATGTTATCAATGGACATGAATGTTTGCTTGAAAGCTTTAAAAATTTAGAAAACACTCTTTTTCTCACCATTCGCTACATCTGTTTTCCGCCAAGGTGAGTTTACTCTCTGGGATGTACAGGGAGAAGGAATAAATCTCTTTGTAATCCTTGTATGAGCAGAGTAAGGAAGAGGTTCATAACGAAAAATGAATAAACGTTTAAATAAAAGAGTAAATGTTGTTAAATACAATAGATCGTAGATGCTACGAATCAGTGTGTGGGCTTAATCTGAGGTATTATGTTATACAGAATATTGAAGATAGCCTAGACTACTCCTTTTCTCCACAGTGATGGCAGTAGTAATTTTTGTACCAAAGGTGCAATGCTACTCTTTTTCCTTTTCTATAGGATTCCCGTTTACTACTTTCGATCCAATTTGCATTCGTGTAGTACGAATCTGTGCTGCAAGCCACGTTACTGTGTACGTTTCAGGAAGGGCGCTCAAAACCTATTCCATCTGATAGATTGGAACTGTGATGTTTTCAGGTACAAGCTTATAAGGGTTAATATGAAGGGTAAATGACATTGGTGATATATGGTTGTTTATAATAATAATAAAAAAGTAAAAGATAATGCATGCTTTTGTAGGTAGTTGTTGTAATTCTTATTTTTTTTTTTTATTTGCTCAAGAATAGAAGAATATCCTCATTCTTTTAACCAAGTGGTTGTGATGGCTTATGCGGAAAATATTGAAATACAGTTTAAGCGCATGAATTCAATGACGTAAAGGTTACTTTTTACCAATCAATTTCTTCGAAGTAAGCTACTTGTGATTGGCTACCATGCATCACACCCTATGTAATCTCAGGTTGTGAATGAAGTTATCCGAAGGCGTATACAGATAATTCATGCAATGTAATCTTAATGTACCTTGACTTCACTAAAGGAAAAGGAACATATTTACATACTAAAGAACATATGCCTCACAGTCTATTATTAAAATAGGATGAACTCTACATTTTCACACACACACTACACAAAAACTATAGATATATGCAATGCTGTACTACGATTTATAAGCAAATCCATTGGCCAATGATGTAAATCTTATTTTTAAAACAAAACGCCCTATATAAGAATGCGTCATTGCAGCCTCTATTTTCTTTCGTTCAACAACACTTACATTAATCATGTCATCATACAAGCCTGTTATGCCCATTAACCCTGAAAGGTTTACTATCACTGTGCCCGGAACAGACTCTGTTTCTCAGCTGTCTACAGAACAATTGCTCGAGAAAAACCATACCGAGTTTGATATCTTTATGAACAAGAAGAAGTTCCACAAGTAAGCTCTCTTATAGCCTTTTGTATTTTATCATAGACTTACGAGCATATAAATCTTAGCCATCTATCACATCACATCTTAGCTGCATATAGCCTAGGCGCGAGTAAAGACAAGCTTGAACAGATATACGAAAAAGAAGCCAAGATTCAACGCTCAAGGCTGCCTGTCGAGTTCAAAATTACCAGAGAAAACTATAAGGAGTACGCCGGCAATGGTTCAGCCAGCACAGCCTTTATTGACTTTTTCCGTTCAGAAATCGAAAAGTTTGGTATGATCGACACCGTACGTCGTTGGGTCTTTCATGGTGACTTCCTTGCTCGTACTGTAGGCGGTGCTTTTCATCCACTTATCCACATAGGCTATGGTCTCGAATTCAATATTCCTGGCCTCGTTGCTGAAGGTTTAGCTATGGCCGCTTGCACTGGCTCAGAACACACTGCCCTTGTACCTACCCTGCCTCAGTTGCAAACAGGCTCTATCGTGCCTGCCCAAGCTCAAGTGTATGCCGAAAACGCGTCCTCAACCGCGAGAGGATATATGGCACAATTCATTGATCAACTCTCCACACAACTCTCTACCAGTCTGGGAATTCAAGATAAAGCAAGATACGGCGATGCTGATCGTGCAGCTAATGATAGCTCTCATGGCCGTCGTGAACCTACCCAAGTTGATATTCATACCTATATTCGTGATAGTCCACTGGTCCAAATTTTTAACAAGATAAGAGAAGACCCCGCCTTTGATAATCTCCTTCCATTTGAAGAACAGACTAAGCGCTCACGCCTATTCAGCAACAAGGACGCGACGGATAGGATAAAGCACTATATTTACCAATGGAAGTTGGAAGAGAACACAAGAGATGTCCAAGCCAAGTTCAAGGAGCTTCATTTAAGCGCAGCTCTTCTCGCAGGATCAACCGCAGTTCGTGACAGCCATCCGGGAGTTCTCAAGGTTGATTTCTTTTTGATGCATGCCCTGACATCTTCCGAGTTCCTTCATCAGTTTATTTCTAAAATAACACCCTCAGAATCTGTATTGCTGTTACGTGGTCATCTTGCCTCGTGTATTTTGGAATATATCGTCTGCGGTCGTCCCGAGCTCAATGTGAAAGGATTATTGAACTATCAGTCACCTCTGGATAAGGAAACAAGAAATAACCAATGGACTCTTGTACTCGACAGAGCTTTGGACGCAAAGGAGGTCCATGTTATCAAAATGGTGCGCTCATGTGCAGTAGGACAAATGATCAATGGTCCCTATCAATCCGCTGATCTTAATAAGGTCTGGCTACAAGCAGCCAAGATGGCCATTGACACGAATGGTGATTGGGAACATGAAGGTGTTGGATTTGATGAAGTTTGGAAAAAATAAATTTGTTTAATCATAAAATATCTTCTTCTAACGCTTCCCATCCTTTAACTAAACCAAGCTTTGAATGCAATTTTGTAAATATTTTGTCCTGGTTAATATGCCACATTTTATCTTTATCATATATGATCGTCGTTTGCTCGACTATATCCACATTGCGTCCTTTGAGGTAAATATCAGAGTACGCAATGTAATCCTGTTCTCCATTTGTGTACTCTACCATCAAGTAAACCGTGATCTTTTCATGTGAGCTTAGCCATTCTTGTACCTTTTGTAATGAACCTTGGAAAGGGATTCCCTTTTGGTACTCGACAACTTCCCACTTGTCTTTCGACAGGTTTGCTTTGACTTCATATTCTCTATCTGCAAGCACATATCGTAAAAACGCTTTTTCCACATTCGAATAGTTCTCCATGATCGATGACATGTACTTGGCCTCAATCAGTCGAAACAGAAAACAGTATCTCTCTGGCTTTTCATCAACACGTATACATGGTTCATCTTCATATTCCTCTTGAATCAAATATTCGCTCTTGTCTTGTAACTGGTTTAGACTTTCGTCCTCTTCAATCACGCCTTCATCATCATTCTGTATATAATCACTCTTGCTGAATAATATATCATTCTCACCTTCATCTGAGAAAAATGTCGCATCACCTTGACCATCAAACAGGTTGCTCATATCTGTGATTTCCATTCCAGGATCGCTCTCGTTGGCTGGTTGATTATTTGTCTTGACTGGCAACTGCAGAGGGGTAGCTACGTCTTTATTCATTGTTGCAGGCGTCGTATTGTGATTCATTTCAACAATGAATAAGCCTGCTTTGATCTGAGCTCGTCCTGCTCCCTTTACATGTAGCCAATCACCTTTATTTATCACAAATTGTTGGACTTGAGTCATCTCCCTGCCTTCACGATTCAAGCGGACTAGTTTGGCCTGATCTATTGGTAATTCAACTAGTCCTAAGCTTTCACGATGCATATCTTCAGACACGGTCATGATTTCAAGCTTGATGTCTGATTGTGTTCTCATTAGAGTGCGTAAGAACTTTTTTGATATAAAGTAAATCAGGGCTGTTCTCCATTTTGGTGTCTGAGTAAAAGAAGTTGTCTGTGTACTGATGCGTGTCTTGGGTGGAATGAGATCGTCTACAGTTGGAGGTAGCTTTATATCAAGTCGAGCTGAGATGTACAGCTCCAAGTTAGTTTTAGTACCAAAGTGTTGTCCTATGGTGTTGTTATTATTTGAAGTGTTTACATTTAGCTATTTTACCCTCGTCAATAGCAACAAGTAAAGCGTAATGATAGTTTTTTGTCACGACAAGAGACATTGTGCTAAAGAGAAAGAAAAAAAAAAAAGAGGGAGAAAAAAGAAAGAATTTTTGATTGTTTACGCGTTTTTACTACTTGATGACGACTGAGGAAATACGCGTCGTGTATTGTGTATATATGTCTTCCATGTGCATGAAAATAAGCGAGTGTTTCACACATGAATTTGTATGACTCAATATCGATCGCTGTTGAAAATATCTTTTTTTTTTTCTTTTTTTTTTGTTCATAATGTCACTATTAAAAAGAGTTAATTATCGTCATTTACAAGCATTAAACAAATGTTGTCGACAAAACATTAAGCCAAAAAGTTTACATACAAAGTCACTTGTATTGTCAAAACAAGAGAAACCACGCACTGTTCATCTCAAGTCTGTTCAGTCAAACTCACCACTTCACTTTTACCAAAACAAAGTACTAGAGGAGTATACGAGTCAACCGGTGAATCCGAGTACACTACGACAGTTTATCTTTTTTGGAAGGCAAATGAATCCAGAACGACTCATCACTTCAGCCAACTGGGTACGAAACGAACTATTGGTACGATTAGCACATCGTATTCGTGACTTTCAGCAATTACCCTTTATAGTTGGAACCAATCCACATATTGAATATGTCTATAGACTCTATTGGGGTGCATTCGAAACCATGCGTCAGTTCCCTCCGATCCGCACAGAAAGTGATAACGATGCATTCTGTGACTTATTAAGAGGTCTACTGGAGGATGGACTTCTGGTGTTGCCAAAGCTTGCGCGCGGTTTATCCGAAAGTGTCGCTTATTATCCACCAGATCAAAATGATCTAGATCTCTTTTTAAATCGTATGCTCCGATCAAGAATATCCCGACGTGTACTGGCTGAACAACATCTGGCACTAACAGAGGCATGTGAGCATCAATGGGACTCCACTCTAGGCTATGGTGATGGTTATGTAGGCATCATTTTTGTTCATTGCTCTGCTCAAGAGATCGTCAAGAGAGCAAAGTCACTTGTATACCAGCATATTCAAAAATATCATTATCAGCAACAAAATCAACCCTTGCATGCTCCAAATATAGAAGTGAGCATTCACCCAAATAGTAGAGACAGTGAAAATGAAATCTTATTTGCCTATGTATGAATATGAGATTCAATAATTGTAAAATCTGTATTAATCTTCTAAAATAGATACCAGAACAGTTAGAGCATATCTTGTATGAATTATTAGACAATGCAGTGAGATTCACAATGAAGAGATATCCAAATGCAAACTATCCACCCATTAAAGTCACTGTGAGTGCAAATGACTCGGACGTTTATTTCAGAATATCAGACCAAGGCGGTGGAATGACAAAGGATCGGTATGATCGTCTCTGGTCTTATCAAGCAAGAGCAAGGACTGGTGACTTTGATGAAATCAAGGAGGTTGAGAAGCTTCCTACGACAGTAGATGGTAGAGCAAATCAAGTGTTACAAATGGGCCATCGTCATCTAGGCATAGGATTGACCATGAGTAGAATATATGCAGAATATTGGGGAGGAGAACTACAGATTATTACTATGAATGGGTATGGCACGGATGTCTACGTGAGGATTCCTAGACTGGGAACAAATATAGAAAACTTGGGCATTGATTATCAAACACACCCTGTATTCCAAGATGATCAGCATCAAAAACTGTTGTTGAAAAAGAAAGATAGCAAGCATGCAGCCAAAGGTAGTCATAAAAAGCAAGGAATCAGACTGCAGTCAAAACCGGACGAGAACTTGGCAGCAACAAAACAAAAAGAACTTTTGGATACCAGCTTGACATCCAAGTCATTTAGTGGAAGTAGTTGGAGTGAAAGTCATATGATACGGTCTTAATATCACTCTCCTCTATCATTCAAATACATATCTCATAAAATTCATATTGAATAATCTTGTATATAAAACTCTTTTTTAAAGAGATGCACGAAATAAGCTTCTTATTTAAGGTTTTATTTATTTAAGCTTGATCGAAATTGTTTCCTTTTTAGTAATTACATCGCCCCTGAGCAAACACGCTTGTTGTGACTGTTAAAATGTAGTTCACCTATAAAATACGCAGTTTTTTCGGTTAATTTTTTTCTTTTTGTTTCCATTCACATTAAATAAAAAAGATGCCTCGTCAGGTACCTTATTTCTATTTATTTTATCGTTTTAAAAGTATGCCAACATTCATATAGACCAGACGTTCTGCTCCCGCTCAACAAACTCGTCAAGCTCACACTATGCCTGTTCGCCAGGCACCCCCTCCTGCCGCTCCTCCTGCAAGCAGACCCGCTCCTGCTGCACCTGCTGCACCTGTTGCTCAACCTCAACACTCCATGACTCCCGCTGCTGCTGCACCACCCAGTATTGCTCAAGCCGCTCCTCAACAACCTGGTTTATTCGCTCAAAGTAAGAGTAAAATGAATGCGTAGTTGAATAAGTCTAACCCCCTCTCTCTTTTTTATTACAGTGGCCACAACTGCTGCTGGTGTTGCTGTAGGTTCTGCTGTTGGTCACACTCTGGTAAGGCGATAATGATTTGCTTTTAAAATAATGCTAACAGTCTATCATAGGCCAATGGTGTTTCTTCACTCTTCAGCGGCAGTGGATCTTCTGAACCCCAGCAAGCTCAACCTGCCCAACCTCAATATCAACCACAACAATATCAAGCTCCTCAAGCCAATGCTTGTGAAGCTGATGCCAAGGCATTTACTAACTGCCTTGAAGCCAATAATAACGATTTCAATGCATGCCAATGGTATCTTGAAAATCTCAAGGCCTGTCAACGCATGGCTGCCAATTATTAAAAAAAAAAATACCTTCTAATTGTATAGAATAAAGATAAAATATACTAGAACACGTATTTATTTCTATTCTAAGGAGTATCTTTTGGGCAAATCATTTCCTTATAATCCTTAATTGTTCCAGAGAACTTCTTGAGGACACCACCTTCACAGATCCAAATTTCGTTACATACAGTGTTTATAAATCTTTCGTCGTGGGAGACAATGATGACACCACCCTTGAATTGTGCGAGGGCAGTTTGTAATGCATCAATGGATTCCATATCCAAGTGATTAGTAGGCTACATGAAAAATTAGTTCTATTTCATTATATATGTATATTCCAATCTTACTTCATCAAGAACCAAAATATGTGGATTTTGCAAACTTAGGCAAGCAAATGCAACACGAGATTTCTGACCACCAGACAAGGTTTTCATGACCTGAAGACTGACCATACCAGTAATACCAAATGAACCCAAGTGGCGACGATACTCTTCTTCTGTCTTACCAGGGAAACGATCTGCCATAAAAGCGACTGCGTTCTTTGTCAAGTCCAATTGATCGATATGGTGCTGAGTGAAATAAGCAATACGTAAACGACCATTGCGATGTACCAAGCCCTGCGTTGGCTTGTTTTCTTCTGTCAACAACTTCAGCATGGTAGATTTACCAGCTCCGTTGGGACCTACGACTGCAATACGAGAATCCATACGTAAATCAATGTTTACATCACGAATGATGGTCTTTTCGGGTGTATATCCAAAAGTAACATCAGACATCTGAAGAATAGGTGGTGATAAGTTATCGGGGTTAGGGAACTGGAATGTCACAATCTTCTCATCCTCAGGTGGTTCCAGCACAGGCAATTTTTCCAGAATCTTGATCTTGGATTGTGCCTGAGGCGCTCTCTTTGCATTGTATCTCCAACGATCGATGAAATCTTGAAGGTGCTTACGGTACTCTTGCTGCGACTCATATTCTCTGAGCTGCGCCTTACGACGTTCCTCCTTTGTTGCATGAAAATTGGTAAAGTTTCCTTTATAGTAATCTAGCTTTTCAGAGTGCATGTACAAGATATCAGTAGCCACTTCATCCAAGAATTCTCTGTCGTGTGAAACAACAAGTAATGTGTTTGGCCACGTCTTCAAATAGCTTTCTAACCAAATAATCGCGGGAATCTATTAAGAAAAGTATTTGGAGTCAGTTGCATGCTTTGATCAAGAAAAAAAAAGAACCTTACATCCAACATGTTATCAGGTTCATCAAGCATTAAAACATCTGGTTTACAGAACAAAGCGCGAGCTAAGGAAATTCTCATTCTCCAGCCACCAGAGAATTCACGAGTAGGCCTCTTTTGTTGACTGGTATCAAAACCAAGACCCGCCAAGATAGCAGATGCTTTGCTCTCTGCTTTATCACTTTCAATATCAGACAATTTTGAAAAGACTTCTTGTAGCTCCGTGTTCAATTGGTTTTTCTCGTTTTCCAATGCTTCTCTATCACTTTCACTCATATCATCATCCTTTTGTTGTGCTTCTATGGCATTGATTCTGCCTGAGATATCGCGTTCCTTTTCAAGCAAATGTTCACGCCAGACATCAGCACGGAGTACCATTTCAATGGCTGGTGTATCATCACCTACGACCTAATTATACAAAAATGAGATTCATATCATCATAAAAAAAATGTCTCTTACTTCTTGTTCAACATAAAGAATGGAGATATGTTGAGGAACGGCAATTTCACGTCGAGCCATAGCTCTCAACAACGTTGATTTACCAATACCGTTCTTACCGACGACACCATAACGTCTACCGAAAGCAAGTGTCAAGTTGGCATCTGTCAAGATACGACGACCAGCAAAAGAAATATCAAAGTTTTCAATCTTAATATCCTTATTCTTTCCTTTCGTTGTTGTGTAATCCAGAATGGGGTTATATAACTTGTATTGTTCCTGCAGGGCTTTTTGTTCGTCCAGCAGACGAGAAGCCTCGTATTCGATTTTCAAGTTGCTCTTTTCTTGACGTTTGGCCATCTTGGCAGCGATCTTGGCTTCTGCTTTACGAAGTTTTTCCTGATTGACTTGCGATTGAACACGACGACCAGAGACATGTTCCAGATCTGCAGAACCTCTTGTCAGATTGACTGTGGCCGATAAACTATTTTGCTGACTCATGTTGACAGAGCGTTCGAGCTTGGATAAACCTTTCTTTGCTCCTGAATTTTTGTTTGCTTGCAATAAAGAGGACAGGTGCTCACAAAGCTCGTCGATTTTGTCTTCTTCTCCTCCTGCATCAATCAGAATTGGCTTGACAAAATCAGCAATGGCATCTTCATCGTCTTCAAAGTCATTCTCTCGAAGGTATCCGTCAATATATTCAATGATAGCTTCGTCCGCTTCAGGAACTGCTTTTCTAATAAGTTGAATAGACATTCCCCCTCTTCTTTATGTTTTCTCTAGTGTTGACTGCGGTAAAGCCGACTGAGATCTATAATATATTTTTTTGCGTCCCCTTTTTTAACCTGAACTAAAAATTTTAGACAATTTGAAAGTCAAATGTTCAATGATACGTTAGCTGTAAAGGATCATCCTGTACTGGAAATAAAGTCACTCAAGAGGTTGATACACTCAAACTATGTATACTAGCTACATTAGCAATTTCTTTTTTCATATCAAAGGGATGCCTATGAGTTAGGACACTCGAAATAGACCTTACCAAGTCGGATATATACATATAGTTGGCCTGATGAAGGTTTATTAAAGTAACCTGAAATAGTATGGAGAATTGGCACTTCCTCGGTACAAAACTTTGCTATTGCATAAATCTTTTGCTTACAGCATATAACAATTTAGTGACAATCACTAATTAAAGACCTTAACAAGAAGTAATAGCAGTTGCATTAACAAAATACCTGACAGTGATAACTTTGTATGTTTACACCTCTTGATGAATTTAAAAAAAAAAAACTATAGCTGTCTGTTTATGGCGTATAGTGAGTTCTTTTAATAAGTTCCTTTGAAATACTAAGCGTACTATGATAGGTGCTCCGATTAGTTTCTTTGTTATCTAGACCACGCCTGCCACCTCAAAAAGATTTGGAGAAATAGCAGTTAAGAGCCACATTCTAGTGGTACAATTGCTTTGGATCTGTATGTAGCAGCCCTTCTGCGAATCTGTAGAACGAACACTTTCAGCTGTTGGTCAATGAAGGTAAGCAAATACACTATTTTTGGGATTATGAAAACTTTACTTTATTCTTTGTGAGATTTATCAATGTAAATAACAGCTTAAAGCAAGAAAAAGTTTTGGTTGATTAGAAAAATCACTGAAGCCGCATGTCACATATACACGTCCCTTAAGCTATATTGTAACATCTTAATACAATAGTTTAATAATAATACATTCTATATCACTTAGTTCCAAAGAAGCAAGTCAGAATTATGCAAATGAACTATTAGCAATGTGGAAATGAAGCAGATGATTTAGGCAGAAAGTATTCCCACAAACCAGATCCTTTATTGTCACAAATAGCGGAAAATCCTTTCCTCCATTTGTCAGCGAGAAAGAAAAAAGAAAATAGGCTTCATATTCAGTGAATATAAGTATATAAATGAATGAATCCACTGTTACTTTTCTCTTATTATTCTCTCTTTCTATATGTTACAACCGTCAAAATGAAGTACAGTCTATTAGAGAACGAAGGCATAGAAACTGCAAAAAGAAGAAGATTTTGGTATATTGTACCATTTGTGATTTATACTACCGTTTCTTTTCAAGCAGAGCTGTTGTTTTTGATCATTAGTATCATATTCTTTTCAGGATTTAAAGACATTATTACAAAGTTTATATGGACAATGGTCTTGTGTACTATCGGAATGGGGTCTGTAATGGGCTCCTTGACATCATTTTTCATCATTGATAAGTATGATGGTAAAGAAGCTATCATCTTTACGACAATATTAAATTTTATCGTATTTGGGTCATGTAATCTACTCTGTATGAAACTGGATCACGTCTTTGACTACTGGGGATCTATAGAACATCCATGGTACTTTAACATAAGATACCCCTTACTTCTTGTACTTGGATATTTCCATGGCAAATTGCTTTTTGGTGAAAGTGGAAAAAAGAAACTAGCAAAAATAGAAAGGAAATTAGAGAGATATGGATTCTTGTAAAATTAAATAAAATTCTGCGGTTGCTACTATCGCTTCATCAAATTAGAATCAGACTATATAAACTTCTCTCCCTATATCTAATTAATGCATTTTAGTTGCAGACACAACAAGTTGACAGAGAAGAACTTGATCACTGGAGATTATATGCTATAAAATGAAATTTATTGTAAAGGTTAATGTCAATAATGGTATAAAAAATGGTCTTTATACTTATTCTTTCCTGATTCTCTCTAGTATGTTTCTATACTAAATAGCTCAAGGAAAGAGAGTGGATGGCGTATTAAGTAACATCTTTAACATTAAAATGATAAAACCATTTAGGTAAATAGTTTTCAAGTGTGTTCTTTTCTTTTCCGTTATCAAAATGCTATCCTTTAAGGGAAAAAAAAATCACCTTTCCACACTATAAACGATAACCAACTACGCGTTACAACGGCACTGCTCTTTACCCATTTGTAGGAATGGGAAGGTTAATATTTGAATAAAGAATGAAACTTCATGCTAAATGATAAGTCTATTGTATACAACAAAAGAGTGATATTTGATCAATAAAGACGATGATAAACATATTGTAATTAAAACCTATTATTATTTTTATTTCTTTTGAACTGACTTTTGTAAAAGTAGGATTCTGCCACCAAGTGTTATGCCTGTCCTGGATGTTGAGATGTTTTTAAAGGCCATCCTGAATTGAAGATACATATCCAAGAGAAGCATTCAATCACTATTTATACTACTGCTGCCAATGATTCTATCACCCTTATGAATCTATCACCTACAAAATCAGTTGTATTGCCTGAATCAAGCGAACAGAGTGAATTTTAAATTTGAATATTAATCATGCTTTAAATATATCTCATGGCTCAAGTAACAGAAATAATATTATGAATAACATTTTGGATTCTATTGATATGAACCCATCAACATTGAAACTGAAAAAAAGAATTATATTGCGTACACGTCGACAGAGCAATTAAAGCACTTATTAAATTGCAAAAATGCAAAAGATGACAGAAGCATAAAGCAAATCAAGCTCTCATTCTCATATAATTTATCAGAGAAGAAACCTGAATGTTGCCATACGCCTAAATCATCTGAAGTATCAGTTCTCAATCAAGCAATTAAATACAGCTCTTATAGTCATGTGCTACAATTTGATAAATTTGTCGAAATTAAAAGCGACTCTCTTGATACATTGAATTCAACATGATGATTCAAGCCATATATGTCCATGGTCTATGCCCAAATACTCGCTGGAAATACAACCTTTTCAGAAAATAAAGTCGCATTTTTGTAGTTTTTATAATACAATTTATACGAAAAAGCAACAAGTCAGCGCAACATCTCTTTCTGGGAATAGTGTATATTGATTGAAAATGGAAAGGCTTTGCTGATAAGCTCTGTCGAAACGTACAGTCGTCTTAGGTCAATAGATGTACACTATGAGGAAAGTAAACTGGGTTCTGTCAGTTCATTTCCCAAGCTTGAAACCAGATACTGTAATCAAGAAAGTGACATTGTCGGTCTTATGAAAACTTTCGTTTTGTTTGAAAGGTTGAGATCATAAACAATGAAATGATATAAATATCTTCTTCTGTAGTAGTCAAAAAAAAAAAATTCAATTGATATTTTTATCTTATTATACAAATAAACAGGCAACCTTTTGTTATAAAAGTTCCTGATCTCTTCTTTTTATTTTTATTTTTTACTTATACTTCACAGTTTGATTAACTTTAAAAAATCTGGTGGTCACATCAAGCATCTAAACCTATAAAATCTCAAGAAAACTCTCTATATTAACAACAACCTTTACAACTCCTAAGGAAAATAACAATACAATGGCATCAGGATTATTGCAGTTAATGAAGACAATTCAAAAAAGCTTATAATTGAAACAGGGATATTTAATGCACTTGTTACTTCAAGTATTGGAATTGACTGTGATAATATTCTCTCAGAAATTGGTCCGTCCACAAAGAGCTTCGATTGCACAGATAATACACCTTTATTTCTATCTAAATATTCAATCACAAAATCAAACGAATTACTTAAGACAAAGTTTCCTCCTGCTGACAGTGGCCCAGCAATGCACATTAGAGAATTAAGAAGCAAATATTTAAGAAATAGCACCTATATTTATGCTCGTTTTTTCAGCAAATTTATCAATAACTTACCAAGTATACCGTCAACTATATACACTTATTGTGATACCAGTTCCAACTTTGACTCTGATGATAGCGTCGGCTCAAAATTAATCAAGCTTGTGATAGAACAATTGTATGATGAGGCTCAATTAATTACCAACAACTTGGCTTTGAAAAAAGAAAACGTTCAACAACTATTTAATACTCAACAAAAAAAATTAGAGAACTGTCGTATTTGACCATATCTAATACTAATCTTTACGTGTGAGATTACATTTTTAATTACGTGTACTTCGACGTATTTTAAAACTACCTAATTTCTTTTTGCTATGAGCTCTTCCTCTTACTTCCAATAAAAGCATAAAATAGAGACTCATCACTTCTTTGCTTCTATTCTATACATTACCGAGTACTAACAACAACAGCTACTTGATACTCAACAAAAAAAATCAAAGCGAACTAAAATGATTATCAACTTAGAAAAAATTATCAGTCTGTTTAATGAAGAAGATTCAATTAATGTAACAATAATCAAGATCTCAACATTTTATTAAAAGAAATTGCCAACAACATCACTATTAATGGCTTAAGTAAAAAAGATCAAATAATTAACAACATTTGGTTAATTTTCAAGAACAACAACTAAACAGGCTTTTAATTTTTTTTTTTCTTTCCACTCATGGACACAATTACTTCAGTACTTATGTCATTACTGCTTGCAAACATTTATTTATATACCAAAACTAGTTATTTCTTCGTCGTCTACAGTGGTGATTATTAATAACTATAAGTTTTACAACAGCCATAAAAGCAAATCAAATGAAGTGCAGCGATATGCTGTAAGACCTTCACCTTTAATTAATTTTCATCTATTTTAAATCATGATTTATTTGGTATGGATTATGAGTGCATGTCCATCTTTTATACGTAACGTTGTATACATATGCACAGTGATAAATCCCTTCCTTTCTCTGTTAATAGAGAAATTTCCTGAGAAACTTGAAGCATGAACCTTCTCATGCCTGAGAAACTTTACCGAAGGCCCACGCTGTTGTCCACAGTGTGAGGGTTTTACTGCTTTCGCAGTCATGAAGAAATATGGTGCCATAAGGGTTTTTTAGGAGAAGCTTTAAAGTTACTAAGATTTTAACAGCCATATCAGATATTGAAAAGTGCATGGAAATATCTACAAAGTTCATAACTATTAGCTTGTAACTTTCGATAATTGCAATGAAGGGCAATGATATAAGAATCTTTCAGGAGAATTATGATGAGACATGTTATAGTTTCTACTTCGCTATGCAAGCATAGGGAATGAAATCCAACATAAATCTATTGCTGTATCAAGCCAATTTTCTTCAATTTCACAGATTCCATCGAAACTCTGTGGCTAAGTTTAAATTGTGACTTGTGATCTTTTTTTCACTATGCTCACTGCGGGTAGGCTGTGCTATTTCGGTAGTCTCTCAATAAGCTTGCTCTTCTTTTTTTTTTCCCTCCAAGATGTACCAAGACACTTTTGAAGAAGACGATTTGATCGCTGAAGTTGAACTTGTTGCTCAAGCTCGCTACTCTCAAAACAATGATGTCGATGACAAGTTTGACACTGAAGGTGTGTGCGTGTGTTTATTTGTTATACATTAAACTCATCTTTTGCCAGTTGTTTCCAACCAAACAACCAACACTCAAATTCCTGACAGTGTTAGAAATTTCATTCTTCAATTCTATCGCAATGTTATGGATAACAATGTTTACGAGCTTCACAATGTGTATGACAGTTCATTCAACAAATTAACCGAGAAATATTTTCAAAAGCAAGCTTGGCCAGAAGCTGAAGTCATTGCATCCCTTGTTAACGACGGTACTTATACAAATAACGAGAACAACAGCGACTAACTATGATTATAGACCAAGTATTCTTGACTTTATACCGCGAACTTTACTATCGTCACATCTATTCTCACTTGACACCTACTTTGGAGCAACGTTTCCAATCTTATGAAAACTACTGCGACCTTTTCAACTATATTTTAAGTAAATATTCATCTATAAAAGAATGCTTTGAAATGTAACTGACACATGTTCATTAGATTCAAATGGTCCCGTTTCTTTGGAATTGCCTAATCAATGGCTTTGGGATATCATTGACGAATTTATTTACCAATTCCAATCATTCTGCAACTTCCGTGATCGCACCAAGAATAAGAGTGAGCAAGAAACAAAGTTATTACAAGAAAATCCACAGATCTGGAGTTGTTATAGCGTTTTGAACGTCCTTTACTCCTTTATTCAAAAATCTCGCATCAACGAACAATTGCTTGTTAGCAAGAATGGTGGAGATATGATGGAAGCCGCTGGTGAATATGGTTCTCGTCCTCTTTACAAGATGCTTGGTTACTTTTCGATTGTCGGTCTTCTTCGCGTCCACTGTTTGTTGGGAGATTACACTCTTGCCTTGAAAATGATGGATAACGTTGTTTTGAACAAGAAGGCTATGTTTGCCCGTGTTACAGCTTGCCATGTGACAACTTATTACTATGTTGGTTTTGCTTACATGATGCTTCGCAGATACGCTGATGCCATCAAGGCCTTTTCAACAGTCTTGTCCTTTATCCAAAAAACCAAACAATATCACTCTCGCTCATACCAATTTGAACAGATTGCAAAGAAGGGCGATCAGATGTACTCACTTTTGGCCATCTGTATCGCTCTTTGCCCAACTCGATTGGATGAAAACATTCATTCTCAATTACGTGAAAAGCATGGAGAACAACTTTACAAGATGCAGAAAGGTGAAGAATCACTTCCTATTTATGTTGATCTCTTCCAATCAGCATGCCCCAAGTTCCTCTCCCCCACAGGAAAGGGCGTCGATCCTCATCAACATCAATTAAAGGTCTTTATGTCTGATATCAAAAATCAAATCAATCTTCCTACGCTCCGCTCCTTCATGAAACTCTACACTACCATGGGCATTGAGAAATTAGCTAAATTCTTAGAAGTTGATCCTGAAGAACTCAAGACTCAATTGTTGGTCTTTAAACAGAAATCTCGTCAATATAAATGGACTAGCGGCAGCCTTTTAGAAGGAGAGTATCTTCCTACCTCTGATTTGGACTTTTGTTTGAAGCAGGATGTTGTTCATATCGCCGAAAGCAAAGTTGCTCGTCGCTATGGTGACTGGTTCCTACGAAATATCAACCGTTGTGAAGATATCTTGGCAAACTTGGAACTTGGTAAAGTCTAAATAGCAACATGTAAAAAGGAGTAATAATAGTAATAAAAAAAAAATCTTTATTGATGTAAAAAGCGTTTATTGATCATCATTCTCATTGCTAATTATTTATTTCTTCAATCTCGACTGTTTCCAACATCATTGGTCTCACATATGTCTCTTCCTCGATTAGTATAACCTTCATACTCTTCTTGAGTTCTTTTTGTTCTTCGTTATCCACTTCAATAGTATCTACCGTGTACTGTGTCCTTTTTTCTCTTTGACCAACTTTAAGGTTTACCTTAGTCAGGCGCTTGAAAGGACTCTTGTATGTTTCAAGAGTTGCATTGCCCAAGCAATTCTTTTTGTCGTCTTTGCGTTTTCGTGTTGCAGCATCAGGGATGGTGTTGCTACTTGACGTATCTGTGGAAGCATTATAGCTAACTACAATTGAGCCATAGTCTTCTTTTTTACTTGTCATTTGACCAATATTGTCTTCTAATACTTGCTCATTTTCTCTATTGAAACTACCCGCCTTTATGTACTTTACTGTCTCTTTTATCACTTCTGATGGCTCAGTTGTTTGATTGACTTGAGTAACTAATCTATGAATCACTTTATACAATCCTCCAAAATGATACAGCTGTCGGGGGTACGCATTAATAAAGCTTAATTAAATAGAGGTACTTCAACACTTACTGGTTGACAGAGCTGCACAAGAAACGCGCTATATGTTACAAACATTCCACTACTAAATCCACCAAGTGATACCTTGTATGCAAATAACAGAGAGCCGGCCAAGGAACCCACCGTTAAGATGGCTGTCTGTACAATTCGAAGTTTGACTGAAGTAGGAGCATTTTCTCTTTCTTGTTCGCTATGGTTGTGAGCATCCACATCGTACTGTTGTTCTGTTAATAGAATAGTGACAGCCATATATACTGCTACTGTAACGAAAAGCAAGATACCAAATATCGGCGCAAAAACAAAAATGCAAAATAAAGAGACTAGTATAACATCCATGAACATCGGAAACGCGCGAAATATTAGCTTGTTGAACAGGTCAATCCTATGCGTTACGTTGTCCGATGACACAGTTGATCGTTGGTTAGAGATATTATTTGGTGAGTTACTAATAAATGAGTGAGCTTTTTCATTCATATAGGAATTCACAGGCGCCCAGAATGAGCTTTGTAAGGATTGGAGTATTCCAAGCTATCAGAAAAGCACATGATTAAGCGGTTAGGATGATTATAAATATTTGGACTACTCACATGTCCTTGAAGGTAAATCAATCCAACGTAGACAACAATAGATAACCATGCAAATTGACCTTTGCAAATAAATAAATAGGTTAGCCTTGATATCGTACAAGGTTGACCAGCGATTACCCTCTTTCATGTCTCCATCTGTAATCAAACCAATTTTATATGGCAACCAGATATTTACTGCCAAACTAGCCACCATCAGCAAAACACTCAAAGCGGCAAAAAGTTGAAGCTTTAGACTGTGATAAGGCCATATATGCAATGCCAATCCAAAGGTTTCTAGAATAGCCCCCTTCTTTTTTAGCGTTTTGACAGCCTTCGTTCTTATTATTTTCGTCCCATCTGCCATAATTTCGATTGTAGTAACTGTAGTGGGTGAGGGTTTTAGTAGTGGTGCAGCTTCGGAATCTGCCACTGAAGTAGCTGGCGTGCATAATAAATTGAAACATAGTAACCACACGATGAAAAACTCTGTTGTGCATTTAATAGTAAAAGCTCCTAATGCAGTCCAGCCATATGCATCTGGTATGACATCTTTGGACAAACATAAACAAAAGGTTAATAAGCATATCATGCTTAATTCACATAAGCACACATGACATAATGTCATGTCTTTTTGTTTGATGTAGTTCTACCTTGCTTATGCTTTAAAAAATCTTTTATCCATAACCATTCAACGACACCATCAATACATGTGGTGTTAACCCAAAAGAAGCATTGGATAATAGAGAGTTTGGAGCATCCTGTATTATTGTTCAACAGCAAGACAAGATTTGCACACCAGGCAAACAAAGAAGCCATGCAATAATAGATAAATGACAATGGCATATTAAATTGACCAAGTACTCCTTTGATAGCAATTATAATACAATCAACCACAAGGCACGAAGCAACAATGACGTTAAGAACAAGGAAAAGACAGGGAAGACAGCGCAGTCGGTTTTGAACAAATTTAGTTTCCACTTTACGCTTGGATAACCATTGAAAAGCGCCTAGTAAAGCAATGATGCATAGTGAAATGGATGGACCGATTATGAGCACATCATGATGTGATTCATCAATTGGAAATTGAGTTGACTTGTTCATTTCAAAACAAGAAGTGAAAGAAAGATACAAAAATAGGAGAAAGGGCAAGTTTATGACTAAAATAGTAACAAGAGGGGGGGGTATAAAAGGATCATCCAAGAAACAGAATCGATCTACAGCTTTAGAGGAAGTATAGGCCAAAGCACGACAGGGGCATCTGTGTCCTTGTTTGTGCAGCTTGATAGGTATTCTGAATTTAATATGTCTTCTTTCATACGCAAATTTTCTGATTGCTGCTTGCTTTTTTGTGTGAGCACTAAGCAAGTTGCTGGGGCTTCAGATCCACCGCTACATATCACAGAAGACTCATCAAATTTCCAATCCTCTTTACCTACTTGATCCGCTTCCTCTTGCTTTAATCTTTCTTCGTCACCTATTAGAAAACAAGCGAGAAGTGTCAATGGTTTAGTTGTTTAAAGATAATTTACACCACACACGTTCTTTTCTGTAAGCTTCTGAAAACCTAAATATCTCAATTGCTTCTTTTGATAATCCATAATCGTCATTGGTTTTATCGACCTCAACCTGTTCCTCTTCTAAATCAGTAGGTTCATTGTTATGATTGTAGTAGTAAGAGTAATCAGATGTTAATTGAGAGGATTGCTCATCACTTTGCTGATGGTAGTATTGTTGCTGATTCCTCAAAAACTGTTTCCAATATTCTTGTTGTTCTGGACCAAAGTGCTTGGCGTGAAAATCTGCAAAACCTAATCTATTCATAAATAGACCTTTTGAAATGCTGATAGCTGAATAAAGTGCAAAATCGCGCTAGGTGCCACCATGCCAACAAATCTGATTGTCACACAGGCAAATTTTGATTTTCTTCAGCATAAAATACTTGCTTAAACACGCTACATGAAATCAAAGTGTGAGTTGTAAAGGGCGACGATATGTCTACAATTGCTTCAAAAAATTCTGCAAATGTATTCTGAGATTCTTACACAGCCTTTGTGGTAAGTGACACGATTATATCATACGGAGAATCAATCAACTGCTTAGCAGTTCCTTGCATCGCTTTAAATGAAGTTTGTTCTTTTTTTTTTTTGTTCCTGACATATTCTTTAATTACAATGTATATGTTTAAAAGAAAACAAAGCAAAGAGGGTGATGTGCCATCCAAGGTTGAGCTTGATAATTCCCTTAGAAAAGACCTCAGTCGCTGCAATAGCACATTATCCCTAAGAGCAGGAATCCTTGCTCATTGTATACTTGTGCTAGTAAGCACTATTGATATACGTGATTTACATTTATGCTGATTAATGATATAGGCCTTCCATTCCGCGAGCTTCTTAATCGATACATGGACTATCAGAGACGGTCAATGTAAATGTCCTTCCATAATTTTTTTTTGTTATTGTTCTTATTCTTATTCTTAGTGACTATTCAGCTATCTATAAAAAGCCCCATATCATATGAGGGCTGCAAGTCAAGCCTGATAAGCATATTCAGGACACCTATACCTATACTGTCAGTCTCATTCAGTATAATCGCATTTATAAGCGATTATAACTATCTTGTTGGCCTTATTGGTTCCTACTTTGTAAGTACGCAGCATCCTATTGACTACATTTCCTTTAACCAGATTTTGATAGGAAAGCATAACGTTTATCAGCATCTACACATGTTGTAGATTTATAAACTTGCTAGAGTTTATTGTGACATCAATTGAGTCTAGTATAGACGCTCCTGAGGTCATGAAAAGAGTCCACATTCATACTGATTTTGATTATGATGAAGAAGCCAAAAAACAGCTTGCTGCTTTCTTTGTTTGTTTGATCACACTTATCCCGGTGATTTTTAGTCTTGTATACAAGGTAAGCATTATGTTGACTTTTAGAATAGCTCTCCCTTATAGAATTACTAGCTTTTCCTAACATACAAAGTTGTGCAATACCAAAGACTTCTCGAAATATGTCAATCTTCGAAAAAAGGCGCTTAAACGCATAAAATTTATGCTTGCAACAATAAATTTGTAAATATCAATCTCATTACGCTGTAATTCTGGATTTAACGACACTGAAATTACCAAACACCATGGCCAGTCTGCCTCCAGAACTGACTTTTCACAAGATTAGCACTGACCACAGATGCTATGAATCGGCTGTGCAGGCTTAATATAAGGTACTATATTAATATTTAAGATGATTTTGGCTTGTGTATGAAATATATGTTGACTATATTAAGACAAAGAGTGTAATCTTCTTTGATAAACTGTGTCTTTCAAATAAATGGGATAAAATCATTATTTTGAGAAAAGTTGGGCAAAAATTGAGAAAGCAAATACAATTTATTTTAGAAGCAAGGGAAAAAAAGGCTCAGTAACCATCTAACTCTGAGTTTGAGACAATGTTGCAGGTTTCCGTATAGCAATTATAAAAAGTCAAATCAGTAAGCAATTTAGCTGGAGTAATATATATTCTTAACTTACCCTCTATAAAAAAGGGTTGGTTTAAAGCAATCTGGAAACCCGCGTCCAAGCTTCAAGCTTCAAGAGCTCTTACAAGGGGCAGTATCAAGAGTTTTCAGTCAGTTATCTAACCTACAGGCTGCAAGCATTCCAGAAACATAAAAGAACCCGCGTCCAAGTTTCAAGCTTCAAGAGCTCTTACAAGGGGCAGTATCAAGAGCTTTCAGTCAGTTATCTAACCTACAGGCTGCAAGTATTTTATCAAGAACGGTCAGTTAGATTCCTTAACCTACAGGCTGCAAGCATCTTCTATGTCGCTTTAAACCAACAAATGTAGAAAAAAGAAGAGATAAAGGCTTTCAAAGCCTCCCTCAACAATTTTGAGTGTCTGCGCTTGAAATGACTCCCAGAAATAACGTAGAAATTTGAAGGGCATACGTTGAACTGTGTACGGATTTGCTATTTGCACTAGTCACATGCAAATGTGATACTATTAGAACAAATACTCCTTATTTGGAATGCTGACCAACTACGCAAAATACATTTGTCTTACTAAAATCTCTTGTTCGTTATTGCAAGCTGCTCACCTCCTTTTGCACGCGTCTTAATAGGTGTAGATCATTTTTTTCATACATGGCACAATTTTATCCTCATTCTGAAATTTATTTTTAATAAAACAGTGAAAACAAAAGTAAGGATTAATAACATTACTTACTAAGACCAAGATTTTACATCAATGTATTACGAGTAATACATATATGCAGCTGTGAAATGAAACATCGAAGGCTAAGGAACGCATATATTAAACTTCTCACCTCCCTAAACGTAATAAAGAGTATCCAATTACAACAGTGGTTGTTAACACGTTCATTAATTGTTTATTTACGTCGTGCAAATAGCAAAACCCCTGTGTGTAATACCCGTAAGAAAATCCGCTAGGAGACACATCGCTTTCAACTTTTATATTTCACCTGAAAGTGCGTTTTGCTCTTGAATCAAAAGAAAGTACTTTTGTTACCATCAATACTAATAGTATTAATGCCAGGCAATTCGAAAAAAAGAAATAGAAGATTGAGTAATGATGCACAATGGTGTCTAAACAATCAAACTACGCTGTCTTTAAAACCATTCGCAGAGCACTTTGGATTGTTAGAACGCCAATACACCAATGCCAGATACAAAAACATTATTACAAAATATATCCCTGGCTCCAATCAGCTTTTAAATGAGTACAGTAGTTGGAATAATTCAGAAGAATGCAAATTATTTTGGACAGCCAGGCAAAGAAAGAAAAATAAATTAAATGCTAAGGCTGCTGTTGTTGATTACTTGGGTGATGTAATCCGTTGTGAAACAAGTCGCTTAACTCAAGCAAATATACCACCCATTCACGTCTATAGTAGCGATATAATTCAAGCTGAAGGAGGAGATGAAGGAGCCTCTGGTTTAGATGTCACTGAAAATAAAAATCATATTACTTCTTTCAATGAGGACGAAAATCTGTCGCGTTTTGAAAAAAGCCAGAATAAAAACATATATAGTTTATTCAGTGATTATAAAGAGAAAGCGATGCAGATGTCAGCCGACAAACTTTTGAAGATAGAAACTCACCTTCATGAGCTGTTATCTCACACAAACATCCTCCTTTTGACTCCACATCAACACAGTGAAACTCTTTTGGAGGTTTTCTCTGAAACAACATTGAATTCTTTGCGTTGAAGCTTGATAAATAAATTTGATAGCCTTTTTGAGGAAATCGACATCGACCAGGAAGTTCAGGTATTAAATCAGATCTCGAGAATCATTGCTGCTGTTGAAAAAAAGGAAATAGATTGAAGCGAAGCGGAGCTGAAATTATTGACACTGGCAAGAGGCAAAGAGTATTGCTTAGCCAGAACAATCAAAGCCATCAATAACCTGTAAGTAAAGTTAATTCACATTAAACATCCATTATATCTAACAGGCTTACTTACAATATATAGCTTGCAGAAAGTCCCAAAAAACGCAATTAAGGATATAGCTTGTATATCGGAAAGTGAACTGTTCACTACATATGTCGATCCTATACTCTCATCTCTTGTATCTGATCCAGAAAGGAATACGTTATTGAGATGGTCGAACAAAAAATCTGAAGAAAATAATTTTCGCCCAGACGCCACTGTCACTAAGTTGAAATAGATGAAATATTATCACAATCTTGGACACGGAGAGATAAAGGTAAATTACTGCAGCAATCATACTTTGGCACTTGATCTATTGAGAATCAGTATCCTTGCCAAGGACACTCTTGATTTCTACAAGCTGTCAAATTCATTTGGATTTCAAGTAAGCGACTTTACAGTTGTCTTTTATCTCATGTCCCTGGAATTCTATGGTATTTACACAATGACAGAAATTGCCCGAATCAAATTACCAAAGTCGATAAATGAATTAGCAGCCTTTCTCAGCCAAAAGAATTTCCGTTCATTACTTTATGTTTGCCAAGTATTCTGGTCCAACTGTAGTATTGCCTCTGATCAGAAAGATGTGACCGAACGCTACCGTCCGATAATTGAAAATCTCTACCGGTTGATTGATGTAAGCAAAAACAGATACCGCGAATGCTCTCTTTACTTTGAAGCATAAAATCTTGGCTATTGTTACTTTCGTATTTCTCCCCTCATCGGTATCAATATTTATTATTTTACCAATTATGAATAAACAGTCTCTAGTCCTCTCTCATATTTTTCTCCCATAACTACATAAAATGGCTTATTTAACTTTGTCTCAAAAAGAAAAGATTGTTACTAGATGCTGCGATGGCATTTTGGCAGCATAAATGGTCATTGAAGAGAACATTCCAGAAAGAACCGTACGTTGAATTTATCAACAGTGGAAAAAGAATGGAACTGTAGAGACGAAGCCAAAGCCTGGAAGGCTTCCTATCTTTAACGATAGGAAAAGAAGAGAGCTGGGAAGAGTAGTGCGTGCAAGCTGCCGTGCTGCTCTTAAAGAAATTAGTCAACTAATTAGCACCAAAGCATCTGTCAACACCATTCGCATAGAGCTGAAAAAAATTGACTATGCTCCTCGTGTGGCTGTCAAGAAGCCTTTCTTGAGCGAAAAACAACAAAAGGTAAGGTATATCTTTGCTAAAAACCATGAACAATGGACAGTAGACGACTGGAGAAAAGTGATCTGGACAGACGAGGCGATGTTGTATTGTACATTGAAAATGGGTCAATAAGCAGTCTCTATGTATCAATAACAAAAGCTCAGTAACACAATCTGACCAATCACAATAACAATTACAATTTTATATAATAAGTGTAACTGTTAATTTTAATACCTTTATTTTTATTCTTCTCAATAAAAGAAACATAAAGAGTCCCATTGTACTTTCTGTCTATCACAAATACTACAACAAATATTACAGTCGAGCTTTGAAATCGGCAAGTTATCCTCACAGCCCAGAGTATGGTGTAAGACACTGGAAAAATACAACAAAGAATGCCTGACGTCAACCTTCAAAAGTGGCAGAACTTCCATCATGATTTAGGGCGCCATAGCTGGTGAAAAGAAGTCGAAACTTGTTTTTATGAAGAAAGGAATGAAGACATGTGCCGACTTCATAAACCAGATCTATGAGCCAGCACTACTAGACTTCTACAAAAGTCTAGATAGTCTTGTGCTCATGGAAGATGCCGCACCCATCCATAAATCGAAAATTGCTGCCGAATGGAGGAAGGCAAAGAGCATAAAGGATATGTCTTGGCCGGCTCAGTCACCGGATTTAAATCCAATTGAAAATTTGTGGAGCATTATGAAGAAGAGTGTTAATGCTGTTTGCCCTTATGCCAAAAGCCAGCAAATTGTAGAAGCTGCTTTGGAAAGTGTTTAGAGGGAGTTTACTCTAGAAACAGTTAATAAATTAATTGATTCTATGCCAAAGAGGGCCAAGGATGTTATAAAAGCTCGTGGTAGACCCACCAAATACTAAAACAATAAAAAATCCAAAAATTGCTTCACAACTCTCATTTTTATTTTCGATAATCTAATGTAAATGACCTTTTTCCATCACCTCCCTTATCCTATAACTGTAACAAAGATACAAAAGGGCCACTTTATGTACTGTTTAGTCTTTAATAGCAACCAAAAAAAAAAAAAAAAAACTGGCTTTTAGATAATGGCAAACACTTTTTCGAGGGCACTGTACTGTAACAGTATAATAAATTAAAGATGGCCAATAAAAATCCTTGCCCATACATTGGCTCGCTTGGCTGTTAAACTCTTAAAATAAGAAATCCTAAAGATTTTTTTCCAAAGACAACGATCAAAGAATGAAACTGAGTGCCTTATCCATCCTCTACAGTTTGCTAGAGTAACTTGGAAGCAGGCTTCTATGATTTAAAGTGTCAATATGTAACTGTCATCGAAAGGTTGACTTTTAACGCCATACTTTATCTTCGACCAAAACTCTTCAATAGGATTAGAAGTGGTGAGTATGGCGGAAGGTAAGCGTATTTATAGCCCCTTTCCTCAATGAACTCTCTCACAACAACAGGCTTATGTATAGAAGCATTATCCATAACTATTTAACAGCCTTTCAGTTCATTCTTATCAAGGACATTCATCATGTTGCCTAAGTAACTCAAAAAACGTTCGGCTCTCATCCCTATTTTTGCTGTTGTACCTACGATCTTCCTATCAGCTTTTCTCTTTTTAATTCCAGTTACGATAACAGGCTTCCTCAGAGAAATATTAATAACATCTTGGCTAGATATAGCACCAAGAATAGTGATTGTATTCCCTTTGTTCTTTGTATCCACAATTTTTGCCGGTTCACCTACTTTTGACCAACCTCCTGTGCAACTAATATGTAGATTATCGATAGTCATTACTTGAACAAAGTTTTACTTCTTACAAGAAAATAAGATTTACGCTCTCACTTTTTTTTATTCCTTAAATGTTTCATGGCTTTTAAAAGTTTGACCTACCTTTTTTATATGCATCCATATTGTCGCTTGTATATATATGTTAATGAAGTTGTTCACCTCTATTTTTATATAGTAAAAAAGACTAAAAGGCAATAAATTTTATGCGTTCTTTGTTTACATCGCACGTCCTTGGGCTTATTTCCTAGTTTTGGTCTCACACACTATTTGTGTTACTCTGCAGAACCCTTTTTTCTCTTTGATTTTTTGCAAGACTAGATAAATACTATTTTGTAGTGGTTGTTATATGAAGTAATAATCTTGTATAAAGAAATGAAGCAAGTTATGCATAATCAAAAGAATGTCACCATCAAAAATGGTAATAGCAAATGATAGACGCGTTCCGAAACCCTGTAAACCTGTGAAAAAACAATAAGTTTATTTTGAACAAGTCTAGACGCAGGCATCAGGGAAAGATCAGAGTATACGCTGTGTGTCTTCAAATAAGTCATAATAAATAAAGCAATGATTCCTATATGCTCTACATATTGCAATACATATTGTTATCTGCGGTTCACTCATCCTCGTACCTATCATCATGACGCCTCTAGATCTATTAATAAGCATCCTGTTTATATACAGTTCATCGCATGAGCCCCACAAGGGATATAGTAGTCTTTGACCTTTCGGAAGTTCGCAACACCTAGATGATTACAATAACGGTATCTTGTTCATCCTCCTTTTCCTGGTATTCACATTGTTCTGTGAATGCGATGTGTTACTCTGCAAGTACTAGCAGTGTTAGATTGCTAAAAGTGATGAAATGATTGATTCTGTTTATTTCCAGGAATTCATGCTCACTAAACACAAGCATAGTTGTATATGGTTTCTCTTGTTGAGATGTAATTTTATCTTTATGATTTCCTTACGACTGAAGATGTAGCTGAAGTGTTTGATATGAATCATTATAATAACTTGAGCATACACTCTCCTTTACATTTCTCTATCGCATCTGAAAAGAATAAATAATAAGATTACCGACAACAATGATAAATAATCATATTGACGATATTAATGTAAACAGCAACCATAGGTTCTGAAATAGTGTGTCCAAAGTGATCCTCCTTCTTTTTGGACCATTTTTACCAAAAATGGCTATTCAATCTCAGCAACAAGCTACTGAGAGCTTGCTGATTTTCTCTACTGCTTTGTCCTGCTATATTGTTCAGCCCAATAGCCTAAAATAAGATAACCATAATGTTGTATCAGAAGAGTAAGCCAGCATCCTTTTGTTCGTAATTCAGGAACACTAAACATGATAAAGTTATTTGTTCGAAAGAATATTCTTTAGCTCTAATGAAAAGTATACGTGATACACTCCTGTTGCTACAGTAAAACGTTTCACTGGATCATTTGAGGGACCAACGTTTCTACAGAAACTACTTATAAAAGCCAACAGATCGGACTGTTCGTACTTCCAAGCATAACAAATTAATAAGCTGATCGACGCACTTGAGGTACCACAACTTAATAACTTGAGTTACGATTCAATCAGTTGCTATGAATTTATTTGACAATCTTCTGTATGAGTGTATTACTCTTGTTGTACTGTATCAAGTCTGATGAAAAGATTTGGCAGTGGTCCTACTTTATGAGCCGTGTTTAAACATGATCGGCCATAACGTGTTTAAATTTCCTATACCCATTTGGACAATCCGAAAGAAGAATCAAGGTAAGGAAGTTTTTTCACAAAAGAAACGAAGATCAAGCAACATGCTATTGTAAAGTCGGACAATAGACATACACATACACGCCAAAGCATGAAAACCGAAACACAGAAGGAACCCAATGTTGTGTAACATGAACTTAATGATCTTTTTCTAATAAAACGGGTAAATGGACATTTTCTTTTTTTTCCTTGTTTTTGATACACACACACTTTCACACACATATACAACACGCACAGCACATACAATTCGTATAAATAAAGGAGAATCAATTATTAATAGTCTATACAATTCATAGACATGGCTTTTAATGCATCATCATTTGATGTCAATAGGATTCTCAAGTCTCAGCAGTTAATAGAGGATGGCATTCAGCTTGAATCATCCTTACTTCAAATCTGCATCAACGTCATATTTTCATTCACTGTATTATTAATCTTTTGTATAATAAGACCGAAATATCCCGTCATTTATGAATCAAAACGAACTTTATGTAAATCAGAGTAAGCATTGATATTATTTTATTATTTGCTACTAACATCTTCTTTTGTAGAACACAAAGACCTGATGCTTTAGGAAAAGGCTGGTTTAGCTGGATAAAACCTACCTTCAATATCAAAGATGATACCCTAATACAATATTCTCGGCTTGATGCATTCACCTTTATTTATTTTGTGCGGATGTTAAAAAGATTGATTATTATCATGACAATTGGCTCCATGGCAATCTTGCTTCCTGTAAACATTGTTACTGCTTTAAATACCGGGTAAATAACAGCTTTTTATATAAAAAACTTTTATTGATATTTGCCACTTGTTGCACAAAATAGAGATTGGCCACCAGCCTCAATCCTAGGCTTTATTACTACCCCTTCTTTTTATACCTCAGATCAAAGTGATAAAAGTAAAATATGGTACTGGTGTCCGACCATAGCCATCTGGTTGTACTCTATTCTAATCGTCGGACATATGATCATGGCTTCCAAGAGTTTCTTACGTCTGCGAAAGAAATATCATACGATGTTGACAAAAGACAGTCATCGTATAGAGGATGCTGTCTCTAGGACTTTACTTTTATATGTCAACGAACAATCCAAGACGACAATAGAACGAGACAAGATTAAATACCTTGTCCATCAATTCTCAAACATACCTTCTCAGCGTATTGCAACTGGAAGCTACAATCAACACTTGGCTTACCTTGTACAAAAATATACGAGTATAGTAAACAAGCTTGAGAAATCACTAATAGCTTACTTAAGTAAGGCCAAGAAAAATCAAAACGATGATGGATCAGCAGGTTGGTGTGAGCCCATAAAAACAAAAAGATATAAGAGTCACTAAGGCATGAACATAGAAGAACTGGATACCTTTAAACGACCAATCATAAAACTTGGATGGTGGCATCAGATCAAAGTAGACGCAATTGATTACTACACAGATCAAGCACTTACGCTCAGTCAGTCTATCAAACGTAATCGTAATCAATTGCAAAATGCTGATCATTTATTTGCCATTTACGCCGACAAATACAGTGCACATCAGGCTTATGTGTCCTTACTTGATAAAGCAATAGAACAGCACGCACTCGTTCAAAAGGTAGCTCTAGCACCTCATCCAAAGGACATCATTTGGAAAAATATGACGCTAGACCGCGACACAAGAAAGTTGAAGCGATTATTTGGCCATGGTCTCTTCTTGTCCTCCGTCTTCCTTGCCAGTTTTCCAATTGCCATCGTCGCGTCTCTTTCCAACTTGATCAACATTCTGCGCTTCTTTCATAAAACGAGAAGAACTATTGCGAGCAATCGTGTGATTCTTGGCATTATCCAGTCTTATTTCACGCCCTGGTTCATGTTCTTTCTATTCTTAATAAGCATCAGCTTGCTTCGCTACATCACACAACAACAAGGCTACCGTACAAAGAGCATGCTCGAACAAAGGACATTGATCAGAGTATTCGCGTTCTTTGTGATCGACTACTTGTTCATATTCACTGTATTTGGCGTGCTCATCGGTATTCTCGGACAAATGACGATCATGGCACGTTTACTGCATCGAGAAAGAACTACAATGTTATCTCGCTATGTCTTCCAGATGGGTAAAAACATCATTGGCATTTGCATTCACTGGATCAACTATATCTGCATTAACTGTGTCGGCCTCGCCTTTCAGTTACTTCGACCGCTTGCTCTCATCAAGGAGAAGCAGGGTGTGCCTGATTTTGACTTTACCAAAAATTACGCCATGATTCTCTCTATCTTTGTCGCAACACTCTTCTCATCTGCCATTGTGCCCATCATTCTTCCATTTGCATTGTTCTATTTTGGATTCGCTACCATGGTCTTCAAGTATGAACTAATGTATGTCTATACTGTCAAAGTGGACACCTACGGTAAAACATGGCCTGTGCTTTACTGCATCATCATTTGCTCGGTCATTGCGTTTCAACTGATGATGATTCTTGTCCTAAGCTTGAAAGGTGCCCTCTTTCAAGTCTACTCATTGATACCTTTACCTCTTCTCACTTGCTTTCCCCTTGTGCTCCATGGAAAGTATCTCTATCGAAAAATTCACCCATTACAATTAGAGTTGAATAACGATGACAACGACTCAACTGAACCAAAGGAATCAAACAATGCTACACCAGACGATGACCGTAGTGCTCGCTGGATCGAGAAAATCTACAGAGACCCAGTGATCCGACGTCCTTTGATCAAACCGTGTATTCCAGAAGAATACAGACTGTTGATACCACAAGTCTACAAGCATCACCGACAACACCAGCTGATATTAAAAGAACTATTTCAAATGAAAAGTCGTAAAAAGCCATCACGTACTAACACTGTTAATACTATCAGAAAGAGCAAAGAAGAAGAAAGAGAGCGTGTTTATTATGTCGATCCAATCGATTCATACTATGATGGACCGAGCAGCAGTACTAACAGTACAGAACCTAGTGCTCCTGACTTGGAAATGATACTAGCAGAATCACCATTACCTGCTTATGTATCGTCTAAAGAGCAAACCTTGTAATTATAAATATATATAAACTTGTCTGTGCTGGTATAATACCTTTTACATATATATACGCCATGTATACAGTGAGGCCAGTCAATACCTGGCGGTTTGTAGAAAATATTTGTCTGAATCAAGAAAACAGTTGGCCAAAATAAATATTATCTTGTCTTTTTATGACAGCTCAGATTGTCGCAATCAAATATTATAACCACATTGTTGTTGGAGTGGAAGGAGAAGATGAAATGATAAAGATCATGCTTTATTTTCAGATTAGTAACGTTGGCGAAACGAAGACAAAGGATGTGGTTTTAGCCCCCAGGCCACGCTTTATTTTCAATATTATATAAATATTAAATAAACCTTCTTTTGTATTCCCTTTATATCTTGAAAGTCGCGCTCAGCTTTTTGTGATTATAATCCATGTGGAACAGGAATTCCTTTTTTTACTTTTGGTTCGTAAGTCAATTGACAAATCCTGGATGGATAACTACATTCTTTGTCTTCGTTTCATCACCATTACTATTATTTCTATTGACTTCCGTTTACGCCTCTTTTCAACTTGACTATAATTGCTGGCTAATATATACATTTTTTTCAAAATTTCCAAGTACCGTATAAATCTTCTTTTTATAATTGTAATTCAATTTACTCTTGTTCTTTCCCAGTGAACCGTATTCCATTGAACGTGAGCAGGTGTGAAGGAGGTCCGAATGCACAAACAATTTCTTCATATAAGGATTTGGTCGTAGTTTCTTCATTAGCCTTACAAGCCGTTTTGACAATTGATCAGTTTGTGTAGTACTCGACCGCCATAATAACGTACGAGTTCCCTTCCTTGCTTCGGGGAAAATGGCCTACGTAATCAACACCAAATCACTCAAATAATGAATGCACTGGGATATTACCCAAGGATGGGGCCTTTTTAGGAACATATACAAATACCTGGCATTCTCTACATAATGCAACCTATTCCTTTACACCTTTATATGCCTGTAGCCACCAATAGTTGGCCCATGTCGCATCTTGACCAAAATCGTCATGACCGACATGCACCTCTTTTAGGACTTCATCTTATTCGGATAACTTAGATATTTTCACTAATCTATCATCTACTGTTGTATTCAGCTTATTATTATTTGAAATGGTCAACTAAGTCGTTGATAAGGCTGAAGCACTAAAAGGAGAAAGAAAAGAATAAGGCGTCAAATAATGAGCAAAAAAAAAAGTTAGATCCTTCTTATGGTGGAGACGATCACTCTCACTCCTCCAGCAAGTTGTGTCATATGAATAAATCAAAAACGAAGTTTCCAAAGCCCAAGGATACTGTCAAGAAAACTTTTGTAAACAAGACATCTTTGGCTAATACTTGCAAATATCCCAAGTTCGTTACCTTGATTCAAGAAATAGTTGGCCACATTACTCAACTGGTATACGCTGGATTCATTTTTGCTAATTACTATTGCTTGAAACTTCTCAAAAATGGTGAAAAACTACTTATTGTCACTCAAAGTCTGCTCTACAACATATTTTTCATCTTTGCTGGTCAAGGAAAGCATGCCTCTGACAGTATCAAGAAGAGCTTCAAGATCTTTTGTGAATCTACTTTCCTTACTCAATCTGGATCAAAGCGAAGAGTACACTTTGTCCTCAAGTACGAATCTTGTGGTACGGTGTGGGATCGCGATGTGAACAGTGCATTAAAATATATGGTATCTTTGTTTACAAATCAAAACACGACAATGAAAGTCCTCCTCCCCTTCTTCAAAAGACTTTCAAAAGACCAACGGTGATCCCTGGATTTAGTGCGCTGCCTATAAACAACAGTACATTTCTTAATACTTTGACAAATATAAATGATAATATGTTAATTTTTATTCATTAGTCTTCTAGTTATTTGAAATATATGAAATAAACGAAGAACAATAAATTCTATCTTTAGTTCATCTCTAAGTTAAGCACTATGTATATATATACGCTGAGCAGGGTGAGCAAGTTAAAGATATATAAAACCTTTCATACAACAATTTGGGCTGGGTGACCAATTTCACTTTAAAACTCTAAACCCTTCTTTTAATATAAATATTTTTTTTTTTTTCTTTTTTTTCTTTAATGGGATACGCTACACTAGATTCTATACTTGCTTTTCCAAACAATATTTTACCTAGCAATTCGCATGTGTTGGTATTAGACACTTTGAGATCAGAAGGCAACTTTTTGATTCATCATTTTGTCATCAATCACCTAAAAGCCAACAAACCTGTCATCCTTGTTGGCCTTTCACAAATCTTTAACCATTACTTTTTGATTGCTCGTAAATTGGTAAATTACTCAACATTTAAACAAACGAGAATAACCGCCTGTACTTTAGGGAGTCAATTTACAAACCTATAAACAATCTGGGAAATTTATGTTTATAGACGGTCTAACACACCTAAATGACTATACAAACGGCACACCTTATCCACCCAGTAGAGCACCTACAGCACCAAATGGCACATTAGAGCACAATGACGACAATCTTAGACTGTTCTATTCTACCATCAAGAGCTTTGTCATCCAGGACGCGTTATTGATCATTGACGATCTGAGCGTTTTATTGTATAATGGATTCAAGGGCGTACCCCATTTCGTAACAAAGCTTCAGTCTCTCATGAACACTGTCGGGGGCACCTTGATAACCGTAGTACATGCAGATGAAGAAGGCAGCGATGATGTAGAACAGGACAACTTTATAAAGAGCGTGATCTATAATAGCCACTTGATCCTTCAAGTACAACCTCTTCATAGTGGTCTGGCGAGAGATGTCCATGGTCAATTGGATATTGTTCATGGTGGAAAGGATACGCTCAATGTTCAACCACAGTCATTACATTACAAGATACTAGATAACAATGTCCATTTCTTTGCAAAAGGTCTTGAACAAAATGTATTATAAATGTGTATACAATATATATAAAATATTTTCTTTTCCTTTTATTTATGCCTTGACTGTATTGTTACTGTTGCTATGACTTAGCCTGGTCTGTAAGAAACCGATCAGTTGACAAGCTCGATTGAGCAATGCAGGAAGTGATACATCTTGTTTAAAGACAATGTTTCGTCTTACTAACATTGTATCCAAAAATAGTATAGCAGGGTCTGCATAGACGCTTCTTACTTGCCGTAGCAGACGATGCATTCGAACAAGGTGGATTTGACAGAATGAGACGATGTCCATGTCATCAGGATATGATTTTTGAAATATTAAACATAGGTGGCAAATGTACGCAATACCAAACAGTGGATTATGATGACATCCCATGGTATCTAATGATGCAAGTGTTTCTAATATCAGGGTATATGTATTGACTGTCTGTAAACAGCCAATCAAGCAAGAGAGTTCTAGTTCTGGTCGGCTTTCAGTCGGTGACACTGCATGATAACGATGATGAAGTAAGCCTGTTGTTGTATATAATGTGTGGGTTGGTTCAACAATCGATATTTGCCTAATCCTTTGGTGTATACTGTTCAAATCTGCAAGTCTCATGCTTTCTTCGTCTGCTATAAAGGCTTCAAAGAGTCGCTTGGGCAAAAATGGCAATCGAGCAGATAGCTGTGTATGGCAGTATAACTCGTTTAATAGGAGTGACTCGATATCTCGTCGAGTCCATACCTGCGTCAGGAAGGTCTGTGGGTTCAGGTTGATGTTAAATGCGCTAGGTGTATTGAAGTAAGTCTGGAAGAGTTGTTCGTCTAATCCAGAGAAAAGTGCCTCTTGAGGATATTGCAGCGCTAGCATGTAGGCTGTTCTAAATAACTCCATCTTACGTAGCATGACAATACGACAGTATTGGGAAAAATACTCTGTCCTCCTTGGGTTCTGTTCGTTGGGTAAGGGTTGAGGAAAGTCAACATGCCAGTCGGATACATCAATAAGACCTGTCTGTCCTGTTGTGTTCCAATCAGCATAATAGTCCGCACATAGTAGCATCCAGGCTAGACGTCTTAGCCTTTCCTTTTGATCGGATTCTTTGTCATGACGTGTGTCTAATTTATGCAGGTCCATTGTAAGCGCCATCCTTATGGCTGTCTTCAATAACGGTGTTTGAACTGTTGATGGTGCAAAGAGACAGATGCGGCCCTGAGCATAGACAGAGAGGATAAACATGGAGATGACGACAGATATGTGATGTACATCAAACAAATCTTCTAAAAGTAGTCGCGCTTGTGCATAATAAGAATGCATCAAAATATTCGCAGCGGTTGGATCAACACGGTGATGCAAGGATGTATGTCGTACTATCAGGCTGCATATACTTAAAACAAGTAATGACTCAACTGGATGCTCGTTTGCGGCGCTCGGTACTGATAATATCATGTCAGTGTTAGCCAAAAGACTTGGTGCATCCAAAAAGAACGAGTATCCACAGTTTATGAAGCAGTGCACACATTGTCGCATGAACTGAACAGAGTTGTATTGCTGAGCCAGGGCTTGATCCAATCGTGGTACGGCGACGATCATCGACAGCTGGAAAAGAGGGTGCATCAGTCTGTGAAATAGGTGCATATCATATTGGTCCGAATGAATCCTTTTTGAACGTTTGTCTTTAACCTTGGGCGGGCGCGGTCTTACATTGATTCGAATCAGTTCCAACACTTCTTCCAGCCCTGATACTGTCAAAATACTCGTATCCAATGTCATGGTTGTAGGTGTCAGCTTCAGTTGCCATGTAACCGAGCTATTTTTTCCGCTCTCGTCACTTTCAGGACTTCTTTCGGCCTGATCTATAATATGATCGCCATTGTGATGTATTGAAGTGTCCACATGGCTTAATATTTGTAAAGCTTCTTTTAAGAATTGGTCAATCAGCACTGAATTACTGGTGTTACTGTCACTTTTGGAAAAAGATAAAGGTGTATAATGAGCTTGAGCTAACATGAACTGATCTGGTAATGGCAGAATAATATGCAAACGCACACACACACGAACAAAGAAAGAGGATGTTTGTAGAGCTTAAAAATATTGTGAGTGAGACGGTTTTTTAGTTTTGACGATCTGAAGTTAAAAAAAAGCCTGTAAGATTGTAAAGAAAGTTGTTTGGATATGATACGCTTTTTTCTTGTCAACGTTTTTTTAACTTTGCTCATAAGCTACCAGCAATGACAACGCTTGTCATAGAAACAAAAGCCATCTCTCACATAAAAGCTTAAAAGAAAGCGACACAAACGCTGACGAATTCATACTCCCATCAGAGTATCAATGAAAAGATAGGTGCCGTGTGTTTTATGCAGATAATGCACTATTGCACCGAGATTTTTGAAAAGCATCAGTGTCTCCCTAATTTGTCTTGCTATTGGTACCGAAATATTGAGCCAAAGTCTTATTGACCAATCTTTACAGTATTAAAAACTTCTTTTTGTCAGAAAGATACTATGTAATTCTTGGGCAACACAGTGTTTATTGTTATCAAAAGACAATATCATCAATCAAAAAAAGTTCTGTTTTCATATAAAACGACGCTGTTTATAATAATGAGCCCTCCCTCGTCTTATTATACAATAAAGAGGTTATGCGGAGACTCATCGACGTACATCTCCCCTATTCTTTATTTATTCGAGACATATCACAATAAGACTAGAAGTTGATGTTAAGGAACAATGGCTATTACATGGTTGGGGCCAAAGTTAGTGCGCTCTATAGTGGTTTGAGTAACCTGTATGTTTAATAAATCTTTCGAGTTTTATCACTTATGGGCTATGAATGAACCATATTACTGCTTTAACATCCAAGTTAAATACAATATTCTACAGTGGGGAAGAGCTGTCTTTTTATTTTATTTGATTACAATACAACTTATAATCTTCCTTGGGCAGCACTGGGGCCACACGAGAATATACGGTTAAACAGTTTTATTTACAATTAAAGCCTCAAGTGGGCACACGATAATGATAATATATCTTCTTCGCCCGAGGCAGGTCAAAAGAGAATAAAAAATTGGTAACTAAAAAAATCCTTATGGGATCAAGGGTAAAAAAGTTATGGAAGAAATGATGTTGCACCAAGTGTAAGATACACTAGTGAGAAGAAGGAAGAAGCCAATCAAGGAGCTTTTGCCCGAGGTGTGGGGGCGGAGAAGGCGGACGTTTTTGATGATGAAGATAGTCAAGTTCAAAAAGAAGAGTGCAGATAGCTGACCAACGAATGGTCCATGAGAAAGCGGTTTGAAAAGAACGTGGTTTCTTCATAGGTAGCATGTTCAAAAGGAAAGGATAGTGGATCAGAAATTGTTTCGGGTATCATAAGTCGACGGTGTATCTGGAGACAATGAATGTCATGGGCTTTGGTAAAGGATTGGTTAGGGTGCTGAAGACAGGTTTTGTCGTGACCACTGGGAAGCCAACCAAGGCGCCAACGTATACAGCGACTTCTCTCAGACCTGTTCATTGGTAGCCAAAGGATAGGATCTAGGGATATAGTCGGGCAACGGTGTATAAGAAGAACAGAGGCGTGCGTAGAGCGCTTGTGATTGAGGTTATCTTGGCGGAACTTCCTTTGCATCAAGCGTAAAGAGCGGCGATCAAGGGATTCTGGGTTTGGTGCGCATAGATCCAAATGGAGGATCCAGAGAGTTTATACCATTTGGAGTGACTTTTAGATTGGCGTAAGATCCCTATACACTATTTCCAGAAAGTAATGTCGTTCCAAGTTGCCGTGTTTTGTATATTTTGTATTATAAATTTTCGAATTATGTGACATTACTTGTAGAGAAAATTGTACAACAATTGCATGAAGACGGCGTTTAAATTTTGGTACTAACAACCATATCCCTCGTTTTTTCCCTTCTTTTTTTTTTCTTGTTTCAAACGAAATGATGTTGAAACATTGCTTAACTTTTCCTAAGCCTGTTCTTAAAAGTGTAATGTACTTTTATCTTTGATTTGATGTAACTTGTTGATATTAACTATTTTGGCTTTCTTTATACATTAGAGCTTGATAAGAGGTTTTGCTACTGCTACAGTAAGGCATGATGTTGGTATTCTAAAGACATCACTAATTCTTTGAATAGGTATCGCATAAGGTGACGTTAATCCCTGGTGATGGTGTTGGAGAAGAACTCTCTGAGTCTGTCAAGTCTGTCTTCACAGCTGCCAATGTACCAGTTGAATGGGAACAATTTAACCTCTCTGGTCATACTCCAGACTATGATGGCTTATTGCAAGAAGCACTGGCTTCCCTGCGCCGTAACAAGGTTGGCTTGAAAGGGATTTTATATACACCCATTTCAAAGCTCGGTCATGCCTCTATCAATGTCTCCTTGAGAAAGGATTTGGATATCTATGCCTCCATCTCACTTGTTAAGAACATGCCTGGTGTTAAATCGCGATTTAGTAATGTTGATCTTGCCATCATTCGTGAAAATACAGAAGGTGAATACTCTGGATTGGAGCATCAGTCTCATCCAGGCGTGGTTGAGTCCTTGAAGATCGTGACTCGCCGCAAAACAGAACGTATCGCTCGCTTTGCCTTTGATTTTGCTTTAAAAAACAACCGCAAGAAGGTAACTGTTGTACACAAAGCAAATATCATGTAAGTTCTCTTTGTACATAACACGCCCAGCGTTTGTGTTCTGATAATAAATAGGAAATTGGGTGATGGATTATTCTTGAAGACGGTCAAAGATATTTGGGAAAAGGAATATGCCGAAACGGGTATTGCTTTAAATGATATGATTGTAGACAATGCATCTATGCAGCTCGTCTCTCGTCCACAGCAATTTGATGTTGTTGTTTTGCCTAATCTTTATGGAAATATCTTGTCTAATGTAGGTGCTGGTTTGGTTGGTGGACCCGGTCTTATTCCTGGTACAAGTATTGGAAGAGAATATGCTGTTTTTGAACCTGTAAGTTTACAAACAAACAAAACGAGAGAAGCGAACTAAAAAAAAGATAATGATAGGGCTGTCGCCATGTCGGACAAGATATTGGAGGAAGTAATGTTGCAAATCCTACTGCCATGATTCTCAGTTCAGTGATGATGCTCAGACACTTGGGTTTACTTGAACAAGCCAATCGTATCTCCAATGCAGTTTACAATACTATTCAACAAGGCAAAGTGTTGACGCGTGATATGGGTGGTAATGCTAGCACAAGTCAATTTACAGATGCTGTCATTTCATCCTTGTAAAAAATATATATTATTTTTTATTATCATCTGGTTTCGAATCTGGTGTAATACGCTTTTCGAGAACTTTGTCAATCAAACCGAAATTGACGGCTTCTTCAGCTGTCATGAAATAGTCGCGCTCCATCATTTTCTCTAAAGAGGGATTCACTTGTTAGCAACAAATGCAGCTTTATTTTATTCTTTTTCTTATTACCTATCGTCTCAAGTTCACGAATACCAGTGTGTTTTTGGTATATTCTGTTTAACCTTTCTCTTACTCGGAGTATTTCACGTGCATGAATAGCAATATCCGAAGCTTGACCAGCAGCTCCACCTGAGGGTTGATGAATCATGATGGAAGCATTAGGTAGAGCAAAACGTTTACCAGCCTCACCTAAAAACATGGACTATTATTATAAACCGTATCTTTTTACTAATATATAGTGTGTGTACCTGCGGTGAGTAAAAGTGATCCCATTGAGCATGCTTGACCATTACATAATGTAGAGACAGGAGATTGAATATACTATTTACTATATCCATCAATTCTAGTTCAACCTCTTTCAAGGGAAGTTCTATATTCACTTGCCTGCATCTATACACATCAAATGTTATGGTTTTGAAATATTATGTAATCATTCAACTTACTGTATCATAAATAGCCATACCCGCAGTAACACTTCCACCTGGTGAATTGATATACAAACTGATCTGCTTTTCAGGGTTCTCTGCCTCCAAAAACAAGAGTTGAGCAACAATGACAGAAGCTACATTATCAGTAACCTATGCATGTATATAAGCGACAGGGGAAAAAAAAGATTATGTTGACATTTACAGGTCCATTTAAGCAAATGATGCGTTCTTTTAATAATCTCGAAAAGATGTCAAACGATCGTTCACCTCGTCCCTATAGTATATCATGAATCTATTCTCTTTCGTTATTGTTAATAATAGAATTACTGTTTGTTCAATGACCATAGGAATGAGTGCTTGTGCTGAAGGTGATTCTGACCAAGAGCCAATGATGTTATGAAAGGACTAACAAAATGAATATTGCTGTCTATACACTCTTTATAAATATATAAATATTACTCTTCTTGTGACAAATGGGCTCTTCTTGATCAAGTGTGTCAGCATGTTTTCTTTATTTGTAAATGAATAAATGAAAAGATAAAACTGTACCAAAAATTAGCGTATTTTTTTATTTGTTGTATCTGAATCAAGAGGGACTTTTTGGGTCCCTCTCATCTTTCTTAATAGCCTAACATTTAAAGGGGAGCCGTGCAATTTAAAGTAAATAAAGCTACTTTAGAGTATCAACATCTTTTAAGCAGCTTCCAAGAAAAACAAATCGACAATGTTGTCGATTTCAGTTTCATGTCTTAGGATCAATACTTTTAAAAACCAAACGACTACACTTCATAGAGGAAGTGTTAATAAATAAAACGCAATGCTCAGTTTTTTAATAACTTTGTTATAAGTTATTACGGTTTCTATTTAGCGGAGCAGACTTCAATTGAGACAGTCATATACGCCATACCATTGGATATAATGCACAAATTTATCACTTTTCTTCGTTGTTAACAGTTGAGTTAATATGGCATTTTTCAAGAAAAATGTTATTAGAAGGCTTTTGTTGAGGTATATACTATTAACGATTGGGTTGTTAAAAAGTTTTCAGACAAAAGTGGTGATTTTGACAGTTACATGAACCAAGTAAAGTTTGCTTCTAAGAAGTAAAAAACAATTGTCAATAAACGTCCTGCTGCTCCAACAAATAATGAATAAGTAAGACAGTAGTGCAATATCCGTTGAAGATACATTGAAGCCTATGCTGAAGAACAAAATGGCAGAGATATCATTGCTAAATTCTCAAAGATAGTAAAAAGAAGAAGCAAATTATTATTTACATTGGCAACATTGTCATAAAAAACACTTTACCAGGACAGTCCCAAACACGGACACCACTAGGTTTTAAGACATTATCAATCATAAAAAAAAAGGATATATTGCATTCTATAGTGTAATCGATGAAGAGTAAAAGTATATATCCTCTTTGACTATATCAGGTGTCTCGAATAAAGATTATACACTATGACAAAATAATGTTCCGCAGGATATACCGAAGACTCTGTAATAATCTCTTAAGAATATCTAATAATATAATCAAGTCTTGTTTAGGAGTCTGCAATAATATTAATCAACATAAAATTGTAAACTGTCCAGTGCAATTTTTCTAATCGTCTCAGTTTAGGCTAAAACCCGGTATATAAGGCAACCAACCGCTTCCAATTCGCCACACTCGTTTTTGCACGTTATCGCGCTGCCGCAGGCTTAAGGGCTTCGCCCTTTGTGATGAGTAAAAAGAAATGCTAATACGACGCTTTATTTAAGCGAATGGCTAAACTTGAATCCTTGTGCGCCTAACAACATACTCTGACTCCTCTCTGCATATTTATTCGCGTTTATTGATGCAATAATGCTATATATATATATATTTTCGTAGTTTATTCATAACAGAAAGTATGTAATTTAATAGTGTTATTCGTAAAGGTTTATGTGTTGAAAAAAAGACACATGAACTTTGAATCGGTGATTTTTGTGAAAAAATTATGTTTTGTTTCTTTATTCCTTTGGCTTAAATCTTTCGGTTGAAAGATAATGATGGTAAGAGACTAATTTGGACTACAATTGTGGAGCTGCAGTGAGGTTAGTAGTCAGTGAAGGCCTTGCTTTTGTAAGACTGGAGATGAACGTCTATGTTACTGGTGTATGCATCGTTGTTGAACGGACTTACATCGGATTTCTCTGCAAAATCGGGAGCAGTAGTTAAGCAGTCTCCATTTTCGTAATGTTTATGAATACCTCACACTAACAGTGTCTTTTTTTTTTTTATGGAAAATTGGACAATTAGAACCATTGAAAAGATGGTAGACCCAAGCCTTTTGACACATTGTACATACTTGCTTTTTGGTCTAGTTTCAAAATCTATTTGGCGCAGATGTATCAATAAAATTAGAACGCAATAGATTTGCACTTTTGTCCTTTATATTCCCAGAACTAATCCCAATAACTTAGCCTGCAACACTTTCTGTCAGCTGTAAGGACACAACTTGCCTGGTTTTCATTTTTTTCGTGTTGCTGGCGCTGTGCAAATCAGTTTGCTTTTTACTCTCATGATCGTTCATAAAATGACTGACAGTCGATGTAATACTTTTAAAAAAGTGATATAAAATTGCTAATTACTTACCTGATTGATACTTACGTGGTTCTTACTTCTGTATTGTTGCCTTTTGATGAAGTCGTTGGTTGCCATTATATGGGCACTTTGTTTCGACATTTATCCAAGCAATTGTAAGAATGCGAAACGAAACCTCGGAAATGACTTTTCTCCACACTATTTCAAGCTTCCGTGATTCTTTTTGATAAATTGTCTTTCTGCAAAAACCTATGACGCTTAACCTTACTCTTTGCCATTGCCCAGAATTGTTCTATTGGGTTAAGCTCAGGGGAGTAAGTAGGAAGATACACGCATTTATATCCTTGATACTCAATATACTTCTTTATGTTTTCATGTGTGTGGATTGGTGCATTATCCATGACTACATAGTAGCCTTTCATGTGAGGATGCTTGTCCATTTCATCAAGAGTCATTTTTAAGAAACTGATATAATAACCCGTTACGGTACCTGAGCTTATGTATCCTTCAGCCTTTCTCTTCTTTGCTGGTCTCGGTTTTTTGACACCAATTGTAATCAAACCTTCAGTAGAAATGGCACCCAATATCGGCGTCGTGTTTGCTCTCGTTACTGGTCGGGTAACAATGGCACGCGTACCTTTTTTGGGCCAAGCCTTCTTCAATGAAAGGTTGCATTCACTTTTCATGAAATTGTAAACAGTGCTACGTGAAACTTTCAGATCATCGAACCGATTCAACCAATGCTCGGTTACTTCAACAACAGAAGCAGAAGGGTTACTATCAGTAAAATTGATAACAGCTGTTTTATGCTCTTTGCTCAAGATACATTTATGACCAATTTGCTTACAAATCTCAAAAATGCTATCAGGACACATATTGTACTGTTTAACCCATCTCTGAGCAGATCGAATATGAATGCCCAACTGCTTCGCTGCAGCTGATGCGCTCATACACTTTTCAAACTTCAAGTCGAAAAAGCGAACCTTATCTTAGAGGGAATAGCGCACATAATCACGCTTTATGTTTACCTCTTTCATATGAATGTCTTCGTCTTTTGGCTTTTCTGTCAGCATTGGACAAACAGATGAAGATTCACTAGAGGGCATATTTTTTAAGTACTCACTGTGAGTCGCAATCGGCTCTACAATGAACTCATTCTGATCAACAATATATTCCATGGGTTCAGGACCTCCATTCTCACCAACGACATTTCCATGCCCATCTTCAAATAAAAATATTGTACTCATGTTAAAATTTAAGCAATTGAAGAAAAGAAAAAAGAAGACTCCGGAGAAGAAAGACCTCATTTTTATATTTTTTCGAATGCTAAAAAACCATCGTAACACGACATCATTTTCAAATGCAAACGACATGGTTTCTAAAAATACGACTTCCATTTCCAAAAGTGCGAAGTTTTAAACCGGGAGGGCACCTCGATTCAGAAGAATTAATTCAACGTAATACTCGCAAGGCTCTTGCAACGATGAACATGCTGTCATCTGTTGGTGTGAATCCTTCTGGTTTCTCCAAAGTTCTTGGCACTAAGTTTTACGCTCACATCGTTCGACCTCAGCTTGAACACGGTCTAGCTATCAATCGCTTCACGGTCTCTCAACTTCACGCTCTAGAGGAAGCCCAGAATAGTTGCATCAAGAAAACCTACGGTGCTCGAGGTAAAGCGTCCACTAAGGTTATGCTCCACATATCTAAGCTACCTCTTATGTCGGAACGAGTCAGTATACTACAGGCACAGTTCCTCTTTCGTTCCTTATATTTGCCAGAAGATGCACTGCTTGCTTGTCTGTTACCTTATATCCGCAATACCAAAGGAAGCCAGTGGTACGCTCTCTCTCGTACAGCGCTTTGGAAAACGGTGCTGTCTACTACTGAAGAACTCGATACTCGCTCACTCAAGGCTGCTAAACGACGCTTTCTGCAACAGAATCTGGAGAGCCGCCAAGGATGCCGAAACTCCAAGTTGATTTCTAGCTGCTGTCGATCAATCTCTCTGGATCCTATACTCTGGTTGCCCATGTCTAAGTCAGAGCGCAGTCGCTGTATACGCTGGAGATTAGGCTGGCTTCCTGGTGGTAAACCTCGACCATGTCCTAAGCATCCAACGCAACAGCTATCTAAAAATCACGCTATTAGTTGCCTTGATATGCATCGACGTTTGCTCATGCCTGAAACAATACGGGATCCATTGTCATTCCTTCTAAATATGCTTCCTTTACGCCCTTCGGTTCCCGCAAACCTAGCCCTTACCTGGTCTCAGCGATGGCCGATTATATGCTCTCTATTACATGAATTAGATCAGCTACACCATAACAAATTGATCCCTACTAAGTACCCCCACGGTCAAAAGCTTCTTGTATGGCTCAATCAATTCATTTAACCTTTCATCGATAACCCTGCTCTTTAATTTCCGTTTACATTTTTTACCCTTGCACCCATAAGGGGTTTTTTCGCTACCATTCACTTCCAAACGGATTGAACGGGTCCGGGCGGACGTTTATTTTATTATTTTATTTCTGCGCTCATTTGGACCATCAATAAAATATCATGTTTAAACAAAAGTGCGAAGTTGATTTTGACCAACCAACGACATCGATTTTGATTGGCCAGCAACTTCGTTTTTGACTGGCTGCGACATTGCTTGTTGGAAGCACTGTACACCATTTTCAGAAAGAGATGTCGCGCTGACTTGTCGCTTTTTCGTATAAATTGTATTATGAAAATTGCAAAAATGCGACTTTACTTTTTGGAAAGACTGTATAGAATAATATATAAGGCAATAATTCGTACTCATCCATCTATTCACGGCCGAGAGTTTAATTCAAAAATTGAACGGTTTATATGCGGCATGTACATACTATAAAGAGCAATGTGTGATCATCTTTTAGGAAGAGAAAACTAAAAGTATTTGTAGGCCAACAATAGGTTTTTTTTTTTTTTTTTTATTTAATAAATAGTGACTAGAACAAATCTTGATCATCTATAATAGATGTTCTCCTTCTCTTTGTCCATTCTGTTAACATTTCATCTTCCCATTCTTCTTTATTTGCTTGAGAGCTTGGATATTTACTTGCTTGTAAATGATCAGGAACATCTCCCCACTTTAAAGTACCCCAATCCTTATGCCAAGTATTTATAACAGATCTAAACATGCTATTGTTATTATTATTGTACTATTGCTTGGTTATCATTCTTTACTCTTCATGTAACCATATTCCACTCTGCTTCTGCAATTGTAATACAGTATATTTTTCTTGTAGCTGAATTGCCCTTTGAATGATGGATTCGATATCAATATCTTGTGGTATACGAGTGATAAGTGAATGCACAATGTCTCTATCTGCTTTTAATATTTCATCTCTTCTATATAAAATAATCTATAAAGCGTGTAAATCAATACAAGCTAAAGATATCAGCATTCACACATTACTGCACTTGCTACATAAACAGGCATAATAGCTTCACTTGATATAAACAAATCAAATAACCTCACAATCTTTTCATATCGCTCAAAATCATGACTAAACCAAGTCAAGATCCAGCTGAGTGCATAATAAGGCATGATATTACATCTGTATACCTGTATTAGTTTCTTGTCATATTCATTATTATATGTTACCTTTCTAAAAAGGTTGTTAATTCTACATCCTCATATTCTATTAATGAACTCATTAATCGAAGCTGTTTGGATACTGGCTCAAATGAGTCCATCATGGCATCCCTTAGAAAGAACAAAGCAACATTTTCAGCAGCAGGTATAGCTGCCTTTTTACCAAGGACAAGTAGAAAACAAGTACAGATATCGTGAAATCCCTTATTATAAATAAGTATGTAATGCTCATCAGTACTTTGTTCCTCACTTACTTGATAATATTTCAAATTCGGGTTTCTCCAAAGTATTTCGACAATCATACAATGAAGTTCTTGTTGTTTTTGTTCTTTTAGCACAGGTGACATATCTTTTTGTATTCTTTTAGTGATTGTCAGTTTTCATCAACATGCTCTATTTTTGAACTGTTTACCTCGAGGATAATAATAGAGCGATCTCTCTACATCCTTTGCAATCTGTACCGGATCAGCCAAATCTTTTTCTAATGACACATCATAAGGGGGAAACTTGCTTATTATTGAACAGTAAACTCACCACTGCCCTTTTCGACAACATAATTCCCATGTTGAGTATGAAGTAATATCGGCCAAACAATCTTTCTTAGACAATCATGAACAAAGCCTCCAGGTTGCCTTGACAATGACTTTAATTGATCTAAATCTCTATTGGCAATTGCTTTTAATATATTTTCAATCTGTTGGATTCGAAGCATGTTCTTTGCTGTTTCATTTGATTAATCTTGTTAAACTAAAAAGTTGCTTGATATTTACCAACAGATTTATGAACACCCATTAATATGTCATGCATTTTATTTGCAACTCTTCTTTCTGTCTCCTCTGTTTTGCTTTATATTATACAACAATCAAATTAAAAAAAAGACAAGAATGGTTGCATTATGCATACAATACACAGCTGTCATGTGACCCATTTCGGACATTTTAATGACCACAGCAAAAGATTAGAGACTTACAATAATGATGAGCATATTAGTGTTTAAACACAACCTTTTATTTAATGATCCAATTGGACGCACAAAAATAAAGCATCGCTCCTTGTTTTAGCATGTAGAATGTGTTTCCTGAAAAAGACAACGGTTCGACATGATGGGATCTAGATCTTCGCTCCCGTTTGTATCTTCTGGATGCAACGTGTCACATTCTACGTTGAATAAAAGTCAATAAGTAGTGTCTACATATCAATAACAATGGCAATTACAAATCCATATAATAAGTGCAATTATCATTTTTAATATCTTCATCTTTATTCTTCCAAACAAAAGAAACATAAAGGGCCCATTGTACTTTTTGTTTGTTCTCGCGACTACAACAAAAATATCCCACAACATTCACATCGCTGGCAGTCTTCACTGTAATACTCATATAATTCAGGAGCTGATTAAGCGTTGAACCATTTAAGTAGCCACCAATGTCCAATTCATCAAAAAGAAGGCAGATATCTTCTTTACAGAAATAGTAGAATTACGTGGCCTTAGCATGTATATCGTCTCCCTCGTAAGGCCTGTACGAAAATGTCTAAAGATTATTTGAGAAGCTACAAAAGTATGAATTAAAGATTTACCAACGACATCCAAGCATAGTATCGCAACTGGGAAATCCAAGTGCGATACATTGTGACGACATAAAGAGCATAGGATGCTTTTTTTTCACCCTGGTGTTCTTATTCAGTTGAGTGGTCTTTGTTGATCTTTGTTGATCTATCATCTGCAACGCTTTTGATCTCGATAGACTCGATCTCGGCAGGTTGCTTGTTGCTGCTGTTATCGATCAGGTAAAATACTGTTTTCATATCTAGCCTTCGGTCTATTATACTTTCTTTTGAGTGTTGTATTCATATTTAGTGGATCAACTATTAACTACATATGAGACAATAACTGGCAATTATTCGATTTTAGCTTGTTACTTTGAAACAACTGTGCGGGTCATTATTTAAGCTAATTACCAGGAACTGGATTTTAAGGTACGCATATCCAATGACTCTGATCCATCATTGTTATTAGGGATCATTGTCTTATCAAATGCACTCAATTTGTCCCAACTCCCTCTCTTTGCCCCAAATTGTCATTGATAAGCCTCTATGGAAAGCTTTATGATCTCAGTTGAAGAATGTCCCACATTTAGTATAAATGCTTGTCCTTAATAAAGTCAATCGGCTTATGTCTTTAAGTCTGGTTAACTCTGGTCTTTATTCTTTTTAATCGATACTTCGTATTCAATAATAAGTGGTCGCATTGATATATTATAAATGTAATCAACTAATTGTTGATTGGAAATGGCAAGGCTTAAACAAAAAAAAGTGAAGAGAAAAAAGAAGAGATAAATTTATTCATTCAATTTACTAGTGAAAAATAAAAAGTCACTATTTATATGCAACCCCTTTGTAGTACAAGTTTTTCCAATCACCCAATAGATGGCGTGTTGATTGTATTACAAGTGTAGAAAGCCATCTCATTAACAATCTTGGTTTATTAAAGCAATTGAATATATTTTGTCCAAGCAAACTATATTCAAGCAATGTAGAACAAATGCATAGAAAAAGAGAAATAACTACGAAAGTGTCAATTTGAGAAAAAGATTATTCGCAGTCACAATCGCTTCACTTTTATACGCCATCAAATAATCATGAGTTTAACAAAAGAGGCTAATCTGGGTGGTACTTGTTCTCCGAGATAAGATTTTGTTACGTGATCATGTGCACAGTAGATTATCGTAACCAATCAAAGTTAATCTGTGTTTAGACCTTATCAAACTATAAAAAAGCTCTTTTCGTCTTTTTCTTTTTCTTTTTCCAAGAATGGTTTACAATCGTTGCTATTAAATATCCTTACAACATTTAAATGCTTTTTATTAAACACTCCCCTTTCTCTCTCTTTCACTCTTGAATCGATCTTGTAAACCATTCTTATTTATCAAAATGACAGACATCCAAGACTTGCTTAAACAATATACGACCATTGATGCTCAAGATACCATTACCCCTGCCATGATTGATGATTGGCTACTTTCTGAATTATCCACTGCTATTTATACATCTAAACTACCTCGCATTGCTCCACGCCCTATTCATACTGCAAACACAAACTATATATCCCTCAATTCAAAGAGACCTTCTGACGCAAGCGAAGATGAAATAGCCCTCAAGAGACAAAAGAATACAGATGCTGCTCGTCGATCAAGGTTAAAGAAGATGTTAAAGATGGAAACATTAGAAAAAAGAGTAGCTGATTTAGAGTCAGAAAATCAAACTCTAACAACTCGTGTAGCCGTATTGGAATCAGAAAAATCTGGATTAGAATCCAAAGACCAATCATTAGAGGAAAGGATACGTGCGTTGGAAGATCAGCTGGCTGAGGCGCATAGGGCATTAACACAAAGTATAAATAAAAAAAACTAATTTATTAAATCATGAATTGCTTGATACGTCATATCAAAATAACCCACTAGTAAAGAAAAAATATGTTATATGTGTATGTGCGTGTACCTTTGGACTTACAGTTGTTATGATCCGCATGGTGAACCTCTACCATATGAATCTTTTGAGGATGCTTATAAATCGTGGCTTCATCAGGAATAATCGTACGCGTTATCGTCTTGTTGACAAATTTTTCTAGATCCTCAAACTCTCTTTCTCCTAGAATAGCTCGATGAAATAGCTTGTGTGAATTCAAAACTGGAATTTCCCAATCTTTGGATCCAAATAGGATAAGAATAGGTGATGATACATGCTACACGCGCGGAAGGATTAGGAAGTATTCTATTTTTTAAGGTATATTTCTTACGCGAATTCTGGACAGCGAGTCGAATCTGTGATTTAATTTTGACACAGCCCAATCTAGTTTTAAAGTTTATATTTTCAAATCAAGCAGATGACATTACTACTTTACCTTGCAATTTAGGATTATATGTCAAGGGTGTTAATAATGATAAATAAGGTATGATATTATATTCAAATACAAGTGTTGAAATAGATGTATATCCTGCTTGTAGAATAAGAGCCTTGGGTGGTTGTCCTTTTGTAATTCCCCTTAGTTTCTTTTTCTTTACTTTAGTTATTACTCTTACCAGCTTTTGACATATCATATGCCAATGTTGTGGCTACACCTGTTCCCAAGGAATGCCCAATAAGTGATATATGATTATTAGCCACTACATAAATAGACCAAATATTATTTAAACAAGCCAAACGTTAATGATTTTATAAATATATACCTTTTCTATCATTCAACCAGCGTAAGACAGCTTGTGCATCGAGTCGCAATCCTGTCTCACTAGGCGTTGATTCTATTAAAAAAGAAAAAATTATTGATGCTTTCTCTTTCCTTTCCTTTCTTTACCTGAATCTCCAAAGCCTCTATAATCAATTGCGATAATATTGGATCGACTAAACTTGGATGATAATGACTAATTTACGATAAGTATACATGTCAGTAATAATAAAACAAAAGTGCTTGTAAGCCATACCTTGTAAAATTCTACTCTCCATGGCGATGCTCGATGAAGCGCGTTACCATGGAAATAAACAAACGTGTCATGTTCTTTAAGCGCGTCGTCAAAGATGGTACCTAGATCACCCTCTCTTTCTCGCAACGCATATTTCTCGTAATACTCTGTAGGTAAGATATGCCATGCACCTTTATGGACTTATGCGTGAGTTTGATGTTCACTTGATAATGATATCATTACCAATCATCACATTATCAGATGTTTGAATTTTAAAATTCCTGACCCTATTATCTGAAATATCTCGTTAAAGTTACTATTCTTTTCTCTTTCTCTATTTTTTTTTCTTACGTCCAAACCCATAGTATTCCGGTTGATCAAATTTAGGTTTTAATGGGAGCTTTGCCCAGTGTAAGAAAATGAGCCTTTAGAAATGTTATAATTATTTTTGCAACTAATTGTATCATCATTACATCCTTTGTGGTGTATCAAAGCAAAGTGTTATAACAATAGCCTATGGTGTATTTTTTATTAAAATAAAACCATCTTTTTTCAAATTTCTTTCTTAATATACAGTATATAAAGATAGTAGTGAACATGTTGTCAGAATAAGTAACCTCAACATGTTTGTGTCAAGAACGAAATAGAATGAAAAAAAAGAGACAGTTACAAGATTTTAACCTAAAATGACTGAGATGGTTGCGCGCTCATTCAAATTACAAGTCGGAACAAATGGGGACAGTGTAACAATAGAGGAGCGCCTTAAAGCTCCCAAAGCGCTCTGTTTCTTTACAATGTTTTTTATAAGCATTTCTCTCAGCTCGATTCTATAGCATATATGGATTTCATATACTGTTTATGAAAGTATTTGATAGAGATATACGCTTTTTCCTCTTTGAAACAAGCATTAAAAAGGCAGTTTAAGCAGGCGGCAACGCCATCGAGAGAATATGTGGAGAATGAAGCCAAGCGTGATATTTACGCTGTATTGTGGGATACACAGACGTTCATTATTATTATATTTATTTCTTACTTTTTGCCCTCTTAGTTTGGCTTGATTGCGAACTAGACGCCTTCTTGCTTTGACTTGATTGTGAACTACCATTCTTTCTCTTTTTAGATTCTTTTATATACTTGCTATCTGAAATATCAGCATCTAAGCTACTGTCTTCTTCTTCTGGCGTATCTTCAACGTAGTCTGTGTCCTCTTCAACCAAAGTATCCGTCATATCTTCAGTTGGTGTAGCAATTGCTTTCTTGATAGGTACACTACCAGGCTGGAACAAGACGGGATGGCTAACTGAGTTATACCTTTACATAAAAGTCAGTTTCAATAACCACAGAATAAAAAGTAACAACTCACTTTCTTGTAAATGCAGTCTTTGTCTTTGCAGGAAGCGCTACTAATGGTGACTTTGTAGTCGTACATACCAGATCACTCAATGTTTCCAAGTTTTCTCGATCAAGATAGTAGTTATCCATATATTCTATAGCTTCCTCGTAATTCTCTTGAGCAACGTTGCCAAAGATACGCTCATTCAATGTCGTCAAGTAGTTCAGTCTTATTTCGGATCGATCTCCTGATGCCTTTACACGCATACGAGTCTGAAGATCGCTTAACAGTCTCGAGTACTTAGCTGCCTTTGAATTATTACCAAGCCAACTACCAAGAAAAAAAAGCTAAGTTACTTTTTCCAAAGTATTCTTTATATACACTTACGAAGGAAAGCCCGTTCTTGTCTGCATGTATCCTTCCATATAATAGGCTGGCCGTACACAAGAGAAAATGGATTGAACAGGCATTAATGAATATTGCTGAGAGGATCCATGGATCATGCTATCTACTAGGTCACCATCTGCTATAGCTTCAGCAGCCTTTGCAATCAACTCCATTTCATTACAAGCAATTTCCTTGGCATTGCCTGTGGTGGACATGAGTGACGCCTTTTGAGGCTTTACTTTACAATAATTTTCCTGCAAATGACTTTTTAGTATTTGAATCAATCATTGTTCTCTGGGCTTACATAAAACATCAAGGGAGAGAGACTGTAGTCATGGAAATAAATTTCATATTTTTCATTCAGTGTCTTTTGTCTCCAATTACCAGAAGCCAAGAGCTCACCAGGAATTTCAAATGGATTAAGAATGGTATTCTTTTGGTTTGTCTTGCCACTATAACAAATTAATCATGATACACTCAGTACATTGTCCGTAAGCTTACATTCTTTTAGCATCATCATAGCCCATACTTGTATTGTTTAAGCGATAGGTAGATAAGATGTTGATAATTTGTCGAATATCGTTTTGTGTTGTAGACACCAGCTCTTCAATAGCATTGGGATTGATATCAAGCTTTTCTCTATATATATTGATATGATCAGTTTTACTCTATTGGACGCTCTTCTTAGACTTACTTGAACGCAATTGACATAAGTTTAGGTCGAATTTGATTTGCAGGTGTTCTATGATCATATTACTTTACAATGTCTAGATAAAAAAATAAAAAAAGTCCATACCGTTTAAATCTCGCATCAAAGCAAACTCTTAACAATGGGCCAACCTTGGGTGACCTGACATCGTTACAGATACAAATAATTGGTATCTTTGCCTTTCTAATCATTGCAGCTAGTTCAGCAGCACCTCCTCTGTCACCAGCAGACATGCCATCAACTTCATCCATAATCAAGACAACTTTTTTTCCCTTGGGCTTTGTTGCTGCCTGTAGCATAAATATATCAGCGATACAATATATGGTCTCACATGCCTATAATTACCTTTGGTTTGCCCGCTTGAAAGAACTCGGTCATGGTTCTGTTGTCCATCATCTCTGACAAGTTTTGCTCGAGAATTTTTTTATTACGTACGTCGCTTGCATTGAATTCTAAAGCTTCGTAGCCATTTGTTTCTGCTACGACGTGGGCTGTGGTAGTCTTGCCGATACCAGGCGGTCCACTAATCAAGACAGCACGATAGGAATGGATATCAGAGTCACCAGCCACTTGTGAAGAGGTTGCCTTCTTATGACTATCATAATTGGCAAGCCAGTCGTTGATACGCTTCACCATTTCCTTGTTACCAATAATGTCTTGAATGGTCTTGGGTCTGTATTTGTCCGTCCATAAGCTTGTTTCAGTGGTCACGCCAGTTACTCTATGATAAATGATTAAACAAATGTGTATAGGATAAACAGTGTAGCGTACTTTGCTTCGGGCTGTTTGCCTTTAGTATCTACTGAACCTGACAATGCTTTCGTCGGTGCCACTTTTTTGTCAGCTTCTTTTGCTGGTTTAGAAGAAATATTGGGTTGTTTGATTTCCTTTGGTGAAGAAGACTCTACAAGCTGATAAAATCCATCCTCATCTAATACTTTAGTGCCAATTTGTTTAGCCTTTGCTAATTTAGATTCGCCTGCATCTCGACCACGCAGCAAATAGGTTGTCTTGCCACTGACTGCACTTGTTACACGACTATATATGTGTCATTAAAAAGCATTTTGTTGTTGATCCGTTCTTACCCTCCGTAGCGCATAACAATATCTCTTATTTGCTCTTTGGTCAGCGTTTCAAATTCACCAGATATAACAAAAGTCATATTGTTTAAGCAATTGGGTGCACCTACAGGTTCTGGTCGAGTACCAAGTGCCTTTGGACCTTCGCGATTCATCATTTGATAGAAACCTTTCTTTTTCGGTTTTTCCTCTTTCTTTTCCTCTTTTATGTCTTCTCCTTTCTGTTCATCTTTCTTTACTTCCTCCTTCTTTTCTATCTTCTTCTCTGCCTTCTTTTCCTCCTTCTTCTCTGCTTTCTTTTCCTCGTTCTTTTCTGCCTTCTCCGCCTTTTCAAATTTTGGCCTTTCCTCTATAACAGGCGCTGGCTCTGGTGTAAGACTGGGTGATGGCGCGTGTCTTGCTCTTTTGGCAGCTGGAGGTTTTCGCTCATGCTTATCTTCTTCAACTTCAGGTTCATAATCATCATCACTCACTTCCACGACAGCTTTCTTTCTTTTAGGAGCTGCCTTGGTAGTAGCTTTACCTTTGGATTTGCTTGAAGAAGAAGAAGCAAAGAATGCTACTGGATCAACTGGCTTACTATAATAAATCATTAATTAGGGTCTTTTGATTTGATATATTACCTTTCTTCTACTTTTTGTTTTTCGGCAGCATGTTTAGGAACTATAGGTCGTTGACTTTTTACATGGTTAACTCGGTTTTATTTATTTTCCTTGTACTCTTACAAGTCACTGTCATCGTCATTGTCGTTACCATCGTTATTTTGGTCTATTTGAGTTAGTTGAAGGTGAATAAAACATACAGCTTTTTGGTAAATACCCTTTTTACTATGCTTTTTTGGAACAGACTATTTACAAGACATAAGCAAAGCAATGAAAACACTATGAAAGCAATCGAACCTTTTGTAAAAAGTATTTTTCAATACCCATTTTTTTTTTTTGAAAAGCAAAAAAAAAGAAGGCAACCCTTCGCGTCTCGATAAAAAAAAAATGCGAACTTGAATATCGTGACAGCATAAAGACTGGGTAAAATTGGTCTTGAATATGAAAATTGATTGGACAACAGACACGTACATTTATTTCTTTTTTGACTTGTGAAGCTGCAACAAAGAAAAGCTAGATATATTATTCTATGCAATTCCGTCACCGTCACAAAACCGCCAATTGAATTTAAAAAATCCCCTCATTTGAACCCGTCAGCAAGATATTCTTTTTTAAATCATGTCAACAGAAATTAATGAAAAGCCAAGCAATGGCAAAAATAAACATAATCTAACACCTGCACAGAAACAACAAAAAGAATTAGAAAAACTATTTGAAAGAATAGACAAACCTGTACAGATTCCAACACCTCCACCCACGGATAAGAATCCAGTTCCGCCTCCCAAAGACTTTGTTCGCAATGTGTCAGGTAAGAGAAAAAAAAAAGGAGAAGAGCAATATAAAATGTAACAATAAACAGGTTCAAGTGCTGGTGCTGGTAGTGGTGACTTTCATGTGTACAGAGCACAAAGAAGAAGGGAGTATGCGCGCTTAAAGTTTATGGAGGATCAAGAAAAGCAGGTAAATAATAAATTATATATTTTAATAAAGAAATTAAAAACATTGATATAATAAACGATAATAGGAAAAGGAACAAAGAGAATATCAAGAAAGATTAGCACGTTTACGTGAAGAAGATGAAGAACGTACAGCAAAAAAGAGAGCAAAACGTCAAAGGCGTAATAAGAAAAAACAAGAAAAGAGCAATAACATAGAAGAAAAGAAAGAGAAAGAAGAAGAAAAGGAAAGGGCATAAATAAAGAAATGTACATATTTTATATATATTATATTATATAAAGCTTATCATAGCATAGAGGATGTCTTGTCCAATCTTTCCATCCAATCTTGAGGTATAACAGGTGATATTTTTTCATATAGAGCAGATAGTTGAGTAGCAGTTGGTACAAAGAAGGGTAGCATAAATTTAGAGTCTTTTGTTTCTTGTTCCTCTTCTTCTTCTTGGTGTTGGTGTTGCTCAATCATGGATGTAGGTCTAATCTTTTCCAATGTTTTTCTATGTCCAACAGCTAATTGTATCTCATCTGATATCTTTTGTTCATTGGTTTCATAACGATAATTCATAATACATCTTCTAATCTGTAATGGGTTTAAAGCATCGAATGTGCTCATGGCTTGTAAAGTGTCTAATTGAGTGATACACTGTAAGAGCTGAACGAGCTGAATAGAAGGCTTTAGATAAGACAACAAGTTGGATGGTAAATTGTTATTTCTAATCCATTCCTCTAATACAGATAGGTTCATTCTGACCTGTATTGCTTTTGATCTACACAAGTATTTCTTTTGTGTGAGCATTTGGTTGAATAACTCGCATGAAATGAAGTGAAAGAATTGTGCTAGTGCCTGGATGATTATGGCCGAATGGATTTCATATGACTGTAGTACATATAAAGTACATGATAATAAGCTGGTAATAGACTGTGGTGAAATGATAACTTTGCTATTGGTTTCTGTAGCATTGCTATAACTACTGCTATTACGTTGCATTTCAACTGTTGTTGATCTTCTTTTGAATAGTCTTTGCCAGTAATCATCTGTGAAATTGACCTCTTCTGTCTTTATAGGATCGTATTCTAACATGGCTAATTCTAGTACTTCGTGTAATCTTTTTTCTGTATCATGAACCATATAATTGTAGGTCTCTGATATCAGCTCTGATATTTTTAATTGATAATTGGCTGTGGTGACGACAAGGCCTGTATCCTTTTTTAAATAGAATAATAATCGAGTAATATTTGTCATCCAATAAGATAATATATGCACATTATCTGTATTACTCTACGTGAAGGTGTTAATCTTCACGTTTTTGCTTAACTGTAAAAGAAATACCTTGATGATTTTACTAATACGATCCAGGGCACCTTCCAACAACTGCTCTGCTAGTTCTAAACTTGAATAATAATGGGCAAATCTGGCACTAAGGAATACAACATTGGCTGGTAAAAATATCTCTTGAACATTACGGACTGGTAATGTCAAGTTGGAGATAACAGTATCAAGGATATAAGGAAGGTCGTCTGCTGCGAATACAAACATTTGGTCTGGCATACAATTATCCCAATCGAACTCGGCATCCTTTACTTCCAGATCTTCTTCTTCTTCTTCTTCTTCTTCCTCCTCTTGTTCTTCTTCTTGACCTTCTTTATGCTTTTGTTCATTAGTTGTCAAGTATTCCTCAATTAGTTTAGGCCTGTTTTCGTTATCAAAATTCAATAGTGATTCATAGTTTTCTTCATAAGGATAATAGTGATCTTTTGATACAGCCGACGTAATACTTTCGACTGCTGTAAGACCCAATACGCTTGAAGCAGTAGATGATATACTATCTCTCGGATTATTGGCCAAAATATCTGCAATTTTGTTTGAATTTTCGCTCTTTACAAAATCGAACACCGTTCTCCCTTTAGCTGATCTTGTTTGTGATGATGCACCATGTTCAATCAAGAGTTTAACAAGGGCTTCATGATTATTTGTTGTTGCCCACATCAGGGCAGTCCAACCATCTAAGCAAGGAGAAAGTATTAGAAAACAAAGAAAAAAGTGGCACTCCTTTTTTCTCCTTACGTGAATCTTGACTATCCACTTTTGCTCCTGCTTGTAATAAAGCTTGAGCAATTTCGTATTTGCCAAAGCATGCTGCATAAATCAATGGAGTTGTTCCATCTTCATCTTTTGCATTAATGTCAATAAAGGGCTTCATTGTCTCTAGATATTTTTGCATCTTTTCAAGGTCCCCACTGGAGGCAGACTTTAGGAATAGCTTGGTGCATTTTTGTTTTTTAGTAGCATCGTCTATATCTGTACGCTCTATAATGCTTTCGTCATAACAATCGTCAATCGTAGTGTCATCTAAGGTTGTAGATGTACTGATGGTCGAAGGTAAGCTGATTCTGTTACCTAAAAGTTCTGATAGCTGCTTATAGCTTTCTGCTATACGTTGTGACATTTCATCATAAGTCATATTTTCATATTGCTTTCTTATATCCTCAACCTGTTCAGGTGGAGGAGTAGAAAGGACATCATTAGTCTTGGTCAACATAATTTATAAAGAAAAAAAAGAGAAGAAAAATAAAAATAATAAAGAAAAGTTGCATTTGAAAATGTTGTTGTTCGGAGTTCATAGTCGTAATTATCTCTCTTTTCTGTTTTTTTTTTCTCATCCATCTTTCTCCTTTATTTTTTCATGGTGGCGGTTATTGACTTCTGCACTCCAGCTATTCCTGGAGAGACGCACAAATATTATGGATACTCACATAATAAATATATTAAACTGCCTATTGTTATCCCAACACCACCCATCACTCACCATCATAACATGGTGAAGCATAATAAATCTCAGGTACACAAAACTATTCGATCCGTGGCCTTGTCTGGCAATTTGGCTTTGCTTAAGCAGTTTTTACAAATTGTTCCTGACCAACTCAAAGCTGTCAATGATCCTCATCCAGCCACTGGCTTGACATGTTTACACTTTGCTGCATCTCGCGGTCATTTAAAAATAGTGCAATGTTTAGTAGAAGAGTACGCCGTCAGAGTTGATTCGGTCGATAAGGAAGGAGAAGTACGTAATATGCAACAGACAAGCATGTTTTCTTGTTAACTTCTTTATTATAATAGACGGCTTTACTCAAAGCAGCCTATAACGGTCATTATCATGTTGTGCATTACTTGCTTGACAGTAATGCTAATATTCACCAAAAAGATAAAGATGGCTGGACTGCGTTACATAATGCTTGTTCAAGAGGTTATTTCAGAATCGTACGTTTATTGGTCGAAAGAAAGGCTAAAGTGGATGCAAGAAGCAAAATGGGTCATACGCCCCTAAGTAAGTTTTATATGTTTTGCTCTTGTCAAAAAAAAAAAGGAAATTGATTATAACCTGTCTATAGTCAACGCTGCTTCTAAAGGCTACATGTCTATTGTTGAATACCTATTGGATGAGGCACATGCGAACCCCCTCATCAAGAATAACTTTGGTGAAGCGGCTTATGATGTAAGTGCGGCTGCTGGTGAATCCTATATCTGTGAGATGCTCGAAAAAGCGGGTCGTAAGTGGTGGGCCATTCAACATACGGAAGGTAATATTCACTTATAATTTGCAGGGAGAAAGAATTAACACGATGTGTAGGCATGTTGAACCCGAGTAATAAACGTGCTTCTATGTTTGGCGCTACATATGATCTTCTTGAATACCATGTTACTGTGATTGTCATCCTGCATGAAAATCAAAGGGCCACCTCTTTACTTGGTCTATCACGTCCACAGTTTAGTGAAAACTATCTGACCAAAAATGATATCCGAGGCCCTTGGTCACTTCATCCTACAGGCGAACCAATGACAAAGGATATGGTAACACTACCCGAAACAAACACAAACAGTCACCGTACATCTTCCTTGTCCAACTGGTTCTGGTTAACAGACTGGCAGATCGATTACAGTAACCCTCGTGTGGATCCAACGTCTGGTTGGCAATATGCTCGCTCGTTTGATGACGACGATGCGCTTTGGACACCTGTAGCACCCACGAGTGGCTACAACTGGGTAAGACGTAGAAGATGGGTCAGAGTAATGAAACGTCGCATGGATCTGAATAATGGAATTCATCGTGGCGAAAACATGACATTTGCTGTTGACGAAGAAGAAGAAGAGGAAGAGGAGGAACAGGTTCAACAGCCTGATTATTTGATGCAAGCAGAACAGATTGTTCAATCCGTCAATTCGGATATACTCGAAACGGATAGAACAGATATTGAACAGATATTAAAAGAGAATATTCAAAAATATCAGCAAGCAGTTGACATTCTATCCAATGCTATACAAAGTAAGTCGCAAATAACAGAGTAACCTTTTATTGACTTTTCGTTCTGTTAGATGACGATAATGAATTTAGAAAGCACCAGTCTTCTATTTTAGTAAAGTCTTATATGACACAAATTGAAAAACTAAACGCAAGAATTGCAAACTTGACTACACCTATGGACAACCCTAAAGAAGACAGAGAATTAAACTATCAAGAAATTATCGATACCAACCCATGGTCCTCGACTGCTGCTTCAGAAGTATCAGATTCAATCAATATGAATATCTGGGAATCAGACGAACAGGCCAGAGCTTGCAGAATTTGTGAAAGAAAGTTTGGCTTGTTGGTAAGACGACATCACTGCAGAAAGTGTGGCCAAATTATTTGTGACAAGTGCTCACCTTGGAAAGTGTATCTGAACTCATCTGACATCTTACAAGACCCTAATGGCCCATTGGAGCCCTTGTCTTCACTTGCCTCTCGTCCTCATCGCGTCTGCGAGCAATGCTATTACCAATGCGGCTACAATCATCAATAATATATCTATATATACATGTGTATACCCTATAAATATCTTTTTGGAAAGATGTTTTATGCACTTCCAAACAAGGCAAGCGATACAACACGAAAATCTGCATCTTTATTCTCTCATTTTCTTTTTATAGCAACATTTATTTGCTAACTATAATAAAAGTCTCTCTTTTTTTTTCTTTTTTTGACTTCTTTATCATTCTTGTGCATATGTCAGCTGAACCCTCACCTCAGATCAAGGGTAGACTCATTCATCTTTGAAAATATAAGCTAATACGTATCAATTAGAGTTTAAAAAGAAAAAGCCATTGCCAAAGATACCAGTGGATCAACAATCACAATTTGATCTCTTTCAAGACGCATTGGTCACCATCTACTGTGAACAACAGCTGTGGGTGAATGAAGGCTGGAAGGTATCCTACTGTAACCCTGGTTTGCCGCAACACGTAGAAAAACCATTTGAGCCCTTACCTATGCGTCACAAGCAGTCCAAAGAACAGATTGAACCTGATCTGAGCCTACCTTCATTGGATCATAGCACACCTGATTCACCAGCATCCTCCGTTCCAGCCCAACTGTTTTCTGTTTCCGAAAACTACTTTCAACCATCCCCTATGTCTTCAGTTATCCCAAGCCCATGGAGCACGTCCACTACAAAACGATCCGTTGTCCAGCGACAAAGTATCAGCCGAATTTCAACAGGCTCCATTCTTGCCGCTCTTCCTGTCACCATAACCCAAACTCCTGATGAAGCGTCAGATATGCAACAAGACAATTCAATCATTAAAGACGATGTGTATTATAAAGAGATCATGAGTAAGCATGCAGGAAGCATCATTGCCTCCTTTAGTCTGGTACAAGTCCGTTCGAATATAAAGCTTTATCGTCGTATGGCCCTCAAGACGCGAAACAGGGAGACTCAGATGGCTTATGCTAGATACTTGTTGCGTATTGTTAAGCTATACCCTAAATCATCCTCATCGGATGAAACTGCAGACACCAGACATAGGTTGCTCTCTGAGGCAGGTTATTGGATTGAAAGATTAGCCAAGAAAGGTCAACCGGAAGCTCTTTTCGTCAAGGGCAAATGGCATTTACTAGGTCCGCAGGCGGATGACTGTGTTATCAAGGGGTATGAAAAGGTCAGAGAAAGCAAGGCATTTAAGTGTTTTCGGCAGGCTTCCAAGGCTGGATGGGTGGATGCGTTTTATGAGTTGGCGCACTTGTATAAAAAGCGTGGGAAATACGAAAAGGCCATCATGTACTATGAAAAGGGTGCTAAAGAACATCACACGCTCTCGATTTATGTAAGCAAAATCAGTTTAACCAAGAATACCCATTCATTCATTATTAGAAAATGGCGAAAATTTACCTAAGAGGACAATTGAAAAGACCAGCAGATATCGAAAAGGGCATACAATATTTAAAGATAGCTGCCAACGTAAATGACGAAGTAAGCGCAGAGCCAGCATTCGTCCTTGGTTGTATCTATGCAGATGAATTAGAACGTATCGGTGTTCAAAGGTAAAACTGATTATCTTGTAAAGAAAAACAATAGAATTAACACTTCAAAAGGGACTCGTCGATAACCACCAATTATTCTCAAGCACTGGAATACATAAAAAAGTCAGCCAACTATGGGTATCCCGATGCAGTCTATCTAATGGGTCAGATATCCGAGATTGGTATGTTGGGCCAACAGAGTGATGCCTGGATGGCCTATCAACACTATTTGAAAGCAGCAGAGGCAAACCATGCAGGCGCGATGTTAGACTTATCACGAATGTATCTCGAAGGAATTCCAGGTCTGCTTGCATCACAAAAAACGATTGCCTTCAAGTGGTGTAAGCGTTCTGCTGAGCTCGGATTCGCACAAGCCGAGTATGTATTAGGGTAAGTATCCATTGATGTAACAGGGATAGAGATTTGATTGTGTCTTTAGTAAATATTACGAAGATGGCATTGGTATTTCTCCCGACTATCCTCGTGCATTGGAATATTTCGGTAGAGCTGCTTCAAAAGGTTGCCATTTGGCAGCTAAAAGGCTGAATAAAATAAATTTTTGCTCAGATTACTAAACTTTTTTTTTTACCCTTCTTTTTGCTTGTGTTTGTGTCTCGTCTTTTTTTTTCGGTTACATTGATCACACACACGTTAACTCAGTTGGTGCGAGGATCTCCAAGTATAATAAGCAGCCCTTTTGCTGGCTGGCTGTAGACAGGGTACGAGCTAGATGTCCTCTTTCAGACATCATTATCACTGAGGTCATTTTTAACTAGAGTTCTTTATCATTACCAAATCGGGGTTTTTCTGATGCAGAATCGAGATATTGTAAAGCGTATTAATGTTACCAGAGTTATCCAACGATTTCCTACATGTTCACACACACACTGTCTTTATAGCTGACGAATTTAGCACTCAGAAGAGTTTCTAGATTCAGGCCTTACGTGGTTGATAAGACATTAGCTTACTCCTCCCGTTCCGAGACTTTCCAAAATAGTTTCAACTGAAACTACAACTGACAAAATCACAGGGGGCCGTACTCATAAAGAATGAAACAGAGTGTATTTATAGGTTTTATTATTATTAAATGATATCAGTATGACATTCATTATTATAGAGCACATTTTAGACTAAACGGATGAAATAGCAGTAATCGAGCGTTATCTCGCAACACATTGGATGTGGGCGATCATTTCATAACTTCTGTACATCATTGTGTAGCTCGAGTATATCTTGAATATACTAAAAGATCTTTAGTGACAAGATCACCCATGATTGAATCACATTAAAGATATTTTTATACAACAAAGAATGTTAACTAACTGAATGATAGATGAATGAAAAGTAACATTGAATTACAATGAATCTAAAGTGTTTTTTATTTCACAGATACCCAGCAATAACTTAGTAATGGCATGGCCTATGATGGTATAAAATACCAACTATTTTTTTTCTCTCTAGAAAATGCGTTTGAACGATTCCTATTCTTAATTGTACTTGTGTGTATAATATACTCGCTTTCAGTTGTACAACGTTACATCAGTCGTAAATCAAAATTAATAAGGCACAGGCACAAACTCCGTTAACTATTATAGCCATTCTTCTAATTCTATTATCTTTCTTTTTCTTTCAACATTTTCCTATAAAAAAAGAGGGAGGACAAAGAAAGGAATTTTTATATGGATTTGTTCACTTTGTTATCCATCCTTTTCTTCTTTTTAATACAGAATGTCTCGACTATTCAACCAACTGTAAAAAGCACACCCTTTTTGACACCAAGGGCACCTACAAATAAAACTATATACAACATTGGATTATTGTTTCCAAATGTATCCACACTTACAAATAGAAATGATATGTACATAAGAAATGCTGTCGTAACTAGTGAATTGGCTATTCGTATGGCAGTAGAATCCGTACGAAATAAGAATATTCTTCCAGGTTATATATATTAAATAAAGAAGACAAAAAAAAAAAAGAAAAAAGAAAACTGACACCATATTCGATCATTCATATAGACGTCGAACTCAATATTACTCGTTATTATTCATACGAAGATGAATCTTCTCTTAGCGCAATAGAAACATTCAAAATGGTTGAAAGCAACGTAGAGTAAATATAATACACACATACACGCGCATGCAGATCGTTATTTCTTATTTCAACTCACATTTAAAAAGTGCCGTCATAGGTGACGCTGATCCTGGATTAACTAGAGCCAGTGCATCAATCACTAGTCTTTTTAGTGTACCTCAGTGTTCTGCAGCCTCTGGAACTTTTGGTCTACCAGACAGAGATGCCTACCCTTTCTTTTTTCGCACGGTTGGCAGCATCACATCTCACGCCTATGCTCTAGGCGCTTGGATGAAGAATATGGGATGGGAAACGTTTTCACTTTTATACAGTGCCGATGCTTTAGGCGATCGAGGTGAAAGAAAGGACGATTCTGACTGCAATTTATGGGTCTAATCCATCCTTATAGTTGCTGATATACTCAATGATCGAGGAGAGCAATATGGATTTTATTATGCTCGATCTTACCGCTTTTCTCATGCAACGGATGAAAGTATTGAGCGTATGTGTATAATGAATAGTCGGATGGTCAATGTGTGTGATGGTAACACTAACTCTTTTTGTTTTAGAGGCACTGACAGAATTAAACCGCTCAGGCTCCCGTATAGTCATCTTGGCATTTTCAAGGCCCTATCAGCAAGTCAATGTATTACGTAAAGCAAGGTATATATGCACATATCTCTGTTTTCTCATAGGTTTTATTAATATATTTGCCACAGGGAAATGGGCTTCATGTCCAAAGGATGGGTCTGGATGGTTGCTGACGATTTAGCAAACAATTTCCTCCAAAATATAAAGGATGATGATGATGGTGATGCCGTGACGGCTTATAATGGGCTCATGTACATTAGTACACTCTGGAACTGTAATTAACACGCTTTTAGTATTGTCATGTTTTACTAACTATCCCCATTTGTGTATTAGTGACTGGGCTACCGGCCTTTGACGAGTTTCAAGCAAAATGGCGACAACAGCCCGTCCCGTCAGATTAGTAAGTCATATGCAAAGCATAACTAAATAGCCAACTGGTCATTTATGCCCTTCGATATAGCTCTGATCCGAGTAACTGGACTACAACAAGTTTAAATTACGGTGCTGCGCAAGCTTATTCTTGTCTCGAGCTGCTCACCCTCGGTATCAATAAGGTTAGTTTCGAGCCTTCTTTCATTTCTGATCGACCCAACCATTTCTCTTGCTTTGATAGGCGCTTGACCAGTACTCCGGTGGCCGGGAAAAGGGATTGCAAGACTTGGCTAGTGACACATTTAACACGAGTTCGATGACACCTATGTTCTATAATTTTAACTATTCTGGGCCTGCGGGTAAGTTTTGATAGTATTCCGCTATGTATCGTCATGATCTCTCTTTTTACTGACTTCATCTACTATAGGCGACTTGACATTCACTGATACAGGTAAGGACCATAAATGTAAAGTCTAAACATGTGGTTAACTTTATTGTAGGTGATCTACGAAATGGGTATGTAATACAGTATCAATTTGATATGCCGTGTAACTCAGAAAGATTCGGAGAGACAGTGCTAACTAACCTTACTATATATACACAGCTACTTTCGACTTTTTTATTTACAAAATGGCATTGCTGTGCCTTATGCCAATATAAGGCTTGACAGTTATGAGTCAATCAATAACCACATCATCTATCCTGGAAACACACAAGAAAAGCCTCCAGATATTGCGATTCATCAATGTAAGATATTGTTTTATTTTTTTCATTGACTAATATGTCAATAGACATGAATCCTACTCCCACATCTCCTTTGGGCATTGCCATTCTTACTGTCTGTGGCGTTGGCTTATTCTTTTGCTTACTCATGGCCATACTTATCTTCTTTCATAGACATCTAAAACCAATCATGATATCCAGTCCGGTCTTTTGCTATCTTCAGCTACTTGGTATATCCATGTGCTATATCACTCTCATTCTTCTTGTGAGACAGCCAACACCAGCAACCTGTGTTTCCAGGCAGTTCCTATTTTGTATGGGGTTTACCTTTGTTGTGGGAAGCATCATTGCTAAAAATTACAGAATTTACAAAATGTAAGAAATATATAGAATATAAAAAAATGTTCTGTTATTTACCACGTGTTTTAGCTACCAAAATGTCTTCACTATCCGCACCTCAAGGCTCAAATCCTCCTATCTCTTACGGCTTGTTGGTATTTTTCAGATCTTTGTAGTGGTGCCACTGGCGGTCTGGAATATTGTGTATCGTGCTCAAGTGGTCAGCTATCAACTCTTTGAGACTGACTTTTGCTGGGTATGTGAGTATCCAACAGCAAAGAATGGTCAGTGGGGACGATTTAATCTGGCACAGATGTTTGTCCTGATATGGCTCTTTCTGCTCATCTTAACTGCCTGTTTTCTTGCGTTCAAGGTAAGACTCATTATTGCAAATAACTAATGTATTTATATGCTATTATTATTAGACAAGGGATGTAAGTAGCAAATGGTCTGAGACTACTCAAATTGCTTATGTGAGCTAGTAAGTGTCTTGATGAAATGTATCATATTTTTATTTAACAATGTATTAGTAACTTGATTGTCTCTGCTTCTGTCATGGTGCCTGGATTACTCTTGGGGAATGACTATTATGATATCTCACTTTACCTCTATGTTGCCTCTCTCATGTTTGGTTCAACCTTTACCCTGATCACCATATTTATTCCCAAGTTCGTAGTCATATCTAGACATATCCTTCAAAATAGCAAAAAATTCAACATTTATCGCATGAATTCTGACAGTCAGAACCAAATGTCGATTCATTCTACAAATTCTATGGATCAAAACATCCAGTTGAATTTGGTAGCCAAGAACATGTACGACTTTACAGTACAAGCTCATGAGGGTATATTGCCTGTAAAGAAGATGGCTAAATTTGACTTTCTTTCTATTTGGACCTTGAAGCATGTGGTGCTAGTACCATTTAAAAAATATTTCATTCTCTCTGAGGTAAGTGCTCAGCTCTGTTATCCTATCTTGGTTTATTTACTTTGTGTAGAAATCAGGCGAGAATGCCACTGTTTACCATTATGTCAGCTGTGAGCCAGCCCTGGTGGGCAGCACAAATCACTTTACTTTCCGTGTACGCACAGATAAAAGTATGTACTTTTTATTCCAAGTATACGATCGTGAATCATTAGATCGTTGGGTCAATTGGTTCAACCGAGACCCTTCAACCGAACGAGGCATTTCTCCTAATGCAGGACGTAACAACGACGATAACAATAACGACCCAGATGATCCTCCAACCAGTCCTGATAGGGCTGCAGTGAAAGTGCCCAAGAGTGAATCGGCTACATTTGGTAATATGCAATCCGAGATGCTCTATAACTCATCAACACCGAGCTTTCAGCAAAACTCTAGCATTCCTCAATCCTATCCCACCTCCTCCTCTCTATCCCGCTCAGCAAAGCAAGGACCCGTCGGAACACGTAGCATTACTTCACCGTACGCATCCTACGTTACCAACAGTAATTTTGACGTGTCTGGTGCACCTCATGTTACTTCACCTTATACATCATTTACTACCTCCAATCCAAACTTTGGTCGTGGCAACTTGCCATCTAACCAGCAAAATTCATTTGGTGTGATCAATGAAAACGCGTGGCAAAGATACCCATAATTTAATTGTCTCATGTATATTTGTTTGTACTTTTTGTTTTGTTTTTTTGTTTTTTACGCATTAGTAATATAGACTTCTTTTTAAATGTT